GTGGCTGTTTCCATGGTGGCTGGGTGCGGGCTGGAGTCGCCATTGCGGCGAGACACCTGGGAATGCGCTGACTCTGGTTTATTACCCGACTAGTTTTGGAGAGCAGAAGTGGGGAAGACGACTTGACGGTGCGGGACAGAGACCGGAACGCCAGTACCATCAATGTGACGAGGCACTGTGGTGACAAGGAGTGACAGTGCAGTAGTCCAAGTGAGTAAATAAGTAAAAAAACAATGAGGCCAGGTGTAAGTAGATTGATTGGCTTGCTGCTTACGGGTGAGTCAATCAATCTGTAGTAGGGGAGTGTCACGCTGTGTGGGTGGTCTCTGGCCGAACCCTCCATAATCCCTGTCAGCAAAATCTTGGCGCTCCTAGCCAATCACAGTGCCCAAAGCTCCCCGCCGAATATCTCTGTGCATATGCGACGCTTCCCTTGCGAGTTTTGCATCTTCTTGTACATTCACCTCGCCATCTTTGCAGCCTGTTCCCCGCGTCGTCGCTGCCCGTATTGCCTGCAAAAGACACAATGGCGCCTGTTCCCTCGCCCTTTCTCGACCCGGGAGCGTATGCGACAGCGGACAATCTTGGTATCCTGCAATTGCGCCGTGATCACCTCATCCCAGCCCTCCTCAAGCCCAACGCCGACTCTGACTACGCCGAGGGAAAAGTAGAGAATACACGCTTTGGTTCTTTTCCCCACAGCACGCTTGTTGGCCAACCATGGGGCACGCAGATTCTCGCATCCGTCGTCGATACTGGATCGCGCGGCAAGTCTAAGAAGAGGAAGAGAGACGGCAAAGATGAGAGCGAGGGCACAGTGGCTGCCGAGCCAGAAGTGGGCAAGAAGGATATTGTCAAGGCGGCGACGGCGAGCAGTGGATTTGCGCATCTGATACCGCCCACGCCAGAGATGTGGACCTTGTCTCTTCCACATCGCACCCAGGTTGTATACACGCCCGACTACAGCTATATTCTGCAGAGGCTGCGCGCAAGGCCAGGCGATCACATCATCGAGGCGGGCGCAGGGAGCGGAAGCTTCACACACGCTGCTATACGCGCAGTCTACAATGGGTACCCGGGCGCCCGCAACGCCCTCGACGAGCCCCACGGCGAAGAAGAAAACGCAGTAGGCATGTCCAAGAAGCGGAAGCGCAAGACGCGAACTGGCGGCGTCTACAGTTTCGAGTACCACGAACCACGCGCAAACCAACTTCGAGCCGAAATCAAAGACCACGGCCTCGAACCCCTCGTCACAGTGACCCACCGTGACGTCTACAACGACGGCTTCGGTCTGGACAACTCGCCAGGCCCAGACGCCGACTGCATCTTCCTCGATCTCCCCGCTCCGTGGCACGCACTCAAACACCTTACGCGCTCCCCTCCCTCCACCGCTGCCCTGAACTCGGTAGCCACCGACACATCCACACCCACCTCTGGCGAGAACGACCCTACCACACCCACAGCGCAACCCACAGACGCAAATCGCAAACCCTTTGCCACCCCCCTCAATCCCCGCAATGCAGTCCGCATCTGCACCTTCAGCCCCTGCATCGAGCAAGTCACCAAGACCGTCTCTGCCCTGCGCACCCTCGGCTGGCAGGAAATCGACATGGTGGAGATCAACGCAAAGCGCCTCGACGTGCGTCGCGAGCGCGTGGGGCTGCAGGAAGAAGGCGTGAGAGGCGGGAATGCGCATCCTGCAAACGTGCAGGAAGCGGTGCAGCGTCTGCGCGACGTAGAGGGCCGTGCTGCCGTTTTCCACAGCATGCAGCGCGAAAAGCAGGAGGAGGTGATGCGCAAGGCCGAGGCGAAGAAGAGGGGTGAGAACGTTGATGGGGAGGCGGACAGCGGTGCTCGCAAGGGCAAGAGGAAGTTGGAGGGCGTGCCCCCGAGCAAACACGATCGGTTGGCACAGACTAAGAAGAACTTTGAGACGAGGCCATTGTACAAGGAGGGCAGACTAGTTCACCGAACAGAGCCAGAGCTTAAGACGCACACTTCGTATCTGGTCTTTGCTGTCTTGCCCAGAGAGTGGTCCAAGGTGGATGAAGAAAAGGCCAGGAGGAAGTGGGGATAATGTTGAACAGTGCCACGCATTACGAGGATATCGTTAGTAATCAAGAAGATACCCATTGTTGTACTGAAGGGATATATATATACAGACTACCCTGGACTCTGGAATATGAACCTTTGATTATCAAGCATATACGTATACCGAAAAAAATAGCCATTGACCTGACATGATTTAACGAAAAGAAAATGAAAGCACTCCTGACAATGGATACTCCTTATCCCCATACCGCATCCTTCGCCCTGTGACTGCCCGCTCTTCCTGGAGGCGTACTGATGACGTGTGTCCAGGCTTCATCGCCATCAATGAACAACCGATACGTGACAAAGCTCTGTTCGCCATGCTCGGGCGTCGTAATTTCAACGGCACCAAACTTGCTGTTGCCATCAGGAAGATACTTCAAGCACACATCCTCGTCGTTAATCTCCTTGTACGTGCGGAAGGGGAGGTAGAACATGCTCAGTGGGCTAGTGCTGAACTCGTGTACCGTGGCGCTGATGGGCCATTTGCCGTCCTTGGGCGGTGGGAACGAGGTGGCAGCAAACTCATGGCGATCACCGCTTAGCACCACAACACCAATATCATGTGTAGATGACATATCCCATGCAGCTTCCAGAATCATCCTGCGTTCAGACAAATGACCGCCCCATGTGTCTTCGGACCCAAACTGCCAATTCTTAGTAAAGGGTGTGCCAGTGACAATGAATTTCCAGTGTACGCCGGCTGGCGGCTCCTTCTTGACCCATGAAAGAAGATCAGATAGCTGTTGGGCACCCAGCATAGTCTTGGAAGCGTCCCAGGGGTCTTTGTTAGCAGGGCTGCGGTATCGGCGAGTATCAAGGAGGAAAAACTCGGCAGGACCTTGAGTAAAGGAAAAGTAAGTGACACCCGGGCGATGGGGAGGTGGATTGGGAGCAGCGTTGTAGTGTGTAAAGGCATCGTAAGCTGGAACCGCTACACCCGTCATGTTGCTATTCCACTGGATATTTGGTCAGCAAGATAGATACGAGAACATTCATGGCGTAGCGACTGACATCATTCTGAATCTCATGATCATCAATGACATGGATCCAGGGGAGATTTCGACTGACTGCTGGCCAAGATGGCGAAGAATATACTTGACGGTACTCGCGCCTGTAAGTCTCGACGTCACTGCCGGTACGGTGTGGGACATCAACGTAGATAAAGTCACCGAGGAAAAGCATAAAATAAGGTTTGAGTTCGGGAAGCCAGCGTGCAAGGTGCTTCATGCCCGGGAACTCGAGGGGATGTTGGAACGGCGTGTATGGTACGCGGGGTTTGATGCAGCTCGAATGGACGAAAGTGTATTTATTGTCTTTGAGCAGTGAAATGTGACCCGGCCGTGGTGCAGTTGTGAAGGTCCCAGTAATGTTACCACGCGACGTCTCGACAATGTACTCGTAAGCCAGGTCGGGGCGTAAATGGTCGAGGCTGAGGACAGTGGTAAAGTCAGTCTCGTTGGTGAGCCAGTAGTCTGGCTGGCTCGCGCGGTGTGTTTTGTGCATCCAAGAGCGTTTGGTTTCGTCGATAGATCGATAGAGAACCTTCACATCAAAGGCAAAAGGCTCTCTGACCAGAATCTTCGCACTATTCTCCGACACGTATCCGACACGGGCAAAGCTCGCGTCATGGCACTGGTGGAGCAACGGCGCGCGATAAACGACGTCCAAGGCCATAGCAATTAGGGCCATGTTAATACCAAAGGTGATCCAGCTCCATAGCGCTGACGAAGGGCTCGGGAGCCCAGTGAGAAGAGTGCGCAGTACCTTGGGCTCCCTCTCCTCATACTGAACTGTTTCCTGGACATCTAGCTCCTGCAACGGACCCTCGTCTGCGCCGTCGATGAGCTTGATGTCGTCGCTCGAGTCATCGCTCTTGCCGCCCACGGTTTCCTTGACGATGATGTCGAGCTCATCGGATATAATCTTGTACTGGGCTGTATCCTGGAAACTCGTGAAGAAGGATGGGATGTAGACAAGCGTGAGTGCGGTTGCAAGTGCGGGTACGATCTACATGGTATCCTGTCGCGTTAGCAGGACTCCGACAGTGTGGATTCATGAACCAGTCATCCGGCGGAGCATTGTACTGACAGTTGTAGGTATCTGCGGCCAAGTCAGTTATGTTGCTAAAGTTACAGTGTCCACAGCTTATGCTCACCCATCGCAAGAAGATCCATATGCTAAGGCGGAGAGCCAGAGAGCTGACGAGAGTGAGGATGTCGCTTGCCGAAGCCATAGTGCTACGCGACAAGCATCACTTTGCAGTATCTAAATGACGAGAGGGATGGGAAGAATGGGCGCGTCTTAAGCATCAACCGCGTCCGAAAGCAAAAGCACCGCGCAATCACCATGACGTCGTTTGGCGCTAACGCCCTTTTTAGCGCGACGACCAGGGGGATTAGAGGTGAGAGAGCTCGCACCTCATGCAGTCATCTAGACATGTATATACAACAACAGCGAGAAATTCTAGTTTTCAGTTATCATCAAGCCTAAAAATGGAACACCTCCGACGTGCAATGATCGGACCGGCCCTTCAGCGATGGCATTGTTTACTAAACTCCAGACGGCCCATCTTGGTACAGCTCTTACCTACACCTCAGACTCATGGAATAAGAAAAAAGAGAGCAAGGTCCAATGTGCATATACAGTGCATATACCTGTGTTCGAGCCAATGGCCGTTTGATCACATAAGTACAATCTCCAAGCTTGATGGCAAGCCTTGAAACCCCAGCTGCAATTGAGGCAGTGCAAGAGCAATGCTATCATCCATTTGGTTAATGGCACCCCGCTATCATACATAAGCGACCAGCATCCGCTAGGCTGTACTGGTATTTCTCAGCTCACCATCCTCAGCCTTATCCTTTGCTCTCTCTCCATCTTCTTCTTACCGACGCTCCTGTACCTCCAACATGCGACTAATCAACACGAGTACCTACACCTTCGAGGAGTTCATCGGTCGTGATATCCCCCCGTATGCCATACTATCCCACACATGGGAAACCGAAGAAATTACTTACCAGGACTACACTAATGATGCTTGCCGACACCTCAAAGGCTTTGCAAAGGTTATGAAGACACTTGAGATAGCTGAAGCGAGTGGCATCAGATATGCGTGGGTAGATACGTGTTGCATAGACAAGAGAAGTAGCGCGGAGCTCACTGAAGCCATCAACTCCATGTACTTGTGGTACCAGCGCAGCGAAGTCTGCTATGCCTTCTTGTCCGATCTCGAGGCTGATGCAGATCTTCAGGCAGACCTGCCACATTGTCGTTGGTAAGTCCACTTCGCGTGACTTGACATCTACATACAACTGCCTAATGTAAAAGCATTTGTCCACAGGTTTACTCGTGGTTGGACACTACAGGAGTTTATTGCGCCTCGCACTGTATACTTCTACGATTGCGATTGGCAATATAGGGGATCGAAGGAGAGTCTATCTACCGTACTGTGCCAGATCTCGGGCATAGAAAGGGATATCCTCTTACATCAACGTTCACTCCATTCGATATGCGTTGCCCAAAAGATGTCATGGGCCTCTTCTCGACATACAACGCGGATTGAAGATACGGCGTATTCATTACTCGGCTTATTTGGCGTCAACATGCCACTACTTTACGGTGAGGAGGAGCGTGCATTCCTCAGATTACAAGAGGAGATCATCAAGTCGTCCTCTGATCTCAGCATGCTCGCGTGGGCGGACTCTACAAACCAAGGCATCAGAGATCATAGCTCGGAATTATCCTGTGGCGTCCTGGCAGATAGCCCTGCTCAATTCTCCATGGCTGGGTCGATATATGGATCATTGGGTGTCGACTACATAGGAGAGTCTTCAGTCACCAATCGGGGTATAAGATTATATACTCCGCTGTGCGTCATCAAGGACTCAATCCTTATGAAGCATTCATACGTCATGCCTTTGCACTGCAAGTCTGCCTCAGATACCGAGCTTGGTATACGCCTTGAAAAAATCGGAGATGAGATGTTCCTCCGAAACGACCCTTGCAATCTTCTCGAATATGACAGGGACAGCTCTACACTCGCTCCTCGATTCATCTATCTCGCAATCAGAGTCCCGCATGCTCTTATTGTGGATAACGTGTCTAACCAGTATATCACTGAAAAGTCCCTGGCCAGTCTTCACACTCAGGTTCTCACATTGGATTTCCCAGCTCCTGTTGGCATCTATGACTATTGGGGCATATTCAACCATTGCAATCAGACCTTCTTTGAAACTTCTGAGCGGTCGAGGGGGTGGGTCGCTTTACGTTTTTCCATCTATTTCTTCGATCGCACTGTGATGGGAAATAATGGAATTGAAACTCGACTGTCCGATACCACCATCGATTGCATGCTCTTCATCATAGGTTGGACACCCGATGCAGAACATACCATGGGCTACTACCTTGTAAACGTTGCAGAGCACACCAACGCTGTGACAGAGGTTCTACGACTTTTCAAATCGTGGCAATATGATGGCCTCAGGGCTAAATCAATCTTGGACTATTTCCTCCCCAACTCCTCCTCTATGAATGTGCATGTTCCCGGCTCAGATGTGATGTATCATATCTTTATGGAATCTACAAGAGTCGTGGACACTACAATATACAGTCGACCATTCTGGAAGCTCAAGATTCATTCTGTTCAGACAAGGCGTTAACAATAGAGTATTAGTTAAGTCGTTGAGCTCTAGAGTAACTATAGGTATTCCATCTCGTATCTTGAAATACAGAATTGCTCCCTGTATGTCCTTTGGCTCCGCTTATTCCAAATGCGCGTTGCTGCACTGGCAGATATGTCTTTCCGGTAGTGGTTTCTAGAAGATGTGCCAATTGAGACTCCAATGGACCATTCAAGCACCCGTGGCATGGATTCGCATTCGCATGGCGACAAGCAAGCCGTCTGGACAAGGACTAGATCGGCAACTAGGACAGCTATTAATAAGCTGGCTGGTGAACGCATGCTCGGAACTTGACAAAATAGTATAGTAATCATAAAGCCAGGTACCCGAATATAACATCGAATCTTATTTATTAAGTGAAGGTTTTCGTTTAAGATACCAAATGAACCAATTCCCTCGAAACCTCGACCAACAATACTTCAACTCATCCGAGTTTCCAAATCCACACTTCCAAATCGAAATGAATGACAACCAAAGAAAACCCCAGTAATGAAAATGCAGAGAAGGAGAGTCCCCCCTCACTTTCAAAGCCAAAATGCTCACTAGTTCATCATAACATTGTTCCCCGGATTCCGCCTCGACCCAAACAGACTTTGCGCCCTCGAGCTCAACGGCTCCCGTCTTGCCGCAGCGCTGAGATTGAAGACGTGCCCATCATCCTCCGACGCAACATTTACATGACGCGCTTGACTGGGCACATCCAAGTTCTCCACAACCATGCTGTCCTCGGCCTCCGGTTCAACTGGCTCAACGACCGAGTCACGGCGCACTGACTGATTCGACGACTCGTCAGGCCCGTAATTCATATTTTCGTTCAGACGCGGCGGCGGTTGAGTGTTGGGGCCGTACATGATTGTATTACCAAGGGCATGCCTGAGATTTGCGTCTGTGACAGTGCTCTCTATGTGCTGTAGGCCCGCTACCCACCTGTCGCTTTCCTGCTGGCGTCCGATTTCGATGCCTTGCTGAATGAGTGCTTCATCCTCCCTGTCACGTCTCTGTTGTTGGAAATTCCTTTCTTCATGGGCCAGGCCATGCTTGATGGCGAATTGAATGACGGGACCGACGAAGGGGAGGTAGTTGACTGCTTCCATGCCTCCCTTTGCCACTGTACGAAGGACGAGGCGTTTGACGCCACCGTTGTTTTCAACGTAGCCCTGGATGGGTCCTTTGGCCCTCTTCTGGATGGCGTTGATCTCCTTATTAAGTTCGATTATCGCTTTGGGTGATTCCCAATCTATTTTAGTAACTGCGTCCCGGCGCTCTGGTTTGATCTTAACGGGCTTGTCTTCTCCGAACATCTTGTTCTTGATCTTTGTTATAAAGCCACTACACTTGCCGCCGGGATCGATCATGTTCACTGGATCGTTGGCGCAATAAGCATATGTGTTGGGTCCATCTACTGTTCCGAGAGGATCTGGAGATAGCCAGCGGCCAAGCCATGGACAGTATTTGCGGGCGCCGCACTGGTACAACCCAGACTCTTGGTCGTACATGTATTTGGCAAATCTATATGCACGCGGTGCTTCGATCTCGCCCATAGTTGATGAGTACATGGGCACTCCGAAAGGCGTGTACTCCTCATATGAAATCAACTGTCCTTGATCATCCAGCTCCGTGCTGTGTCCAATTTGGTAACGAATAAGCAAATCGTCTCCATCGGCGTTCTCGCCCGTCGTCTCCACCAAGGCAATCAAGTCGTCGCCGGACACGTTTGTGACATAGCGGCGGGTGACACCGTTGTTTGTGCTGATTTGGTCTCGAATCTCTCCACCATGGATAAATTTTGTGTCGCGGATCTTCCGTGGGTTTTGGCCCTCGCGGGCTGAGCTTTCAGTGACCTTGCGTACTCTGGTGCCAGTATAATCGTACACGTAGTACGTCGCCTCTGGAACTCCACTGTTGACATGTTGTGTTGAAGAGGATGCCATCATATTTTCACTGTTCCAGCTGATTCTCGAAAACTGCGGTAGACTGGTCATGCAACCCACCTTTCCTGCATTTTGATCATCCCCGTCAGCTTCCCTCACCCCGTAACCATAAACTTCCTCACTAGAACCGACAACAGTTTTACTGAGCCTGTTCCCAAGGGACTTTTGATCAGTACCTAGCAAGCCGGGTTCATTGTAAAAATACTTGCGAGTCCAGCCTTGCACCTTCTTATCCATAGGTGCCTCGTGCGTCATACTGGTGATATTCCCAGCCAGGTCGTACTTGTAACTTTCCAGGTAATGATACATCTGATTGCCATCGATCTGACTGCGATTCGTAGATGCGCCTTGCATTGCCGCGTGTTGGCTGAGTTGGACGTCTCCGCCACTTTGCGCTGGTAATTGGCCTCTACCTGAGGCGGATATGATTTGGCCCTGCATATCGTACGTGTACTTCCACTCGGCTTTGATTGCATCACCCCTGAAAAATTTGATCTGTTCAGACTCATCTCGGACAAGGACTTGTCGGTCGTAACAATCATAAAAGTATTTGAAGTTCTCTATCACAGACTTCCGATTTCCACGGTGCAAGACTGTCCTCTCAGAGCTAGGTAGGCGCGTAACCGGATCATAGAGTGTCTCTGTCCGCGTTCCATTACCGTACTCAAACAGAAGTGGAAGACCATCCGCAGCGTATTTACTGTCTATGAGGTATCCATTCCATTTGGAGCCCGGAGATCTGCGGAATCCCACGTACTTCAAATGGCCCAGGCGAGAGAACTTGCGCTGAGTGCTTTGTCCAGTGCCGAGTGGATTTGTTTCTTGCACATTATGACCAAAGTAGTCATACTTCACTTTATGCACGAGGGCTGTTTCCTCCAGGGCATTTTCGGTTTTCCAGTCAAGTGTTGTTTTGTAGTTCTGTGCTGGCTGAAACGATACTTCGCAGATTTGGCCTCGATGATTGATTTCATGTGTTTCGTGAACTCCGGACTGGTCAAAGACTCTCCATAGTTGTCCGTGGAGATTCCATGTTGAGGCTTCCTCAAGTTCATCTCCGTATTCGCTTTTGACAAGCAGCTTTGGTGATTCAGCGCTCGAGTATTGCCATTTCTCAGTCTGGCGCCGCAGCGCATCGTATGTGTAGTGGAAGCAAATTCCTCGACTATTCCATGACACCAGGGTCACGCCATCAACGTCGTACAAGGCCCAAGACTCTCTACTATCAATGCCACTTTTCAAATATGGTCGCTTCAACAAATCATACCTATTTCTTTCAACCAGACGAATCGTGCTGTCAAACTCACAAATTTTGTTGCCAGCAACGTCGTGTGAGAACGCTCGTGAGACCAATGTCTCGCCGCAATCTCTTACTTGCCTCAATGGTAAACCACAGCTGCCAGAGTATGTAGTGGTAGGGCCATCGCCGTATGCTTGAGACTTGGCCGCGGCCTCTTGCTGTTCCGGTGTCCCCCAGCGTTGTGCGTCCAGCCAGCTCGGAGTGAACCAGGATGATTCGAGCTTTGAGAAGAAAGGACCAAGAGCTTCGTCCTCTAGTGGGTTTTTACTTAGCATATCTCCTGCGGCGTATTCAGTGGCAGACCACGCATCAATCTTGCGTTTTGACCATAGATGATCAGGCATCAGCACACTGATTTCACGCCCAACTGCATCACGGAACGTGGTTTGCGCGTTTCCGATGATTAATGATGGCGGAATGAAGATAGGAGAGGCTGCGAATGTTGGGTCGTATGCGCGAAATTCCTTGCCATGCATATCAGTCATCTTGCTTCCAGCCTTAACCCATGCTTGTGTGGGATTGGAAGGATCGTCCAGCGCGAATTGCTGGCACACCTGGCCGAGGCCATTCAAATAGACAACCTTGATACGGACAGTCATTTCGCCTTCATCCTGGTATGATCGATCGCGAGTTATCTCAATAGAGCATGCCGGCTGAGTCTCTCCTGCAGCAGCTCCACCCCAATTCCAAGATGTTAAGTGGTTGGGAAGGTGAATGATTCGAGAACCTGCATCGCCAAGCAACCGCTTCACCGTTGCATCTTGCAGAGTGACTATGATGTTCTTTATATCGGCTTCACTTATCTCCATTGGTAACCTATCAAGCCGGTCCACACCTGCCGATTGGCCTTTCTTGCCCAGATTGGCGGTTGCGACCACTCTGCCCAAAGTGTCGAGCACAACTTGATGACGATTTTCGTTTATGTCTGTAAGCTTGAACGGGCAGAGATGCTCATAATCGTTTTCGAAACTTGTGGTATTGCCGCATGCATCCGTCACAGCCTCGACTAAGAGGTACTCGGTGTCCATTTTGACACGAGAGCGATTTTTGCGTGCATCTTCGTGGATCGTCGGGACGAAGAATGATTTTCGAGCTTCATGCAAATGCTCCAAACCTGTTGCTGAAAGGCTGAAAAGAGACTTCGACGAGGGAGCCCAATAAGATATACCAGTCTCATAAGCCATCTTCACATACCCCTGCGACTCAAGATAGTCTGCTACTGATACGGTCTCCGTGGCGGCAGGTTGGTAGCTGCCATCATGAAGAATAGGTAGTGGTTTTAGTCTAGTATTGCACTTTTGCAGACCTTCTTCGATCTTTTGCACCGCCTTCTCAGTGTATGCCAAGGCGAATGATTGGTCCAAGATTGAATATCTCTCGATTTCTCCTGGAGGCAAGGTATCGCTGAAATCACCGCGCAAATAAAGTGCGCGTTCCTCGTTCTCTAGAATTTTCCAAGGCCCCGTGCTCTTACTCTCTGGATATGTCGACACATCCATCTTGCGAGCTTCTTCAACGTCTAGTATCTTATCAAGAGAAATTCCAATAAGGTTGTGAGTTTGACTACGCCAGGGCACTGGGTTACGAAAGTATTGATCTTCCATGACTTCATTTGTGAACCAGAACTGGGTGTGAGATACATTGCCCAGGGACTGGTTCATGGAGACGTCGTCATATTTGATTTTCTTGACGAATTCCTGTTCGCGTGGATACACAATAGAAAGTGTCTTTTGTACACTTCCATATACATTAGTCTGCAGCACAATATCATGTGACCGTTTGACGTCCTCTTTGCTTCCCTCCAATTGACTCATCATCGAAGCCCGCGGTGAGACTTGGAAGACAGGATACGCATTGCGCCCCTTTTTCTGGATTTGGCGGATGTCATAAGAGAATTCCTCCACGGCCAATGGAATACCACTTTCTTCGCTTTGACTGAGATCGAAGGTTTCGACACGGATTTTCGATCCTCTCAATCCAACAAACGGATTGCAAGTGTCTAGGTCCTCGATCTTGAAGCATTTGGAAGTCATTAATGAAGAATCGTAGAACAAACTGTCGTCAACACTGATGCTCAACCCAACATTGAACCATGACTTTACAAGACTGGCTGGGGTTTCGTAAGTCTCTCCGTTTCCTACATTGAGTATTTGGCGTTCGATCTGCTCGACCATCTCAAATCCAGCGAACTGACTATCATAGTTATCATAGCAGCCATTGTGGTAGATGTATTTGCAAAGTCGTGAGTTTCCCGAGATTTCATCCTTCGTTTCCGTTGTAGATATCACGTGCACGGGGAAAGGTAACTTCGTGGTCCATGGTCGTCCTGCAGCGATATCGTCGAGATAAAATTCAGTAGATGGTCGATAAGTGACAGACGTTGAATGACCTAAGCCATTACTGTACGACTCTAAAAGGAAAGGCTTGATCTTCCCCATCAGATTGATGTATCTAATCTCGTTTAGACTCGAGGATGCATATGTATCGGGCCAGCAAAGGCTCGCAGTGCCACGACCCTCAATGTCAAGCACAAATATGGAATCCAGGTCCGTGATATTAGGTAGCTTTGGAATGCGAATTGCATTACCCCAAGAATTGCCCGCGAGGTTGAAAAATAGCACTGCCCCTCCTATGGGGAGGATGTAGAGAAGGTCAGTGGTCCCCGTTCCATCCACGTCAATCAATCTCAAGCGATCGTGGTCAAACTCTCCGTATTGCGAGAAATTTGGAGAGTTCCCCATGACAACAGCCCCGCCAAAAGTGCCATGGCCTTGATTCTGCCAGTATATGATTTTTCCATTGCTGATTTCAACCAGGTCTGACAGGCCATCGCCTGTGAGGTCTGCAACATATGTCCGCGCTTCCAAAGACAATGCAACCCTAGGTTTCAGTAGTTGATCTGAGCTTGATGTCGGTAATGACGATGTGTAGCCCTTCCTCCCTAGGTTTTGTTTCCACGTGAGCTCGTGTGAGCCTGTCAACTCCACGAGCATATCTGCAATGCCATCGCCTGTCAAATCGATTGAATAAGAAGAGCCATGCTGGGTCTCTCCAGTGGGCGTGTCTGGAAAGTCAGAGAATGTGCTCCAGGAATCGCTATCATCACGCTCGTAGAAGCCTTTTACAACCTGCGAGTCTTGCATATATACCAGGTCAAGATTTCCGCTTCCATCAAGATCTTGAAATGTCGTCTTTCCCGTTCGACCTAAGCTTGGTTGTTGACCGAGCGTTCTAGGCGGGCTGAATCCATTGTATGTACGCGGTTGATATATCATTGTACCATCAGGAAGCGTGTTCAGTAGACCGGGAATGCCCGCGCTCTCAAGATCCAGCCACTCACTGACTTTCGAGTCGCCCGGTGGATTTACAAGTGTGACAGTATCTGTTCGTAAAGACTGAAGCTCTTCGACGTTTGGTCCCGCAGTATATCCAAACTTCCACGTGGGTAACTCTTCAGTCTTGTATTGGGGAATTCCTGCCGCTCTGGACCCATCAGTCAACGCATAACCAATTTTATTCATGCCGACCAAGAGCGTCCGTTGAGACGATTCGTCGTAGTGGAGTATTTGAGCGGATACAAGGTTTTCAGAGAGATTGAATGGGCCAGGGAAGTGATGGAACATTAAGATTCGACGTAACAATCTATACTGCCGTACTTCGAAGCCTGCATGACAATCAGAGAAAGGGTCTTGGCGTAGTGACCACTTGTCCAGATCTTTAGTTGCTGGCACATCCATGTCGTGGTCTCCGTAGTCGAATACAATCTCAAACATCCAGTCAGAGGGCCACGTTGTTGGTTCCCAAGATGTCAGATCTCGATTTGAGATTCGATTTCCGTACTTCACACGTTTTAGATAACGATGCCGAGATCTTGATGCCTCAGAACGATACTGCTCCCAGATTGGCAGGAAACCACTCTCATCCCTTAGGCCATAGTCATTTTCGGCCTTGTAGCTGAGTTCGACTGCATTTCCTCGAGCATCATAAGTACGACTCAAAAGCCAGCTGAAGATCTTTGGTGGGCTTGCTGAGGAATCGGCAATACACGAGTTGCTGCTATCACCAAAAATGGACGTTACATTGTCGGCAGAAATTGTTCTCCAATGGACGACGCCAGAGACTGATGAGTACCATTTTTCGACACGAAGCGATTGGCTGTCGATCCGCAGTCGGAATCTGGTAACGACATAATTGCCATCGGTTCGCACTTGTATCTTCCCTAGCTCGTCAAGTACAGGCACAATGTCTTGACCGGAAAGCACAAACACGTCACCATCAGTGTACTTTGGGATCCCGCCACTTGTCTTGCATGAAATAGAAGCAAGATCGATGCCCCATCCAAAGCCGAGCGGCCCATTTCCCGACCCAGAACTATATGACAGACTGAGATTCGGCCCAAATCCCCCTCTAGTAGGTGAACTCAAAATCGGCAATGCTAATGAGAGAGTACCATTGGCAGGATTGACGGCAAAATTCTCGCTGATAGAACGGAAAGCACCACCACCTTTGCCGGACGCGTCGAAAGATGTCTGAAATCCCGGGACCCCATCGGCAAGCTTGCTGTTTTTGGCTGCGACCTGAGGGCGTGAGATGAAATTGCCCTTTCAGGAAAGTGAATGATGTTTTTGAGCGAGGCCCTGGGTGAACTTTCTAAGCGCGTTCGTGCCTGTGTCTCGAGCAGCTGCAAAAGCCGCTTGAGACTGAGGCTGGGCTGTGGCACTTCCTGCCGTACGGGCTTGCCTGTGGACCATGGCCGGCATCGTCGACAGGTGTTGAGTAAGAGATGAATGCTTGGAATGATGACGACAAGGCCTAATTTCACAGTAGAAGGACTAATCTGGTGGGACTAGAGGGTTTTGCAGTTCTCTTTACACATTCTCAGCCACAGCTGCCCAGTCTTTCCCAACGGTGTGCCAGCAAACATCGGTACCATCTTCATCAGACCCCGCATCAAGGCCGCTTTGTCCGGGGCCGCCGGTGGCTTTTCCAGTTCATTGCAGCATGCACCTGAGCCCACTAGTGATGCGACTTGTTCGTATAGCTCTTATGCAAAGACATTTCGAGAACGTGCGTTACCTGTCATGTTGCTTGACTAGGTTCGGCACCTCTAGAAAGGTCGAAAAAGCCCGTGGCGTACAAAGCGTCTTGGACGACGGCACACGAAATGTTAGCTTAAAACTTCCACTCGCGCTTGCTTTCCGAACGGTCAGATGTCAGGATTAGGGACCGGCTCATCGGGCACGTTTAGCGGTTAGGATTGGTCACAATATGTCCTTATCATCCAGGGTCAAGATTTGGAATAGAAAGAGTGAGTTGAAGTTTTGGGCCCAGAATCATGTTTACGAGAAGGATTGGTGGCGTTGGTCCATTTGAGGTTTTAGACGGGCCCATCGGCTTCAGTGTGGAGGTATTGTGGGGCATGAGGATATCCATCCGATTCTGAGCAAGATCAGCATTCCAACTGTGTCATTAGCGGACAGTTCAAGCTGCAGGGACGTGAGCCGAGGCGTCTACACTACAGATGTAGCAGACGTGCTGTGGCGGGGCGCCCCGAGGACCCACATCGCTAAAATGAACAAGGATCATCGCAGCTGAAATTAGGTTCTGGCTTAATGTCATTCTTTATCACACGGAATCGGTCATGCGTATGCTGGCAAAGTGTGCTATTGCTTTCTGAGCGGCATGTGCTGTCAGAGGAATTGATGAATTGATGGAGCCGGCTGATGATCTCGGCAATTGTCTTGCAACTAGATCAAAATACTGACCCTTGGGGGCGGGGGCGCGAGCAACTCAGTTCTAGTGATCCAGACCAATAGGCAGTTTACCAGTACAATTAAAATCAATTGAAGCACGATCAATGTGGAATAAGTGAGATGTGTTTTGGCCATATTGCATTACAGTATAATTTTCTTCAAAAAAGAATCTGGATAAAGTGATGTTTTGAAGGCTTGTCTAAGTCTTGGGTTTAGCTGATGGCATAAGCGCTTGCACTTCCTTGTTGTTCAGTAGCACAACATCCGCGTCATTCATCTGTGTGGTAATTCGGAAGTAGCGTTCTCGATTACCCTCCCTGTTAGGATTTCCAGCGTCCACATCCACAGCTAGGTCAGGGTCTGTCCAGATCTCGGTAAGTCTGAGTAGATAGGTGCCCATAGGATTGACCTCCCCTTCCATGTTGATGGTCCAAGAGTCGTCTGGCTTTAAAGCGAATTTCTTCATGTCTGGGACGGCTGTTTGCACATCAAGAAAGAAAATGCTCTTCTGAATATCTGGAATAGCCCTGAGTTTGATATCAGGGCTCGTGGCAGTGATGTTCCACACAGATGGCGGGCCCGTAGCCGGAGCGGCAGTAATAGCAGCAGCAGCAGCAGTAGTAGTAGTAGTAGTAGCAGGGGCGGCAGGAGTAGTATCAGAAGCAGCCGGAGTAGTATCAGGAGCAGAGGCTTCAGACCTTTTCTTCTCTGTTGAAACTACAGGCGCTACAGGCTTTTCCTGGTCTGCTGGATCTCTCTGATTGCTTGGCTCGGCATCTTTGTCGGCTATAAGAAGGATTAATTCAGAACAGGAATGAGGGTAGGCACTTAAACTCACTTTGACCATGTTCTTTCACTGGAGCATCAGGATCGGCGGCAGCCTTCTCAGCAGCAGCCTTCTCAGCGGCGGCCTTCTCAGCAGCAGCCTTTTCGGCGCTCAGCCATCTCTTAGGATCTCTCTGCTTGAACATGACTAGATTGTGAGACGCCTCAATTGGTATAAAGGTAAACTTGATTCGCTTGAAGCCCAGATCTCCTATGCTCAAATTCTTGCCGCTGAAGGACAAGCGTATACGTCCATTGCCTATTGGAACGTACTTGCTGCTCCAAAAGAGGGCCAATTGTGGTTCTACTTCACCTGGATCTATGGCTGGAGGGGGAACCACTGGCTTTCTCTCTTGTGTCTTTGGCTTCTCGAATTTCATGTTACCTGGAGGTCGAACTACGACTTTTCCTGTTGGCCTATTGACGTTGTACCTTAATTAGCATATGATGCGCAAGTATAAAAGGGGGGGGAGGGGGGCTTTAAGGGCACGTACTCCTGATAAGTTACGTCGGCGATCAAATCGCCATAGTCGTTTAGCATTGGGTCGCCAAATTGAAGAACACCTGTGCCTGGGTAAACAAATTGGCCCAAATCAGAGAACTTGCCTCCATTCAGGTAATGTAGGCCAACTCTCGACAAGATGGCCTTGAGGCTATCTCTTATTGCATTAGAAAGAGTCTTGTGCGCATCATGCCGCACATATGACATGTTGTAGGGCTCGCATTTGAAATGCTCTGGAGCTCCATCAGCCCCTAGGCCAATGATTCGTGGTCTGATCATGCCATTCTTCAGCAAAGGATCTTTCTTGTCATCTTCATCCCTTTTGAGGTCAATCTGGAAGGACCAAGAAGCCTTGGCCTCGAACCTTTGATCTCGAAATTAGCAGTAAAACCCAAAAAATTTTCTGATAGGCTGACTTGACTCACTCGCCGTAGCACATGCCTTGCGAAAAACTAGTGTTGGGGCAGTATTCCTCCCTATGTTTGTAGTACCAGCTGCCTGACACGGTAATCACGGAGTCTCCAGGATTCCAAGACACTTTGACGCCATATTTGGAAAAAATGTTCCACTGACGATTGAAAGGGCCAGGTATATTTTGTGTCCAGTCCCAACTATAGTGGAACTTATCAGGTTGTGAGAAGCTTCCTGGGGCCCATGCTTCGTCGCCCCATTCATAGGTGCCAATAGAAGTTTGTTTGAACTTGAAGTAATCGTTGTTCGCGTCGCCACGATTGACTGACGGATTCTTCAGTTTATTCCTCTCTTCCTCATCAATAACCGCTGATCCAATGACAAATTGGGGATCCCAAAGGGCGTAATTGTCGCTGTTTACTCCCCCTTTTTTGGTGTGGTTGGGATAACCTGCACGGCTACGCACAACTCTTGAAGCATGGCAAGGATACGTTTATGCATGAAGAGACGATGATCGACTACGAATGAGCCGTCGAATTTGCCCTTCTCAGCAAGGTTTCCACCAAAGCGTAGTCGCTTCTGATCAGGAAGTTTCCGAGGTTTGTTGTCTCTGTCTACGGTTTCACACCAACACAGACAATTTTGACCTCTTCCGGCAACGCTGTCCGGAAATTTCAAGGGGTTTTTGAGATTCTGGGTCTCATCTGCGGCGAGATACGGGTAATTCTGAAGATGAAGGCTTGTAGGGACTTTAGTAAAAGTGTCAGCATCTATTGTCGAGTAATTGTGGAAGAAACTAGACCTACTGAATGTGGGAAGCGGGCTATCTATTAAGCGAAAATTAGTTGTAAGAAGAATGAGGATGGTTCTGATCACATACCTTCTTTCCTAGGCACACTGATCTGCAGGCCGAGTGTGAAGAAGGCAGAGTCTTTGTGCCTCGTTGCCCACTTCTCCAAGACCTTTTTGATCTTACTTAATTTTTCGGTGTTGTCTTCATGCAATACGCCCCATTCGTCTATGGTGATGTCTGCTCCGTTTGGTCCAAGAGGACAAGTGGTATATTTTGATTGCGGGCTTGACCATGCAAGAGCTGTGTTCGGTCAAAAAGGGGCGCATAGAACGTTGTTACAATCATGCATACCATTAATTGAGGCAAACAATCGATTGATTGAATATTCTCCTGTCTCCATCTTCACGTCCTCGTTCTTCTCCTTCTCTGGCGCATCAGGTGCAAGCGGCCGCCGAAAGTCATAATCCTTGAGCAATTCATTTACAGCATTTTGGTGGAGGATTTCCTTGTCTATGACTGTCATTTTGGAAAGATTAGCCAGTACACCGACCTTCCATCCTTTTAGGTCAACGCCCGCATCAAACTCATCGATCTGCAAGAGACCAGCTTTAAAACTACCAGAGGTGTCAGCATGGGTTCATGGCTCCACCTGAGCCCGAATACAAACTTGACTTGAAAGATCAAACTAGGGTCTTGTGCCAAATCGAAATCGAGAATAACTTTGGGTGGACCCATGACTCCTTTTGTGATTTTTCCATCCGTGACATCGCCAGTGTAAAAGCTTATGTCCTTGATTGGATCCGTAGGAGCTCGTAGTGCGAACAAGTTTTTACTCCGGATGGCAAAATTATGGAAACCGCCATGAGTGCTTTGCAAAGTCTTGCCAGCACTCCAAGGGACAGCTCGATCTCTTCACAAAACCTTTCGTCGTACTTCACACCGCCCACCACTGACCTAATGACTTTCCAATATAAGGGGCAAGTTTCCGCCGTTCAGCTCTCCGTTAATGGTCTTAATATTTCTTATTCGCCAGAGACAAACTCCTTCGCTCCTTTCCGCATGACGGGAGGACAAGCATACCTTCTCCAAGGTAATTTTGCCCAGGAAGACTTACTATGGTCAACTTCGAAGACTCAGCCATCTGCTCTGCCTCCAAAAATGCTTCTACCCTTGGTAACGACTGATCGTGCTGTCAGAGTCATCGCAGCTGTCAGTCGCGTTGCGATGATTTGCCAAACATTCGGCTTGACCGTGGACGAGCTTGAGTTCTTGAGTTTGCCTAATGCATCGACAATGCTCTCAGTGGACCTCAATCAGCCCAACCTGCAAGATTTGGTCCGATTACAAGAATATGTGGAGCTGCGCAAACCCACGAGCTCAAACAATACCACTAAAACACTTATTTCTCTGGTCTCCTGGCTATCAACTGGCAGCGATACTGATCTCAACGCTATGGTTTCAAGAATACCAGAAAGCACAGGTTGGGCAGCGTCCCGTATAACGATTGCAATCAAGACAAAATACGTCAAGCTGCGCGAAGACCAAATCATGGCTCTGATTCAGAAAGACGAACGGTTTCTGTACTCGCTCCAGGGCATACTTGGACTTCATGAAAGAATCGCACAGGAGGTCAGCACTGCTTCACAGCCGTCTTTAGCAGTGTTATTCAGCTTGAGCTCTCCACGCAAGATTTTGACTGCAGACGATAATAGTTTCGCTCGAACTTTGCAAATGAAGTTGCAGCCAGAACAGCTTGCTGCTGCTGAGGATCGGCTTGCTCAGAGTCAGCAGACTGCACTGATTCAGTTCTTGCTACAGAAATCATACGTACGCGACGGTTTGAAAATCGATAGCGCTAACGGATTGTTCGAGCATTTCCTCATGGATGTTCAGATGGGTCCACAACTACGAACTTCACGTGTGAAACAAGCCATCTCAGTGATTCAGTTATTCGCACAGCGCTGTCTACTAGGATACGAAAAAGACATTGACAAGAACGCTTTAGCTCGAGAGAAGTGGGACTGGATGCAGCAGTATTCTCTATGGGAAGCCCAACGCAAGCTCTTCCTGTATCCGGAGAACTGGCTCGAGCCCTCATTGCGCGATGATAAGAGCGAGCTGTTCGAGCAATTGGAGACAAGTCTCATGCAGAAAGATTTGTCGCAAACAACTGTTCTTGAAGCTCTTAAACTATACATACAGGGCCTGAATGATATAGCCACGCTCGAGATTGTAGCTTATCTTCGCGAAGTAAGAGAAGGCGACGAAGTCTACCACCTATTTGGAAGGACTCGCTGCGCCCCTTCTGCACTATATCATCGCACTTTGACAGTAACAAGACTTGGCGCGAAGTCGGATCTGATCTGGCGACCATGGCGAAAAATTGACATGGACATCCCATCGGTAGAAACTGAATGGGATGGAAACAGGCTCGCTTCTACCGGCTGCTATTTGCTGCCTTTCATTCAAAATCGAAGGCTCTATTTATTCATGCCTCAAGTTACGCTCAAAACTGTCAGCACTACCCCTGATATACTGAACAAAACGGAGACCAAGTTTGAAACGCTACGCGAGGCACCCGCGGCCACAGCTGTCCCAAAGAGGGTCTGGGAGGTAACTATGGCATGGACAGAGTGTGTGAGGGGGGTCTGGGCGCCGAAACGCGTGTCCGCGGGAGGTGTCACCATACCCTTTCAGCAACAGTCCATAGCCCAATTCCGTTTCGACCCAATTATTGACAACAATAATCTCACGCTGTTGGTTAGCGTATCTACAGGAAGCTCAAAAGGGGTCGCTGTTGGGCGATTTGCATTTTCGAATGGTCAAATCAGTTTGGTCGAGGCAGTCGTGTCCGGCAGTCTTTGGTCGAAGATTGGTGCGGTAGAGCAAAACTCCTGGGCTCCAGCTCGTCCGCTGCAGCCAAGATTTCAGTCCACAAAAGTGGTTGCAGATTCCTCGAACAAGGACTATGCCTCAGCTGCTCTGCCGCAAGATAGCGAGAAGGACGCGAATCTACAAAGAAATCGCAACAATGTTCTTTGGGTTCCACCGGCCATAGATGCGCTCATTCGAAGCAAGAGCAGTCTGACTATGTCTGAGACCTGGTTAGAATTGTCATGGACTCTACCACCGAATCATATAACACCAGGAATGTCGACGCTCGATCAGGATACTTGGACCCCGAATATTGGTGGCCCATATACTGCACTGGCTGTTAGCGGGAAACATGGAGATGGAAGCGCAACGAGCTATTTTATGGTACCTCGGGAGGATCCCAGTGGGACATGGTGGACTCCCACCAATCTTCGCAGCAAGATGGATCTGACCGTGGTCGATCACACCTTCTCGGATGGTTTGATGAAAGCGACAACGAGCCAAATGAATCCATTCAAGAACATTTACTCTTCTTTAGCGACACTTTCTGCACGAAGGGGCAGGGAGGCTTGGGGAGCCCGCCAAGATCTCCCTGCTCATGAACTTGGGCAACCAAGCGCGATCTATAATTGGGAAATTGGTCTGCACGCCATTTTGTTTGCCGTAGATCGTCTTGCATCCACCCAACAATACGAAGACGCGCTCGAACTCGCACGGCTTGTGTTTGATCCCACCGCCGACGTAAAGGGAGATCGTCTGGTAAAGCGCACCGAGACAACAACGAACGGCCAGACGACTACGACGGACGCTGATGTCATCTCATATCTCAACAATCGCGCCGATGTGTTAGACATCTCACAAAGTGAAAAAACTAAGAAAAGCCTGGTCAATGTTCAAGATGTGACGTGTTGGCGGTTTCCACCTTTCCAGGACATCGCTCGCAAGATCGTGGATGACAGAAAGGATGCAGACCTGAACATGAGCGACATGCATAATCTTCTCCAGCCTGCCGTCATGGAGCGGCGCTCAAGTGGTACCTTAGTCCATGCTACGGCACGCGGTCAACCACAAGCATACATGAAATGGATTATGATGAAATATGTCGAGATCTTGGTAGCATGCGGCGACATTTACTTTCGCCGAAGTACCCTTGAGAGCCTGCCACTTGCTATTCAACGGTATATCGAAGCTGCCTATGTCTTGGGTGAGGAGCCTCCTAAAGTGCCTCAGTTGGCCAATCGAAAGATCCGAGGAAAGACTTTTAGCGATCTGAGTGACGAAGATAGTCTGTTTGAGCTTGGTCAACCGTTCACACCTGAACTTGAGGCCAGTCCAAACCAATCGAGTGAGGAAACAGACGCGAAGAAGGAAAAGATTGTATGCTTCTTGAAGACGCAATATTTTGGGGTACCCATGAATCCCAAGTTCAAGACTCTCCGTGCTTTGGTGGGCGAGCGCTTGTTCAACGTGAGAAACGGTCTCGATATTCAAGGTCGCCCAGTGTCTTACTCGCTGATGGAGCCATTGATTGATCCTGGCGCCCTCATAGCGCTGGACAAGGCGGGCTTCAGCATGTCAAATACTTTAGCCATGGTCATGGGTGATCAAAACAGTCCATTACCACGACAGAGGTTTGAAATACTCCTACAGCGTGCTTTAGAGCTATGTGCAGAACTCAAGAGCCTCGGAGAACGCATGGTTTCTGCTATTGAAAAGAAGGAGGCAGAGACGTTCGCATCATTGCGAGCGAGACATTCCACAAATATCAATCGCATGATGCTGGACATGAAGAATGCGAGTCTTCGCGAGGCGGAGCAGTCTATTGAAGCATTGCAGATTAATTGCGATGATATGGTGTCGCAGCTGGCATACTACCTCGAGCTGGCCGGAGAACCATCTTCTCGCATTCCTACAAGTAAAGATCCATGGATTGATATCGACCAAGACATTGACGTGCCTACGGACGACGATTTACGGATGTCACGTCACGAGAAAGAGGAACTCGACAAGGCCGACTCAGCTTCCAACCTGACTTTGATAGCTCAAGGTATTGACACACTCGTGGCGCCATTCTTCATGGTCCCCACCATTTCTAGCAACGTGCAACCTATGGGTGTGGGCGCCACCGTCACGCTCGGAGGCGGTTCAACTATCGCACAAATGATGCAAGCCGGCTCTGCTGCGCTGCGTGTAGCAGCCATGATCAAATCGGACGACTCGGTTCGTGCTGGACGCAAAGCGCAGCTTACACAACAGCTCCAGGATCGTCGTATGCAGGCCAACATGCGTGGTCGAGGAATAAAAGGCATCGACAAGCAGATCGAGATCCAGCGTACCAGAATTAAGATCGCCACCCAAGAAATTGAGCGCCAACAGGTCGAAATTGATGAGTGCGCCCAAATTGAGGAATGGTACAGATCGAAGTATAGTAGTGCTCAACTCTACGCCTGGATGGAGAAGAGTCTTCGGAGCGTTTACTTCCAAGCGTATACTCTCGCTATGGCCGTCGCGAGTCGAGCAGAAAGTGCTGTCAATTTCGAGCAGGGTCGCAAAGCTTCCATCTTACGCCCGGGAGGCTACTGGGACGCGTCTCGCGATGGGTTGCTCGCAGCAGATCATCTATATCTCGATCTCAAACGGCTCGAGACCAGACATCTCGAGTCCCGTCCATACGACTTTGAACTGACTAAGACAGTGTCCATACGACAGATCAATCCACTCACGCTACTACGTCTGCGAAGCACCGGGAGCACTGTGTTCTCGCTCGACGAAAGTCTCTTCGACCTCGACTTTCCTGGGCACTACATGCGTCGCATCCGCTGCGTCACAGTCACCGTCCCAGCCGTTGTGGGAGCCTTCAATGGCATCAACGCTACGCTCACACTGATCCAGCACAAATACCGCATCTCCACCCTCGTCAACTCAGCAGAAGAGTACGCTTCCGCCGCCACCGCCTCTGCAACCGGCGCTTTCCAAACCGACAACCTACCCATCACATCCGTAGCCATTTGCTCTGGCTCCGATGACCCAGGCGCATTCGATCTCTCCTTTGGCGGCCCGCAATACGTCCCCTTTGAAGGTGCAGGCGCAATCTCCACCTGGCGTCTCGAGTTCCCCTCCACTATCCAACGCTTCGATTTCGAATCCATCAGCGACGTTGTGCTTCGCGTGCAATATACCGCTTCTGACGGCGGCGCACGCCTCCGCTCATTTGCAAATACCACAGTGTCGAATGCCATCAAGGCCATTACTGATTCGCCTGCTGCTCGCAAGGATGGGCTGTGGGCCATGCTCGATCTGAAAACCGACTTTTCAAACGAGTGGTACGGCTTTGCTAAGCGCATGGTTGCAGGTGCGAACGGCGATGTGACCAATGCGAATGTCTCGCTACAGCTAGGTAATGTGAGGGATCGTCTGCCCTTTTGGGCACGCAATGTGCCTACGCTCAAGATCAAATCTGTCTCGTTGGTTGGCAAGGATACAAAGGTACTGGGTAGTATCAAAATCTCTGCGTGCGATGGTACGACCGCCAAGGAAGGGGATAAGATCGGTGAATGGCGTGTGTTGAATTGGATCGATGTAGCCATCGATAGGAAGGGTATGGAAGGATGGGTGTTGTCGGCGGAGGCGAAGACGTGCGAGGGTAAGGAGCCAGGAGCTGCATACATGTTGTTGCAGTATACCTTGTGAAAGTAGCCAAATCATCTCGAAACCGATATTTGGGGCATATATTGCGGCACGATACGTGATCGAGCTCAAAAGATGAGAGGGGCGACCCGCAATCAGGTAGATAGAATAAGCTGAAAGCTGATCGCTGTAAAGGAATAATTGGAGAAGGTGCCTATTTACGTACGAAAGAAAATCGTAATACATACCGCGAGCTGGTCACGTGATACTACACCACAATATAGCAAAACTTAGAGTTTTTTCGATCCAAAAAGAGGCGAGCGATAGCATGCTCCTGATACTGTCCCACTTGGTACATCAATCGACATGCGCTATATCAAATGTCACTGACATATTTCGTAGACTTCTCAGATGCGATTGCTAGCCGGAATCAAAAAGAAGTAGTCCTTCCATGAGCTGTTTTAAGCTTGTCATGTAAGAGACTACACCGAATAAACTGCTTTGTAAAACGAAGCGTGACTGAGTAGGAGAGGAGTAGCAACACAACCGAACTCCGTATATGCGATAGGGACATGAGAGGACTATAACAAGATAAAAGGGAATGTTTACACATATGGTCATCTCGCATAAGCAATCTATCTATTCTATTTCTCTCTAGTTCCGTGGATGGGACGAAGGTAAAATCGTTAGTTCTTGTTGATCTTGCGCACAGGCCACAATTTACTCTGCTCCCACGAAGTAGTACCAGGAACTGTGAATTTCAATAGACTCAGGGAAGAGTTCAGATGAGATAATTATGAGCCGCTCACTTAACCACATCGAAGATTAGCCGGCTTCTACTGACTTAGCAGTATCTACTCCACGTACCGGCGGTGATAACTCAATGGTTTGCACTCAGAATGACTCATTCTCGCTCCCTTGCATAAACCGATATAGGAAGGTGGTACTGCCAGGAATGGCCATGTCATAAGAGTGTTTATTTTCCTTTCAAGAAACATCGTGGCACGTAGCCCTGCAACGTATTACTCTTAACATGGTCGCTCCTATGTCATCGGAAATACCCCGCATTGTTCGCACCGACCGGATATTGCCTGATCGACATGCAACCCGCGAATATACCTGTCCACTATCACTGCTAGATGCAACAACCGCTAACTTCGGGCTCACTAGCGCCATATGGCTGCTAAAATGTCCGAATACTCCACTTGCGCAAGATAATCCTGCTGGCCACCTACACGCAGCATTTCGCGAAACCTTGAATGCATACCCGCAATGGTGTGGGTTTCTCAAAAGCATCAGTACCATTGATAGCAATGAATGTACACCAGAAATAGCTCAGTTTCCCACGCATGCTAGACGCTACGGTCGATTGTACGTACACTATGGGACAGATGCAGATCCAGGAGTTGAATTCGTGGAGGCGACAAGTCTGGCAAACGTGGAGAGCCTTTACAGCGTTGACTCGGGAAAGAGACGGCCTATTTGGAACCGACTGGAAGACGAGGTTACACTTGCCCGTTTAGCACCGCAAACAGCCGTGGTTAATGCGCTTCAACCGGACGAGAAAGATGCAAATGGCTTGTACAAACCGTGCATGGCCGTACAACTTACTCATCTTGCTTGCGGTGGTTTCGTGATAGCTGCGAAGATCGCCCACCCGCTTGCAGATATCACGGCACTTACTCGTTTTGTACAAGATTGGGCAGTCAATTCTCGTGCCTTGATATCGAAAATGCCCTTTCCAGCATCAAATTCAATCTTCCAGCCCGATCTTCTGGATGCGTGTGCCGCGGGTGACATCAATGCCAGCGAAGCCAATCCTACCATCATGGAAGACGCACTTGCCCTTCCGCTGCATAGATACGACTGGTGGGCGCCGCCTATGAAGCCTCCGCCGCCTTTTCCTGAGGATCTGGCTCCAGCGGGGAAATCGCTGCCTTGGGCCGAATGGGATTCGAAAGCGAAGGTAAAACAATACACGATTCATTTGAGCCAGAAGCAAATCGAGTTCCTATGGCGCTCTGCAACGCAAAACACCTCCCTTACACCTTCAGGTTCGAAAATCAGTAAGCACGACGCTGTGTTAGCCCATATCTGGTCGTGCGTGGTGCGTGCTCGTGGTCTCCAGAAGGACCAAGGACCCGTCCATTGCGACCTCGTGCTCGGTACGCGACCAGCACTCAAACTTGATGCCGGCTTCATCGGCTCACCAACCATGATGCTGAACATTGAGTTGACTGCCTCGCAAGTCGCTAGCGGCGCCTCGCTTGGGCAGATCGCACAGTGCATACGTGAAACATTGGCGACAGTCAATGATGCGAAACGACTGGCGGCGCACCTCCACAGTATCGCATACGAAAAGTCGCCGCAGCGGATCTGGCAGGGCTTTCTGGGCCAGCGGCACATAATGGTGACAACGTGGGCGCGAGCGGGCATGTACGAAGTCGACTTTGGGCTTGGGTCACGCATTCGCTACGCTGATGGTGTTGTACCATGTTTGGATGGGTGCATTCTTATCAACGACGCGCCACCAACGAATTCTACATCGTCTTCAAATGCGTCTCTAAGAACCTGGACAGATAATGGGGTCGACATCACGTTGCCACTGCTCCCTGACGATATGAAACGCTTGTTACAAGACCCGTTGCTTCTACCGCAGGCATAAATTCTAGTCTATTACTTTTACAAACATGAATATAGTTCAATCTATTACCTTGTGACACTGATAACCCTGTTGCTTTTCGATTAAATCACATCCTTAAATGTAAAATAGCAGTCTGTGTGAGTGACAGTCTGTGTGAGTGACAGTCTGTGTGAAAGAAAAAAAAACCCCTATTCACCTGCATCACTCTGCCTTCTTTGAGGTCTTTGTTCTCAATTTCATAAGACCATAAACCAAACCGTAGGAGCTCAGAGCGAATAGAGCGCAAATTCCGATATTCCTCCATCCATAATAGTGTTCCTTGATGTTGAGGGTGGCTAGGTAATCGCTTCCCTTGCGGTATTGACACACTCTGCAAGCTTCCATGGCCTCTGGGTTGATCAAGTTCGCTGCTCTTCCCAAGCCCTTGAGATAAGGTTCCAAGTAAGCACCGCAGGACTGGCCACTTGGCGGGTCGAAGACTGCAAACTCTGACGTCTTGCAGATGACCTCCTTGTCCCACATGGTAAACGTGAGCAGGCCTCCCATAAGATATGTGAATGGGTTCAAGTAGTACATCCAGTAACGCCAGAATTCCGTGATCTGGGTGTACGGGAGGAGTACGCCGCAGAAACACGTCAAGCTGGAGATGACGACGGGATTGACGAGACTGGCAGCGATGGCGTTGGGAGCGTATGCAGCGACGAACTGGCCTATGCCTGTGTATACGAACTCGTAAAGGAGCATGATGAGGAACACGGCGCCGGCATCCTTGCTAGCGGACGGGAAGCCCACGGTGTAGTAGAAGCAGACGAAGTAGAGAACGGCGCAAAGGACGAGGTATACGAATTCGCTGACGATGACGCCCGTGACGAAGGCTACCCAAGCTGTGGAAATACATAGTTAGCGAAATGGTTGTAAGGTGTTGGATGGCGGGAAAACTCACAATAAATCCTGCTCTTCTTTTCACGAACGTCGTAGATGTCGCGGCGCTCGATGAACAATGGCTGCAGCTGGGCAAATACACCGGGCGCCACGAAGATGAAGTTGAAGTTGGCGAACAGGGCCAGTTGCAAGTCTGCCACGCTATTTCCAATCATCCAGAAAGTGAATCCGTTGAACAGCGCAGAGCCAATGTGCAGGGAGATCTTGTTGTTGACGTAGTCGATGTTTCTGTAAAGCGCGATGTTCATGCGGTTTGTGACAATCTTGATCTGGGTCCACATATCTGCGGCGAAAGCCTTTCCGTCGTCGACGCTCTTGGCCGGCTGTGCAGCAGTTTCAGTGATGATGTGATCGAGTTCCTCAACCACTTCAGCGTGCTCTGGAGACTCCAGCCATAACTTGTTCCAGTCCTTGCCTTGGGAGAGACTGCCTGAAACGACATCGATCATGTGTTCTGCTGGGTTCGCTTCGGGGGGGCATGGGGCTCCGTTGCGTCCAAAGTAGTCCTTGATCGTGGCTGCGTTTGTACCAATGTCTCCAAAATACACTGTCTTGCCACCTTTGGTGAGCAGGAGAAGAGTGTCAAACTCGGCGAACAGTTGCGCGCTGGGCTGATGGATTGTGCAGAGAATGGCTTGTCCAGCCCCAGCAAGCTTGCGAAGGAACCGTAAGGTATTGAACGCAGACTGACCATCCAAGCCACTCGTTGGCTCATCCAAAAAGATAAGGATGCTAGGCTTCGCTACCAGCTCAACGCCAATAGTGACTCGTTTTGTTTGTTCGATCGAGAGGCCTGCGCCAGCTCGGCCAATCAGTGTGTGCTCCAAGTCGCGGAGCTCGAGGAGATCAATGACTGTATCGACATAGCGAAGCTTCTCTGCCCTTGGCGTTTCTGCTGACTGACGCAGAAGAGCAGAGAATTCCAGAGCCTCCCTGACAGTCGTATACGGTTCGTGGACGTCTAGTTGCTCACAGTAGCCAGCACTACGTTGAAATGAGACCGGAAGAGGTCTTCCATCGACAAGGATAGAACCCTGGATTGTCCCCTCGGTTTTACGTTGAGCAAGAACATCCATGAGCGTGGTCTTGCCAGCTGTATGTTATGTTAGCAAAAAATCCAACATGAACCAAGGATATACAGCAAGCAATTTACCACCACTAGATCCCATAAGAGCGCCCAAAGTGCCTGGCTTGATCCATCCTTGAACATTATCCAATAAGACCCGTGGACCATTTGGGGTTTTGACAGTATACGTTAGGTTTTTCCAGGTGAAAACAGACTCGTTGCGGATCAGGCCATCGGATGTATCTCTCGCGGAGGAAGCGAGCACACCGCTCGAATCTGAGGAGGTAGGGTCTTTTTCATTCACCTGAGCTTTTTCGTTGACCTGAGACTCTTCATCAGCTGCCAAGACAGTTCTTGCTTTCTTTATGTTCTCGCGTGGAACAAGAAGCGAGTCACCTCCGGTAAACGTATTCTTCCAACGATTCGTGAAGAATACAGTCCAGGAGGTGTACAAGACCCACCACGCCCAAAGAATTCCAAAGTTTCTCCAGAGATGATCTGTAGCATACGAGAGAGAGGCTAGGTATTGCTCGCCAGTGATGGTGTTTGCTCCAACTGCAGCTCCTGCAATACCGGCGCAGGCATTGTTGCTGTTCATGTTGTAGCCAGGTCCGGCAGGTATGAGGTTGGGAATGACACAGCGCATATTTTGCCCTTTGAACTCTAAGGTAAATTGTTAGCACTGGAACGTGTAGATCAACGTGAGTAAAAGAGAGGTTGTTCACAACATACCGTTCGCCATGAGGGCTTCGAAGCCATAAGCCAACGGGTCAATCCAGTATATCCAGACAAACCACGGATGCATCGCTGTTTTTGGAATCATGTAACCCGAATACATGATCAAAGCCGAGACCGTAAACCCAGAGATTTTCGAGGCATCGTCGAACTTATCGAAAGCAGCCCCAATCAGTCGAAACAATGCAGTCATGCAGATGGAAACTGAGAACAGGAGAACCCAATACGTGAAGAAGGCACCAGCAGTCTGCTTCAACCCGACCATGAAATACACAGTCAGCGAGAAAGTAGTGACTTGGGAAGCTATGATTGGAACGTCTGCGGTGATCTGTGCGAAGCAAAATGCAGCAGGATGGTAGAAGGCAAACTCTTTGTGCTTGGCGAGGACGGGTCTTCCAGAAAAACTATCAGTTACTTCAGAGAGGGCCACTAGACCAAAGGTCAGCACGCTGATGAAGAGTGTACCGCCTTTACCAAAAATACCCCCGCTTGTATCGGGAGTGTTGTAGAACAAGCTACCAGTCATCAATGCGAGGACGATGGTAAATGCCTGTTTGATGACGAAGGTCGCTCTGTCGCCCCAGAGAATTTGATATTGACGCCTCACAGCAGTGGAGATTTGCTTGCCTAGGGGAATAGTGAATGGCGAGTTCTTTGGCAGATGTCTGGATCTCTCCGCTGCAACGGATTCCTTGAAGTCCTCTGTGCTTGACTTTGCATAGTCGGATTCCGGAAACGCATATTCCAGTTGCATTCGCTGGTGGATATTGGATTGCTCGTAGCGTTCACGAAGTGCATCGGCCGATCGGGGGAATGAAGCCTCGAAGCCGGGCCGAATGGCCCTTTCTGAAGGGACCGTCACGCCAGTCAAGAAATCTGCAACGTTGGCCGAAGGATCACATAGAAACCCAAGCTGCTCCATGAAAGGACGTGCTTCCTCTCTTGGGCCGTAGAAAATTTGCTTGCCCTCATCAAGAACTAGGACTTTGTCGAATTGTTCGAAGATGCCATTTCCAGCCTGATACAGTGTGGCGATTGTTGTGACACCTAATATCGTCGTCATGGCTCGCATTGCCTTGGCCCACTCGAGAGCAGTGCTTGCGTCAAGACCGCGAGTGCTGTTATCCCAACAGAAGACGCTTCCTCGAGTCGCTAAGCATTCAATGATGGACACTCGCTTCCTCTCACCACCTGAGACACCGCGAACATATTCGTTCCCGACTTTGGTATCATGTGTACTGGAAGTTGCGGTAGGGCGTTAGCAAGATTTCTTGAGACAACAAGGGCCCACGTCGAATCGAACGAAAAGCTAGATTCAACCGGATGGCAATCATGATTTTTTCACTGCGTGTAACTTACTGTTCAATGCCCATAGAACGTAGCAAAAAGTCCTTCATCTGCTGTTGATATTCCTTTTCGGTCTGCGTCCCGCGAACGCCTTTGTCGGGTATCTTCATCATTGTAGCAAAGTCCATGGTCTGACCAACCGTCAGAGTCGGGAAGAAGATTTCTTGCTCGGTGTTGATGACAATCTGTCCACGGTACTTGGAAGCTTCCTCCGAGGACAGGTTGCCAAAGCGAATATCCCCTTGGATCTCAGCATAGGCAGAGCGCTTGTTGGCGAGTACGTTGAGCAGAGTAGTACAACCAGCTCCAGGTCGGCCGAGCACCAGCAACATCTCACCGGGCTTGACACAGCCATGTGAGTTTTTCAGAATCGTTTTCATGCTGCTGGGCTGCCTCGATTCGACAATCCTCTGCCATATATTGAACTGAGAGAGGAAATTTTCCTGTATCATGGCGCTTTTGCCAATCCCTTTCACGGTAAGATTCTGCCAAGTCACCCCCAGATGCTTTGGCTTTTGTTCGCGGTTGTTTGCATTCATCTCTTTGACCTCGTGAGCCATGTTCCAATCACCAATCCTTACTTCATCTTCATTGGCTTCCTCGGTATCACGAAGCTCCCTTTCCCGGAGTCTCTCCGAGTATGTGGACTGGCGGGTCAAGGTTCGAAGGATCTCTCCAGCAATAGTTTCAGACTCGCGACGATGGTGGCTGTGATGGCTTTGGTGGGAGGCCATGGAGAGGCGGTGGCCAGGAGACTGAGGAGTGCTTGTCTCTGAGTGCTGGCGGTCTAACATGATGATGATCGGTTTTCAAGATACAGAGGTTTGAACCTAAGGAGTTGAGATGGTGATAGGGAAGTAGACCATGTCAGAACAGCAGGCAAAGGTCTATTACAAGATGAAAAGAGCTGAAAAGGTTATCACGAAGCAAAGGGATATGGATAGTAAATTAATATTAGAGAAAATTTGATGAGGCATTCTTCACGATGTCGGAGGCCGGACGAAGGCCATGACGGCTTTCGTACAAAAAGTGTCGTCCTTCGCTATCTCGGAAGTTAAGAACGCCCATGGTCAGAGACATGATACTACAACGGAGGTTTTCTATGTCCGTTGTGGAGCTTGACTGATAGAGCAGTGGTAGTTCTCAAGATCAGAGAGCCATAGAAAGTCGATAACGGGAAAGGGTCTATTAGTCAGATATGCATGGGTTTCAGACACGAATCCGGATTCGGGTAGCTTTGCGAGATGTTCATTATGTAAGCGGAACTTTCGGAACCCCTTCGGAACTTCACTATGCCAACGATCAAGTCACGTGGCAGTGCCATCCTGGTGGTCGAGCTCCTAATTTCTCTAACGTCGGTCTTCGGAAGTGCATCACTCTCCGTCCTTCTTCCGCCTCGACCCGGACATAGGAGTTGCTTTTCTAAACAGGACCACCCTCTCGGTACTTGAGGAACCAAAATCACTTCCGTGTGCAAAGTTGCACGTTCCACAATTCCTGTTGGGCGAGCCAGGAAAGTAGCCTAACCAAATGGAGGCTGAAACAATGGATACAAGTGAGGATCAGGCAAACAAATCACAGAAGCGGAGGCGAATAACCAAGGCATGTGATGTCTGCTACAACAAGAAGGTCAGCAGCTTTCGCTCATAGCCGACAGTACTGTGGCTGTCCCCGTCCAGTGGCTAATGTCGTCGTTGAGCTCTGCAGATCAAATGCGATGGAGCTACCCCACAGTGCGAATGGTGTGCCCACCGTGGCTTGCAGTGTTCGTACGAAAGGAAGATAGTGAGGAAAAGGCGTTCCAAGTATGCAAAACGGCTATTCGTCTTTTCTGTGCTGTCTCACTCACCTTTGTCAGCAGACAGCATCGCAGCCAGCTACTAGACCGCGTCGATCGACTGGAACGACTTCTGGCCAAAACACTAGAAGAACAGGCAGGTGCATCTCAACCCCGTGAGCCCTCATCAGCTCCTTCAGAGTCAGCAACAGATACTTCCCTCCCCAGAGAGGATGACTTCAATAATGAAGCGCGCGATATTTCAACGCCTTCGTCAATCGAGCAACCAGCCCTGGGCTCTCTCCACTTTGCAGGTTGGCGACTAGGATCCTTTAACTCAAGCAGCGGCATTCCCGTCTTTTCGGAGCTTGGTGAACAGTGGATCCGCTCCCGTACAGGCCAAGATGCGTCACTTGAGCGAATCACCGCACTTCGTCAGTCCTGGAATAATATTACCCGTTCAGACTGGGGTTCATCGGTTGATGTATCGAACGTGCATTTGCCGATTGCCATGCCAGACCGTCAAGTAGTCGAGAAGTGTTTAGCCCTTTTCCGCAAGTCATTTCTCTGCTGCGTCTTCCCCCTTGTTGACCCTATTCGTTTTCAGACTGCAATTTCGGTGGCCTACTCATCAACATCAGGCGACCCGTTCGGCAACGTTCACAATGCACAGGCCTGTGTATTTGCTTTTCTGGCATTCGCGTCCTTCTTCAACGTCTGCGAATCGGTAAAGATAAGCTCGAACGCGGAGAGATATTCGTGGACGGCGCATCGAATATTGACGACGTACACTCGACCTGTGACGGTGGAAACATTGCAAACGTCATGTATGTTGGTATGTATTAGTGTCCTTTCAAGCTGGCCGCGTCGTACATTGGCTGAATATTAGTCAAGATGATGTATCATCTTTTCTCTGGGGACATTGGCAATGCTCTTATACAGGATTCGGTCGCTACCCGAATCATTTACTTGCTCGGCGCACATACCACAACCTACCCTTCGTGCGACGATGTGAACATCTTATGCGCAAATCCTTCATATCGCGAGCGATATCTATTGCGGAACATTTTCTGGATGGTTTACATCATGGACAAAGAATTGTCAATCCGAACAGGACAGCCGCCGTGTCTACAAGACGAGCATTGTGATACTAGTTTCCCACCAACCTACGCTCGGCGGATCTTTTCGCAACTGATGGGCTTTGGGCCCGAAACAGACTTTGACACTGTACATCCCTTCACCGGTTCCCCGTGGTTGAGCATCATCAAGTCAAAGGCCTACAACGCTCTATACTCGGCTCGCGCATTGAGGAAAACAGATGCGGAGATCTTGAGGGATATTCGTGAACTAGACGATGATCTCGAATGCTGGAGGTTATCTATCCCCATTTCATACAGGCCCACTGTTGCATTTACGCGTGCGACACTACCAAATAACGTAGTAGCTATGCCTTCGACGATGCTGCATCTAGACTATAACCATTGTGTTGCTGCTATTCACCAGGCAACAAGTAGATGCCAGGCTTGGATATCTGGAAATCAGGATGAGATGGAGGGCGTAGGGAGCAGTCTAGACTTGAGCATTGAGGCTAGTCGGTCGTCATTGGTCTATCTCCAAATGGCAAGCCATCTCCTCGACGAGAACAGCTTTTGGTACGTATACTTCTCAACCTCCATCCAGTCCGACGTCCAATATTTATCAACAACGCATAAGCCCTTAAGATGGATCACACACTGATATAGCGCATCTTCTAGGATGGTCCTCTACTACCCGATGTCGGCCCTCCTTACTATTTTCTACGGCATTCTCCACCGACCTCTCGCGCCGCAATCTCACAAAGACCTTGAGCTGCTGAAGAATGTTCCACCCATGATTCGACGAATCCCAATAAGTCGCTGGATGGAAAAAGCGGCTCGCCAGATTCAGGCTGTAGATGACCTAGTCGAAGAACTAACGACCCTGGGACAGTGTGCAATCGACAAGGCAAAACGGGAAAACGGAAGTGAGACAACACAAGGTGTCTTGCTCGGGGATTAGCTTTGTAGATAAGGATGCATATTGGATTACATGAGGACCAGGTGCTGTGCGCAGATCCTGGTATTTGTGGCGGAAGGCATACTCTCTCTAGCTGTCCGGACTTGTGGGGAATCCAGCCTTATCAAGAACCAGAATTTTTTGCAGCAGTATAGAATGTACTATTAAAGAATCGATTTTAGTGCTGTGACAACACATTGCACATCCCCGAGGAAGTGATTTGTATGCTATGTGAACTGCTAATACCAGAAGATATTACCCCTGGTCCGGGACATCTCGCAACAGCAAGAAGGTGGTGGATGCAAAAGTAGTCAATCCGACCTATACACATCGATTATGCGCCTGAGATGTGCTTGGTACGTTGTCGATTCCCCTTCCATGCTTCAAACTTGGAGAAACCCCTTTCCTGCAACATGTCGCGAGAATTTCACCTTTATAGGCCACGCATACCCACAGCTCCCACAATTATGGACACGACAGCGCCGCCTGCCACAAGCGCAGTAGAAGCCTTGCTCGAAGTTCCGATTGCCGAACCAAAGAGGGCACAACCAAAATCGATTATGTCCGCGCCTATTCCAGCCCATAAGGCCCTTTTGATCTCGCGCCTGCCACCATCTGGCAGTTTGTTGTTTCCAGCAGTCAAAAGTAATTCTCCTAGCATAATCTCTCTGCCACCAAACAGACGGGGCAACACCGCATAAGCTGCAGGTACGTCTATCCGAACTGATAGCAGCACGAGTCAGCTTTCAGGTCAAAAGGTCACCATGAAAGGCGTGATCAACATACATAGTCCAAAGGTGAAGCGTGGCGCAAGTAAGCAACTTACTCCGAAACCAATGCGAAGGAGAGCAAGAGCTTTGATTACTACATCGGATCTTGCGTTCATGGGTTCACGCTCGTTGGCAAGTTTTCCAGGAAGGAGCGGCTCGTTCTGATTATGAATGGATGAAGGCATTATTTGGTCTGCTGGTTTGAGTCAACAATCAGCTAGTAGCCAGTCATTGAATTACTGACCAAAATTCAGGCTGATGATCGAGTGTCGAGAAGGCAGATGGGGATTTGTGGTGCGGCATCACTGAGCAGCAGGGCTTTAATACACACTGATTGCTTTACGCTCTCGCAGACCGTTATGCTAAGTGATTCTGAAACTAGTACTGAGCGTTTCTAGCGCGATGAGGGACATTACGACATGATCGCAACCATGCTTTCAGTCTGCAACCATAGGTCGGCTCAGCTCGCATTACTCGTATTACTCGCAAATGACATCTGATTTCCTTCTAGGCATCACGCAGTATGCCACAAACCATTTCTCTTTCCTAAAACCTTAGCGAATTCTGTACCTCACTATCCTCTTTTTGGACTCCCCATATGTCCAAGCTTATCGGCTGCAGCCTCGTATTCCGGGTGGTCGGGGAGATGGTTGTACCAAAACAGGCTTAGTGCCCTTTTAGCATAACGTTATGCTCGCCGCCCCGCCAACGCGATAACTCTCTCGTCTCCAGCCCAGACATCCCATTATTCAACACTTTCTAGCGACCTTTTGGGTTTTAGCACTGTTGAGGAATAACGTTAGCCATCATGCCTGCAGAGAAGAGGAGAAAGCCTGAAGCCCTAGCGACAGTGCCGGAGCGTGGCGACCCAGGTAGGTAGCTGAGCTTACACATCTAATCTGTCGACTCTCAATGAGTGGAAAATCAGAATGGGTAGATATTAATGTGTCGATATGGACCTGAAGTAATCGTGTTGGTCATCGCACAATGGAATTCGAACATGTGCTGATACTAGTGGGGTAAAGACCGGAAACGAGCCCTCAATGTACTTGCGCAACGAAGATATCGTAAGACCTCCCGACTCCATGCTGCCATCCGCATATATACTGATTCTGAGTGCAGGCCAAAGACGCCGAGATAAGATTGCTTCCTTAGAAGCCCAAGTAAACGTGCAGAATAGCAGCCAGTCTCACATCGAGCTGGATGTTGCACCGTCTCTGGAGACTGCAGCTAACTCTGGATCCTCTGCTGTCAGCCCTAAGAATACCTCAAATGTCGAAGAGCACAATTTTTCCTCTTTCGGCGGTGCTATGTTAGCGTTCGATGCCGTCGATATTGACTTTTCCCTATCTAGTGACTTTGGTAGGCTCGCATACTTGACTCCGATGACATCAACTCATTCATTACTCACAACCTTCAAGATATTCAAAATCTACCCACATCCCTCTCCTTATCTACAACTCCAGAAAACCCGACTACAGCGGCATTACTGAGATCCAATACACCTCCGTCACCCAACGCCTTGGCAGGCCCCGATTCCCAACCTTCACCCTTCACCTTCCCACTAACCCCAGACGCGAACCTCGACGTACCCATAATGGCCGCCCTACAAGCCTTCATGACAATCGCATCTCTCCTCGACATTGTTCAAGATACCTTCAACCCATTCGCACTACACACGTCACCGCCCACCCCGCACCCGTCCCTCCCGCTCAATCTCCACCCCGTCCCAGCGCAGATTCTGATCCCGCACCACCCAGCCCTAGACGCGCTTCCCTGGCCCTCAGTACGTGAGAAGCTTATTTGCATACGTGAGTGCCATTTTCCCTTCCAAATCTTCCCTCCCCCGCCTGACAACCCTAGTCCACCTCCCCTCTCCCCAGCGCCCCCCAATCGCCCGCGGCACCCGCGGTGAGCCTATCCAACGCATTATGCATGACATGGACGACTATACCTCTGGGTGCCGCGTCCATGGCAACGCTTCAGGCTGGTCTGCGCACCACGAGATGGCCGAGGAGAGCTGGGAAATAGGCGACGCCTTCTATCGCAATTGGTGGTTTTGTGTGGATAGCAAGATAATTTCGACGACGAATGCGCGAAGGAGGGAGAGGGGGGAAGCGCCGCTGAGTTTGGAAGACGTAAGAAGTGTATAGAATTAATCTATCTGGTATTGTTCACAGGAAAGGTAGAAAGGACACGCTCTCAAATGCATCACTATTCAATCTAACTTGGAGAAAGAGGGGGAAAGAAGGGCGACCCCCCTCCTCTCCTGGATTATCGCGACCTACAACTCAATCACTACTATAGAAAAGTATCATGTCTACTCAACTATACAATGAAAATAGTAATTTGATCACCACTATGAGCGTGAGTGCACCACGCCAGATGGCTGGGTCGTATGTAGGAGAAAGGTTACGAAGAGCTTCCGAAAGGCCGGTAAATAGGATTCGAACGTTTATATATTTTACGATGACTATTATATTGGCTATACAGCTTTTTCTATTGGCTAGGTACAGTGATTTAAATTCAGAATTCTGTGCGATGGTCAAACGAGGAGAAAACGAAAAAGCTTCTTCGGCACTTAAACTTGAAACCTCTCCCTGAAAGTCGAAAAGTTTGAAAAAAAAACTTGATTTCGAGTGCAGAACAGTCTTCAGAATCAATTCTCTTAGTCTCATAGCTACTTTTATTTTTGGAGGGGCAGAGATTTGGACTCTCGATTTATTTTACATGCAGCTAACCATAATTTATACAAACGGCAGAACGATGTGGCTCTTGTGCTCACCACCGATGTGAACCTGATGTTTTCCGCGATTCTTGACGTGCTTATCGGACCCGAAATTGCTTACACACCTATTGCGTCCACCTACCACAATTCTAATGCTTTCGCCAGCTTCAAACTCGATGCCCGTAGCCCAGATACCAATGTCTAAACGGACAACGTCACCGGGAGTTATCTTTTCCTCCTTATCATGAGGATGGAACGGCCAGTGCGGGTGCATGCTCTTTGACTCGTCGATTGCGCGATGCGATGCTCTCAGGATGCCGCATGGTCCTTTGTACACCACCACTTCTGTAGCTTCTTCTGGCTTGAACTCGCTGAAGGATTTTACTGGGATGCCACCCCAAGGGATGTTGAGATTCATCATCTGTTCACCGTTCTTGTCCAGCTTTTCGATAGTAACGTAGACATCCATGTCGTCGTGATCGGGGCAAGACATGTACAAAACGGCCTTTGGAAGGCCCATAATCCGAGTCGTTTCCGGGAACTTATGGGTGAAGGTGATGGAATCGTCTGTTTCAGAGTTGTAGCTCAAAGTAGCGCTTGAACCTGCATCGCCGAAGAGCAGCTTCTGGTCTTGACCAAGGTAGGCTTCGCGGTATTCGGTTCGAGCAGGTGGGAAGTCTTCTTCGACGATGTTCTCGTATGATTGGGGCTCCTTTTTTCCAAAGCGCAAGACGGCCATCCGGACTCGCGGGGTCTTTTCCCAGCCATTGTCAGCACCCTTAAGGAAATGATCGAAAAAGGAGAAGAGTTCTTCTTTTGCCTGGTTGTTTCCCCATAGGTCATACCATTCCTGCCACGGGTGCCATCTAAGCCATTTTTGAGGAGTATCCACCTCGAGCCATCCTCTAATAGCGCCCATTCCGTGCATTGTATTGGTCCAGGTGCCGGTGATGTATGTTGGTACGTTGATCTTCTTCATATCGGGCCTCTTATCGTTCCACCAACGATTGGCCAATGGGTGCTTTTCGAACATTAACCTGAAGCTCTCCAGATTACCGTTGCCGTGTAGCATATGTTTGACAATGAGCTTATCGAAGAGGTCTCCAGCGTAAATTCCACCGCGTGCGAATTGCTCGCGGTACAGATCACCACAGCCTTCCCAGGGCGCGATAGCCTTTAGGCTCGGTGGACGCAGGGCTGCGATGAACCATTGCACGATTGCTAAGTGAGAGTTGCCAACAAGACCGACCGAACCATCGCACCAAGACAATTTCGCAATGTGCTCGATCGCGTCGTAACCGTCCTCGGCTTCTTGTTGACCCATAATAACCATGGTGCCACCGCTATCACCAGCCCCTCGTGAATCGATGTTAACAATAGCGTAGCCTTTGGGTACCCAGTCTGCTGGATCTGGAGCTTCAAACTTCTCCAAGCCGGAAAGAGCGTCTGCAGGAACACCAAGGTTCCACGGCGTCATGTATCGTAGAGAGTCGATGCCATTGAACTTCTTGCCGAACGGTCCCCAGCAAATGAGCGCTGGGACTTTGGTAACAACGCCAGATTCAGGTTCCGTCGGCCTTAGAATATCCGTATAAAGCGTAACGCCATCTCTTGCAGGAATGGCCACATCATGTTCCACGAGGATATCGCACGGTAAAGCCTTTGTTCCAGGGTGTGATGGATGTCGCCAGCCCTTAGGAAGCACTTCTTTGCGCGGTTTTAGACCTTCATAACCACCCTCACCAACTTTGGCTGGTGTAAGAGGTTCAATAGGGATTTCAACTCCATAATTTGAGCTGGACTTATTCTGGTTGACAAGCATCGTGTCGGATGCTCAACGATTGAGCTGGATATAAGGAGAGGGAGTTTAGAAGGAAGGTAGTCGGCAAAGAAGATGCATCCCACTCATTAATAATATACTGTCTCGAAAGAATAATGGATACTCAAATCGGGATGCGGAGCGAGGTGTCTTGTCCGGCCTGGACTAACCTCCACATGTGCCTCCGAAAGAACTCCACGCTATCCGAACATCCAGTTGTCATGCCTGGATGCTAATCCTGACAATGGTTTGGGAGAAACTAGTAATTCTGATGGGCAAGCGACTACTCTGATGCAGGGGTCCCCGCCATCGGTAACTCCTTGTACCCCACATCCTTCCACTTACGGCTAGCGGAAGTTACAGGCAAATGGTTCCCGAGCCGAACCGAGCCGAACCGATCAATGGTCCCCAACAGTGAGGGGTATCGATCGGTCATCGCGTTCCCATCAGCAGCAGACTTAGATTGAAACAAGCCACTGCTAAGGTTCTCATATAAGTTTAGAAGACAAACGCCATCATTCGAGTCAACAAGAGTACAGAGACACTGTCACTCTACCAATACAGTACGAACCAATCTTGTGTCTATCTTCTTTATTCCTTAACACCGACACCATGTCCACCACTGTTCAAACTACATTGTCAGAAGCGCCTGTAGAGGTACCCAAATTCAAGCCTCAGCCATCAGGCCCAAAAAGACTGTTCCGTCAAGAGGGGCTTGTGTATGGTGATTGGCGTGACGATATCATCCGAGATGGATATGTCGTGGTCAAAGGTGCCATCCCTCGTGATCGTGCAGATGGCTATGCTGAGGAGATGATGTCCTGGCTCGAAAACTTGTAAGTAAATCAACGCTTGGAATTCCTTGCGCAAAGCACATTCGCCTTGGAAATAGACATAGGCTAATCGTGAATCTCTATTTGTTAGTGCTGGCGGACTGGGGTTCAAGCGCGATGACCCATCGACCGTTGTGGAATCGAAAATGCCCATAATCAACGAGAAGGGCATGTGTCTCGGATACGGTATTGCACACGAAACATTCGCTTGGTCAGTACGCCAGGAGCCTGGAGTCGTTGGAGCTTTCGAGAAGGTGTATGATACAAAAGACCTTATCGTCTCCTTTGATGCATCAAACATGGCATTTCCCAACCGCAAAGATCTCAAAGAAAACAACCCATGGCCACATCAGGATCAAGATCCGGAAAAGCCCGGTTTTCGCTGCCTACAAGGGCTGGTCAATCTGCTGCCAAACAGCGATAATGACGGCGGCCTCATCGTTTGCAAGGGTGCTCACCTTCTTAGCGAAGAGTTTCACGAGCAGTTCAAAGATGAGCCCGATAAGATCTGGGCGTGGACCAAAGAATGGTACGGTTTCACCAAAGAAGGCATGAAGTGGTTGGAGGACAAGGGCTGCGAGTGGGTGAAGCTCAACGCTGAACCTGGTGACCTTCTCCTCTGGGACAGCCGCACACCTCATTACAACCTTAGCCCAACAGGTGACAGACCGCGTTTCTGCATCTACACATGCTATATGCCAGTTGCCGAGGCCTCGGAAGAGGACTTATTGCGGAAGAAGGACGCGTTTTACACTACTCAAAGTACTACTCACTGGCCCAATGCTAGGCACGTGGGTGGCTTACCTATTATCCGCGACAATGAGCCTTGTCCTTACAACACAGGGAAGCCGAGAAAGCCGGTAGAGTTATCAAAACGAGGGTTTGAATTGACGGGAATTCCATATATCGGGACATTGTCAGCTTGATTTTCTTGAAAGGGCTGGATTCATGCGATGTTTTTATGACACTTGTAACCCTCAGCGTATATACTAGTATCAGATCAAATTGAACTATTGAAATAACTAGTTTCGACTTCCTAGGTGTCGATATCTTTGAGTTCGATATCCCGGAGCCTACAACCAGCCAATCTCACAGGAACACTTCTCAGACATCGATAAAGAGGATTATTACAAAAGATCAAGATCACTTCCTTTGTATACATGTGTTCTTTAGTAAAGTCGGCCACTCGCTTCTTCTCGTCATTTGGGCACATCACGTGAACAGGTGAGGAGTTGAACACATTTCATGTAATCTCAGTATCACCTATGTAAACCAGGAGAATGCCTGGACAAGGAAAGGATCATATGAATAATTAGAATTTTCAAAACAACCACTAAACCATCTCGATTTCTCAAAATTGAATGAGCCAAACACCTTACTTCGCTTCAGTAAGCCCTGGCCACAAGGTTTTGACAGCCCACTTGCGAATGCGAGGGCCGAAAAAGTAAATCGGTATACCAAGAGCCATGAGACCGCCGATAATACCAGCTAAGATATTCATGGCGCCATCATAACCAGTAGCCTTGATGGCTGGAACAGTAGAGTAGCTCAGACCAAAGGAGATGAACCCTCGACCGACGCAGATAACCATCAACAAGGCACCTGCCTTCTGAGGGAAAGCATCGACCGCATAGGTGATACCAATCAAATTAGCGGTTAGGAAACCTAGATAACACATGTGAAAGGGGGCTGCAATCCCCATCCAGTGGTACTTAAAAGGATGAGCGCCAGCCTGGCCATAGATAACACAGCCCAAGACTGTTGCCACAGTTGGGAAGATGAGAGACACAAGTCGGAACTCGGGCTAATGAGGGTAAAGAACCCCAGATGTTAGCGAAAATCCGACAAAACAAGCAGGAAGATTGCGAAATATGATGAGAGAACAAGTTACAAGATTCTGAACGTACCTTGAAGACGCCGCCGCTTCGCTTACTCATCCATTTAGAGAAGCGATCAGTGCCATAGCCCAAAAGTGGGATTAGGACCATGACAACTGCGATTTGGAAAATCTGGACCCACCCTAGCACGCCAAAGGCAAACTTGTACGGCGGTTGTGTCAAGATAACAGCAAAAGTAGAGGACTGGTAGATGTAGACGCCCAAGAAGGCACCGTTGAAGAGTAGAATCCAGAAAATGGTAGGGATAAAAAAGCCCTTTCCAGTGTCAATGTAGAAGTCGGTCACTCGTGACCAGACCGGCTTGTGGTGGAAGACTTTCAAGTCGTGACGTAGAGAGCGTGGGCCATAGATATCTGGTCGAAGTTCGCGTCTCTTGCCAGCCACGAGTTTCCCATCGGCTGAAGCGTCGTCGTGCTCATCCACTTTGCGTTCGTACATGGTCTCAACCACGAAGAAGATGGAAAGAATGAATGTAGCAATGATCAAGAAAGTGATGGTGAGATACCACCACTTCAGGCCAAAGGGCGGAACAACGTTTGTTGTCATGACAAACAAGACAGCTGTACCGACAGTTTGGACGCCGATGAACCACGACAACTTGCTACTCCTCTCATGGAGAAAATGAATTTCCTCAACGATGAAAGGAGCAAGGGCCTCGCTTTGGCCTGCCGCCATGCTGAATATATTTCGGCCGGCAATATGGCTAGTGAGGGTGGTGGAATAAGCGCACCAAAAGCCAGTGATGATGAGAAGGAGCAGGGAAAACAGGAAAACTGGTCGGCGACCAATTGTCAGCGTTAGAGGCATGGATATAAGGTTACCAATACCCATAAAAAGAGTCGGATAGGTGACGAGATCAGTAACGCGGGCGGGGTCATCGTGGGGGTAGGCCTTCATGACTGAGGGCATGACAGCACCAAGGCCAGAGGTTCCGAGTACAGCGATAGCGCTGTATACTCCGACAAGGAATATAATCAAGTATTTGTGCCATGTCGGTAGATTTAGGGGATCTATAGCAGGAAGAAAATGTCAGCGTGAAATCGAGAGGATTGACCGAACGCACTTGTATCAGCACGGCTTGCTAAGGTGGGCGCGGGAGATGGAAAATGAGAGTAGGTTCTCTGAGCTTACCCTTTGGATCACTGCTGGGGGTAGGGACAAGAACAACAGATCCATCTTGAAAAAGATTGATAGTTCCATAATCAGTAGTGGCCGGGCCAAGAGGTTTGTCGCTCAAACTTTCCACGAACTCAACCTGAGTCTTCGACTCCACATCCTCCAATTTACTCATGATCGCGCTCCTTTCCTCGATATAAGGTGTTGAGGAAGCTGTTATAGATTTGCTAGGAACAATAAAGAACCAAGTGACAAATAGATAATAAGTGACTTCAAAGCACCCTTCTTGAAGTGGTGCAGATGACCTGTCTCCGTCGAATAGGTGTGTTATCGACGATAGGACAGGCTGCGTTTAGGTCCACTGGATGGCCATTTTGGACACGTACAACGACGTGGAGCTTTTGTATACAGAGCCTAATCGCCTCTCCCTCCACATCACGAAGAACCAAGCTAGAGCTAGCTAGAGCTAGCTGTATCCGATACAGATGGAATCTGGGGTGTGGGGGAAATCTGGAGAATCACGATATTGGGGTCTTGTCAAGCGCTCCAGACTCGGCCAAGTTCTTCTCTGACAGCGTTAGTCTCTTGTGTTTCCGATTTCCCCGCCTTTCAACCCGCAAACAAGGACAGTAACGAACTAGTGTGGCGGGTCAATTTGACTTACCGAGCCGAGGTACCCACTGACATGTCGCCTTCTCCCAACTCCGTCTTCTGCATCATCGGCATCACGTACTGTCACTCGGTTCGGTGTCACCATGCCCTCATCGGCAATGCGATCGCATAGCGCAGCCCACGACGAGTCTGGCGCGACAGCCGGGACCACCGCGACTGGCCCCCATTTTTTAACACCATCGCCCTCGACCTCTACTCGCAGTACTAGCGGCAACAACCCAGGACCATCGTCGAAACGACGTCGGATCAACTTCGCCTGTGATTATTGTCGCTCACGTAAAACCCGCTGCGATGAGGGCCAACCGTCGTGCTATGCTTGTTCAGCCGCCGGAATCCAATGCGTCACCAGAAACCGCCGTCAACCATGGCTTGACGTTCGGCGGCATGAAGCTGGTAAATCGCAGCATCGTAGTGAGATAGAAGAGACGGCGAGACAAGACCAAATTGACTCCAATTCAATTTCAAGACGTGCAGCCACGTTATCAACAATACCAACTCATGAGGATAGGAGAAGTGCTCCCGCTTCTCGCCGAGACCGGCGACAACAGGATCATGAAAATGAGACAATAACTACTGAAGAAGATACTGCTTTATCTAGTATTCAGGGCCCGCCACAAGCAGAGAATGACGATACCATCATCTCAAATCCGGCTTGCAGCTATCCCGCGCGTCAAACTCAAGGCACATCGACCCACCGCTCTAGTACCACACAGGGTGAGGATGATAGACCTGAGCTTAGATCCCGTTTACCCATCATACATGCCGACTCCGGTAACACCTCTCTCGACTTCATGACCAGCTGGCTAGATCTCGCACGTCACCGTCTCCAGATCCCTCGATCAGGCCCTCGCCAAGCAGAACAGTCCGACAGCGACCCGGCTAGTGACGGTGGAACTACACAAAAAGACTCGCTATTACCAATTTTCTTAAAAATTTGGGGTTTTCCAGAGCAGGAAACACTATCAGCCTTGATTGACTGGTTTCTCGAGGGCCCAAACATCGTGTTTCCTGTCCTCCAGCCAGACAAAATCAGGCATGTAGCTCAAAGGGCATATACAGATGGCCCCAAGTCTTTCACACAACAGTATGGGCTCGCAGTGCTGATGCAGGTATATCTCGTTATGATACTTGGCCATAGCTCAAGGCCCAACCACCATCTTGGCTTCGATGCTGAGGGGTGTCTGGAGTACTCTCAGAGTCTTCTTGGCTTGGTGTTGCAGCAAGTCACGATTGATGCTCTTCGAGCTGTCACTCTATTATCTATGGCGCTACGATGTCATGAGAATCTGGCTGCAGCCGGACATACAATGAGCCTAGCTGTCTCCATGGCTATCTCACTGGGCTTGCCAAAACAGTCGCCTCACTTACTGCTTAGAGAAGAAAGACGGAATGTTTGGATTAGTGTTTTTTCATTCGAGAAATTTCTCTCTTTTGAACTCGGGAGAGCGTCACTCATTGCAGATGATTGTCCGGACTTGCTACCTGGTTCTAGTGGGCTTGGGGACAGGGAGCATGGAATCGAGAACAGAGACTCGACAAATCGGTCGCAGCAACAGCTGCAGTACCCCATATGCGAGATCGCTCTGAGTCTGGCTACGGTACTAAGCGATGTGGGCAGATTATGCGTCCAGGTCAGCCGGAAGGAGGATGAAAAAAATCATGAAAACGTAACAGAATTGGTAAGAGAAAAGGTCCGAACAATAGGCCTATCTTGTGTGAAATTGATGAGTTGGGCATCGGATGTTTGTCCGTCTGGTTACAGGTAAGTTTTCGGGTCTTCTTCTTTGGCACTTGCTCTCATAGCCGTATCCATAACCCCAACAATACCATGGCTGCAAGGTTTGGATTGGAAGCTAATGCGTTATGCATATAAACAGCCCGATTATGGACATATTGTTCAATTCCAGAACACATCCGTTTGCGTCGTTTATTGCAATGCAATATCACATAGCGTACGTGCAAACTCCCTTTCTCAGTGGCAAGGACTTGGACTAGAAGACCATATAACGCTGACATTGAATTTCACGGGAAGCGTGATCATAGTAACCCGTAACAGTCTTCTCATTAGCGAGAAGGCTATTCGTCTCTCCGTCGATGTCATTGCAAAGGACGAACCATGGGAGTATGCTGTGAGGAATGGACAGAGCTTAGCTGCCAATTCAGCGCGCAAGATCTTGCGTCTGTTTCTGGAATCATCAGAGAATCAGACTTATCCTGTACTCCCGAGTCTGGCCGGTCCACTGCATGCTATGGGCGCTCTGGCTGTGTTCGTGGTAACGCGGCAAAACTCAAGAATGGCAAGCATGGACCGGGAGCTTCTAAAAGCTGCAGCGCTTGCAGTCAAGGATGCAAATACCTTGGAAAGAGTGAAGAGAGAGCTCGAATTCGCTCTCAACAAACTTAACGCATTTGTAACAGCGGCTACAGGATCTCACAGGCATAATCGGCCAAGGCCATCGCACCGATCAGAAACTGAAAGTTCCACGCTTCCGCCAGAGCCTACCACTAGAGAACAGATCCCAATTTCGGCATGGAATCCTCTGTGGCAAGTCCCAGAGCAAAGTGCTTCGCCTGCTCAGGGTAGTGGGGAGATTTTTAGCCTGATTCCAAGCGGGCAGATGAGTACCCTTGATGGTCACAACGACTTGACCTGTTCAGACTGGTGGATTGAAGATAACTCTCCAATGATCATGGATGAGCTTGGATGGAATTGGGCCAACTTCTCTCAGCTCTTAGATGGGCGGGACATTGAGCACCAAATACAACTGTGAGATTTTATATAGTCGTTGAAACGCGCTATTGGATTGCGGATTAGATCCCGCTCACAACGGAATCGATGCGACGAGTCATACCCGTGCGCATACACGATAAAAGCCCTCTCGGCTGGGGTTTGGTTACGAAAGGTCTAACTAAAAAAGATGCCGACCGGAACCTCCACATGGAAGTGCATTGTTCCCGAGACCAGGCGTCGGATCATTCACTATCGCAGCATAAAACGCAGTATGTACTAGTTTTTCCCACACTAGAACATCTACAAGCACCTTTATGGGCTTGCGGGTGACATGCTCCTGACTTGTGTAATAGAGCCACAACTACCAATGCTTCTCATTGAGTCACGTGGCTGCGGAATCCAAACGCCAATATTGATACATCTGCTAGCATAGGCATCTCTCCTCCTAGTCCAAACACCAATGCATTTACCTTGTTTCACTTCGGCATGTGGAGAGCTAAAGCTTCTAATGCCGAGGATCTTACTGATCAATCGAAGAGTGGAGTGTGGTGGCAACCAGCGTCGATGCGTCGGCTCGGGATCTTTCCAAGCCACCCCACCCCAGTCCATGCATCGGCAACTCGCTAGCTTCTCAGCCCATTGGCATCGCACAACGCGCACATTTACTACGCGTCTTATCTGGACTCGGCAATGCAGATTAGCCCAATCTACCTGACAAAATGCGGAGTCGCTTGTTGGGGATTCACGGGCTGGGGAGTGGGGTCACGACAACCCGATCCCGATCCCGATCCCTCGGCAAGAGGGGAGAGAGTGCACCTGAGTATGATTCGGTATGATAAGAAGCAGTCTTTATTATAGAGACGGTATGAGCCTTTTGATGCTCCCGGGTGTTTTCCCTTATCACTTCCATATCAATTTTCCAGCAATCTTCCTATTCACCATTACTGCGTTGGACTGATGGCACACGACACCAAGTTCGATGTCGGTGTTGCAGTGATTGGTGGTGGGCCTGCTGGCATGGCAATAGCCCTCGGATGCATCAAAGCCGGCATCGACGTCAAGGTGTATGAACGATATCCCTATGCCAGGCCAGCGGGAAACATCCTCAACCTATGGCCACCGGCCATACATGCACTCAAGTGCATGGGCGTGAATACCACGGACCTCGGAGCTGCCTCGCCTGCAACCACATTCCGGAACCCCAGTGGACATGTACGTGCTACGGTACGGCTGGCAGATGATGTCGTGGAGAAATACGACGGTGGTTTCCTTGGGCTTTTGCGACCAGATCTGTACAAGCGGATGTTGTCAGCTATCCCTGAGGGCGTCATGGAATTCAATAAGTCAGTGACTGCATTCGAAGACACGGGCGACTGTGTCCGGATGACATTAGGCGACGGTACCATCGTCCAAGCCGCCGTCGTCATCGGTGCCGATGGCATCGACTCTTCCGTCCGCACTCACCTTTGGGGCCAAAGTCCACGAAGAAACCACGACCTCCACGTTATCGGCGGCTTCACCTTCGATACCACCGACGGCGTCATCCCCGACGAATGCGTCATCACCCACGATCCCCAAGTCCAGGGCACATACGGACCTCTTCTGAGCCAGGGCCGCAAAGGCCTCCAGTGGTGGTTCGTCGAGTCATGGCCTGATGACAAACCCGTAGAAGAAGACCTTAAGAGCCGTGCTCAGATGCTGTCGAAAAGATTTCCGGGACCCCTCAGTGACCTGGTGCAGGGTACTGCACCAGAAGATGTTGTCATGTGGCCAATCCGTGATAGAGTGCCACTTAAGAAATGGTCCAAGGGCCGCATGAGTCTTGCTGGAGACGCCGCACACGCTACATCTCCCTACGCTGCTTACGGCGCGGGAATGTCAATCTCAGACGGGTATTTCATTGCGCAGAGTCTGTACAAGATTGATCTCTCCGACACAAATGCGGTTGCGAACGCGCTGGAGCGGTACGAGGGGTATCAGCTGGCACATACGACACACATGGTTGAATCGGCATATTTTGTTGGGAGGCTCTTCCATCATGTTCCGTTTCCGCTGAATTATTTGCGGAATCTCGTGCTTGACTGGACGCCGATGTTGCAGCGGGAAGTTGGTGATAAGAACCCTGAGGAGATTACTGGGCAGTTGAGGCTGATGGGACGGGACATTACTGTCTAGAGTGCGGGACGCTCTGAGCTTCCAGGACCGACTACTATGCTTGACATTAATAGATATTAATTATGACAGGGTAACATAGAGCTTGGATGTTACGCAGTTTAAGGCTGGTAGAAGCACCTGAGCTTGGTACGTAAGTACAGCGAAAGAGGCTGGCAAGTTTTCCTTTTACTGAGGCCAAGAAAAGGGAGAATAATGTAGGAATTTCGTAAAGCACCTAGCCGTCATTCAATGGAGTAGTATCGAATAATACCATTCAAAGTCGGGTTCCAATAGCACATTACTTATCCGAATTTCAGTTCAATAAATTTCCGTGTATTCTTCATTACTCATCTAATGTGAAAACAGCACCCTCATCCTTCATTCATACAGAAATTCTTTCACACCTTGAAGCTTCAATTGAAAATAACATCTTGAGATCGGCCAAAGGTTTGTCTTCTGTAGCTTTCCGGCGGCTGCGGTGCGTTTAGAGGAAGCAGTCTTGTAAGGTGGGCCACCCTAGTCCTCACGCTTGAAAGGAGCGGTCTTATGAGGAGGACTGGCTTCACGCTTGAATGGCGCAGTCTTGTGAGGTGGGCTTGCTTCACGCTCCTTGAATGGCGCCGTCTTATGGGGAGGGCTGGGATCCCTCTTGAAAGGAGCAGTCTTGTGAGGTGGGCTTGCCTCCCGCTTGAAGGGTGCGGTCTTGTGAGGAGGGCTGGCCTCACGCTCTTTGAAAGGAGCAGTCTTATGTGGTGGGCTACGCTTCCAAGGAGCTTCCACGGCGTCCCTCTTGAACGGGGCAGTCTTGTGTGGAGGGCTACGCTTGAATGGCGCCGTCTTGTGGGGTGGGCTTGCTTCGCGCTCTTTAAAAGGTGCGGTCTTGTGAGGAGGACTGGCCTCACGCTCCTTGAATGTCGCAGTCTTGTGGGGAGGACTGGCCTCGCGGATGGCAACCTCAGCAAGGACAGCAGGAGCTGGGATGGCGGCAGCCGAAACGGCGCCCGCTAGAAGGGGAAGGAAGACGATGCTGGAGAACTTCATGGTGAAGGTAGATGTGAAGTTTAAGGAGACGTTTGTGAGTAAGGTTAAGCTGTGAGAGATGGAAGAGGAGGTAGAGGAGGTGGGTTGTGAGTTGTGAGTCTTCTAACAGGGCGTTCAGCTCGAATATATACTCATCTTTTACCTATGTTCTATTTTGAGCTGGACATAACGATGGTACCATCCACGCTACTAATCCTAGCGTCTGTACGTATTGCCTCCGTATCGGCTATTTTGCACAACGTTCCGGGTAAAACTGATGACTCGACTTCTAGCTACACTCGATCAAGAGTGATGACGACATCCGTGCTGATGCAGAGGGTATATGTGCCATTGTATCGTTTGAGATGTTCGACGTCCCTGCTCACGCCATGCCAAGGACTTTTGCGAGATAGATATTGTTATGGCTAACTTTCCATTTATTCCTGTACTCTCGTCCTATAGGATATTTGTTAGACTACATACAGCATGTATATCAACATCACAAAAGGCTACACAGTACTATACAAACTGACACACGAGTAGTTGCCTGTACCGCTTAGAGTGGCTGGTGAGCTGCCCCCAAAACGGATAATTACTACAGTAAGCTACATACATAGCTAGTTATCAGGCGTTACGCGCGATTTCGGAGATTACAATATCCCTTTAGGCCTTCAATCTCATGATGTCGCGATCCTAAATTCCCTTTTTAGGCCTAGTCTCAGCTGCGCAGTGGTGGGGTCCGATCCTTCCGAGATATCGTGCTGACGGCTGTCACTCAGCCTCACATATTCTCCTACCCTAAAAAGCTTAGATCTGAGGATAAGTTGACAGCATACCAGCTGAGCCTCCACTCCAAGTTCAGCTATTTCAGCCCCGTATCGGGCCGGAGGACTGCAACGTGGGACAATGGGATTTTAGTAGACGTGCACATTTAACCGGGTTCAACGGTGCTGCCTGCCATAGACTAGAAATAACCATGCGAGTTGGCCGTAGTAGTTAGTAACCAGCTGATTATGAGGTACATCGTTGCAATAGAGTCGAGTCGTCAGTATGCCTGGTCAGCACAGATTAGTGCGAGCTTCTTGTGTGCTGCGAAGCCGTTGTTTACTATACAGGTGTCTGAAGGCGGGTGATGTCTTTCCATTTTTCGCCTAGATTCATGCAAGGATACCATGAATCAGCCTCACAAATATCTTTAGTAGTCTGTAAGCGCCCTAGAGCGTGGCTGCCATGAGCTTCGGCATTTTACAGCCACACTCCAACATTGTTAGCATTCGATAACATGATACTACTATAGTCACTAAAGCACTAATAAATTACATTTCCGCCGTGATTGCTTCCATCTAGACCCAACTCCCTCTCCTTTCCCTCCTACCATGCTCTCGATCCCCCTCACCACCATCCTCATCCTCTCACTCCTCCAATCCTCCCAAGCCTCTTCCATCCCCTGGCAATGCACACCCGGCCTCGCCGACCTAAACACCATCTACCCCGACCTCGCCCCCAATTTCCAAGAAAACAATACTATCGGCGAAGGCACAGATGGCCAAGTCCTCTTCTCCCCCTCATCCGCCACAGCACTAAAACGCTTCTTCCCCAACTCCAGCACCCCAGATCAGATCCACCAGGAATACTGGATCGGCCACAGCCTCGTCCACCCTAACATCGCAGCCACGCACTCGCTAACCTACATCGAGTCCGCCACGCATGGGTACTGGGAAATGGAAATGGAATTCGTCCCCTTTCCTCTCCTCGACCTCCTCGACTACGACCGGTGGGCCGACCGGCACTGGTCCTTCGACGCTATAAGCTGTCTTTTCGCACAAGTCGTTGACGCCGTAGCCCACATGCATGAACACGGGATCGCGCATCGTGATTTGAAGGTTGAGAATATACTGGTGGCGCGGGACGGCACGGTCAGAGTGATTGATTTCGGCAGCGCAGCCGCATCTCGCGATATGCTTACGGGAGCGCGAGTGGCAAGCTGGGCGAATTGGATTGGGACCCCGGTTACGATGGCGCCGGAAGTGCATGGGGAGCGGTTTTTTGATATGGAGAAGGCGGATGTGTGGGCACTTGGGGTGGTGTTTGTGAGGTTGTGGTTAGGGGTGTATCCTTGGGAGCCGGAGATGGTGTTGGGTGGGCTGGAGGAAAATGGAGCGTTTGGTGTTTATCTGGAGGAAGTTGAGGATGGGAGGGAGTGTGGGGAGAGGGAAGATGAGGATAGGTTGTTGTGCCAGATACCGTCTGAGAAAGCGAGAAGCGTGATTGCGGCGATGCTGGAGGTTGATCCGATAAGAAGGAGTACTTTGCCGGTGGTGCTGAATAGTGCTTGGCTTAGGGAGGCGTTTAGTCATTTGTTGAAGTATGCATCTACTTGATTTATCATACTACCCAGGCATGAAGAATTCGTCGTCTAGGGATTACATCGTTTTGCATAGACATGGAATAGAGATACAACTATAGTTCATTAAAATCAAACTTTTTCACACTAATTAGATATAAACTAGGTCCAGCTTCTAAATGAACCCCACCAGACTTCTAAATCAAGGAGGCGGTTGTACTTGATTGTGGGCGGCGATGATGACGGTAAGTAATTAAATCCTGGTAGGAACGCTGACAGAATATTTACTGATAGATAATGGCTGGTATCATAGCAGCTACTTCCTCGCTATATAGTCTCACTTCCATGACGCTGATCTCCCTATAGATCGTAGAGTTCATAGTGATGTACCACAAGGTCGGGGCCTGATGAAAAAAGTGTGCATGTTGTCGACAGTATCGGTCTTTGTTCGGTGAGAGTGCGTCCCCAATACTCGGGCGCCGGCCGGTCTTCTTCTGAAAACTAATGTCCAGGTGTGTATGCTTATTTTTGATTATTGCTTACTCTTCGCTCATAAGGCCCACGGTCCTGTGCTTACACAATAAGCTCGACCTCAAGCTTACAGGCTACATTCTGGTTGCCTAAAGAACGTTCAGTATTAGCTATGTTTGCGTGGAGCTTCAAGTTAAAAATTCTAAGCATCGTAACGTTTACTTGAATCTCACTAGATCTGCATCTAACTTACCGTATACTCGCCGAGGTTTAACATAAATCGGAGGAAAGCTTAAGTTCTTATCAGTTTATCGCTGACAACTAGAATAAGCTTTTTATGTAGTCTTAACCAGTCATAAAGCCTACAGCGGTACTTGGAGGCATTGTTTCACTACTTCCTTTGCCAAGCAAGACCGCTAGGACGCTTCTACGTAGGCCATTGAGGCGACTGGAAAACGATTTCTGACGAGCCCAACCTGCAGAGATGCAAAGCAGAGTTCTGGGGCGGCTGTATCGTTCGGGGTGCCTTTTTTTTGATGTTGGGACATTACCAACAATTCAAAGGCTCGGCCGAGATCAAGACGGACGCTCTCCCTCTCTTTCCGGAACCAATGCCGCATTATTTCCAAGGCACGAGAAGCGAACTCCCAATATCAAAACGGTTATAATCAAAGTCAAAGGCTCCGCTTGGGTGGATATCGTTTATCTGTGTTGACAGTTGAAAATCGCATCCATTCCATGTGCCGCGCGGAAGCTTTCCTCTCCGGCACTTTATGATTTGATGACACGTTATCATTCGCCAGAGCCAGGACGCCTCATGGAGCTTGTTTGGGATTTCATCTCTTTCTTCTTCTTCTTGTCTAGATCTGTGACCGATAGTTGGGTCGCCTTGTATTGGCAAGTGAGCTTGTGCCACGAGATACATGTCACGAGTTGTTTGGTGCAGGATTTGTCTAACCCAGAAGCATGTCGTTTATCGGTGATCGGTGACAAGTTGTTTAGGGAGCAAGTTAGTGTCCAGTCGGGTCGTGTGCAATATAGGGTGAACACGAGAAGCGAGACTGGGCAAGGAAGGCGACGGTGGGCTTGCTGCAAGATAAATGGTTGCATCGTTAGTCGATGCTGCGGTGGTAGCGTGGTGGAGTGCAATGGTTGGCCCATGGCCATATTGGGCAAGCCACCGTCTCTGTGTGGGGAGGGCCTTGATTGGCTTGGAGGGAGTCAGCGTTGGATGCAAGGTCCATGGGATTCAGAGCATGGCATGCACAGCGGGTGGTGTCCCGACATCCGTTGAGAGTGGAGGCACCAAGGCAATGGGTGGGAATAGCGGAGTCGAAGGATGCGCTGGCGAGGGGTAGAGAGGGAGCGAGTGCAATCAGAATGGCAGCTGAAAGTGACACCCCACGCCTGTCATGCAGACGCCCTGCGTAAGCGTTTTTTCTTCTTCTTCCTCTTCTATTCTCAGGCTCTAAGACGTGCAGTGCATATGCAGCAGACGATGCCAGTAGAGCATGGTAGCGATGACGATGGCAATGGCGGCGGTGGTGATGGTGGTAGTAGTGGTAGTAGTGGGGTCGGAAGAGAGGATGGAATCGGACCTATTCATAGTCTTGAAAGGTTGTACGTGTAAGTGGTATTGGTACATGTACTACTAGGCCAGGCGGCTTTGTCAAAGCAGTTCTCCCGAGCTGCAGGTAGCCGTGGTGTTGGCTTGGAGGCGCGAGCACGTCATGGAGCGAGTCGTGTGCCCGTCATTGCTGCGGTGTAGGTGTGAGTGTGAGTGTGAGCATGAGGCGCACAGACAAGATGAGGGCGTGGATGCGGGGTAGGCAGCGTGGTGGTGACACGCGACGGCGCCTCCAAAGCTGACGCCCATGGGCCGAGTGTAGATATTATGTATGAGGGTGTGTTTGCGTGTGTCTGTATATGGCCGGCGATGACGCTCCTCGGTTGGTGACGGGACAGTGGGGAGGCGCTGGATGGAGATGGAGCGTGGCGACTAGCAGTAGCACGGGCGCATACATATCACAGTGCCGAGTCAAGCAAGATAGCCTGCCTGTGGGGCCCATGCTAGTATGGTTTTTTGTAGTCGTGGGTAGTGGTAGTGGTAGTGCACAGTAGGTGTTGAGCTCCCACAGGGCCAGAGGGCCTCAAACCGCCGGCTGCAGCCACGGCGCCGTACAACCCCAAGTGAATAGTACAGTAACACTGCGCATGCTGGCCTCATGCTCTGCCCATGTCCAGTGCGATGCTCACCCCTCTGCCGCTTTGCCTCCCAGAACAGGACAGCTCTACTATGATGGGGCATGGCGCGGACGGGCATGGAAATTTCTCCGAGTCTCTCCCTCGTCGAGTCACAGTTTACTAGCCACTTGGATGTCGGCGCCAGATACAAAAGCATCCACGCTGCCTCAAAAACGCCCATACGCCCATCCGCCCCCGGCTCCCGCTCGCGCACCCATAGCGGTACGTACTCCGCAAGTATACAGGCCCAGTGCTCACATCCGGTCGTCCATCCATCCATCCATACACACCAACCCTCTCCCCTCCCCCCCCACGCTTCCTCAACATCGACGTCAGCGGCACCATTTCCGCCCTACGCGCAGCGCCTGTTTCGGACCCGACCGACCATCCCACGCCGTCCCAGGCCTTTGCCTGCGCGTTGCACTCCCTGCCCTGAACACCAACCTTAACCCTCCCCTAGCCCTCGTCGACCCTTTTGTTACCCTCGACCCGCCCGCCAGCCAATTGCAGTCCCCCAATCTGCACCCGTCCCCACGCTATCTGCATCTCCTACCCCAGACTTCTCCCTGACCACACTGACCTCCCCCTACCCTTGCCCTCCACTCTGACGTCCTGCCGTCGCATACAGCGGCTTCTGGCTCTCTCTCTCGCTCTCTCTCTCTCTCTTCTGCCCCTGCTCCTCTCACTCCTGCTTTCATCATCTGCCTGACTCGCCCTCGCTCAGCAAACTTTGTGGGATGAATTTCGGCTTCAAAAACGACACTTCGCACTGGCCCGTTGGACAAGAACACATCAACCGATAATCTGGTTACCTCCCCTCCCCCCGCATCTGCGCTTCCTTCTGGTGATAGCGTCGGATTAAAAAAGCCTCCCTTGCTTTTTCCCACGATCCTCAAACGCTTGCCCCATTGTACTAGCAGCCTGCTTGATCTATACGACTTACCAAATCGGAAAACTGCTGCAGGTGGGCACCCTGCCACCACGCGAGCCATCACCTCCATCGCGGTCTTACTATTCTTATCGTGCCGTGGGCCTGCGTAATGGAGTCTTCTTTAATCCTTCTCTCTGCCAACATCCGCATTCTGGTACGTCGATTCTCCATTTATCATGCTCCTTTTGCTGCATTGCAGGGAAGAAAAGAAAAAGAAAAATCTGTCTTTTACATCGGGGGCGGCCTTGGTGGCGGGTCCCTCATGCACGCCTTTGCGCAGGGTCGACGTCTTATCATCCCCTGCCGCACCAAGTTTTTCTCCCTCGCAAGTCGGCTTTAGCTAACATGATTACTTCCAAGGATACAGAGCTTGCTCTGATACACATTCCATTGCGCCTATACCGTACCTTTCTTCAGTCCATCCTCCAGCTAGTGTTGCCTAATGCAACTCGCGATGGCTTTGACAATGGCTCGGGTGCGGTACAGCCTCTAAACGGCTGGCCCTGCGAGCATCCTTTTGTAAACATCTCCATCACCCCGGTTGAGTGTTCTATTGTATGCTCGAGGGATCTTGCCAATGAACTGTTCGTACCGGTTCTCTCTCTACTCGATGCCGAGTCTAGAGAATCCGTAAACATTACTCAAGACGACTTTGTCGTCATGCAAGTCGACGGCGAAGGACTAGATGCTGGTCAGCGTGTCCTCGAACTGACGAGTCCGCTTGCCCTTGCTGGCATGTGAGTATTATCGTTGCGTGCAAGACGATCCAAGGCTGACGCAACATTAGACCCATCTTCTTCATCACAACCTACTTCTCCGACTACATTCTCGTGCCTCTCCGACACCGCTCCCAAGTCGTGCAAGCACTCGAAGAGCGCGGATTCCAATTCGAAAAAGACACTTCGTCCTACGTCAACTCCTTCCAACCTGGCCGTAAGCATTCGGCCGCTTCCCTGGAAGTCCAACCCCCAAGGAGCCCGCCCCCAACCACCATCTCCGAACTGCAAACAAAGACTTTTGCTACTCTAAAGCGCCGCAACATTGTGCCCACGGTAGACTCTAGCATCCGTCTGGTACAGTGCGCAGGCCGTCGGGATGGCATGAATCAAGCGCGCAATCGCAACAGCAGGACCACAGTTGCCGATGACGCACTCCATCTTGGCCTCGTAAAATGTCTCATTACACAGCCTTATCCGAAATTTTTATCCCTCACGCTAACCGACACTGAATCGGCGGCTCTGCTCCTGGATCACACGCTACTACCGCACTTTGTCCAAGATACTTTGCTGGGCTCGAGGGACGAGTTTCTTACCCCTATCACGCTTGATCTGAGGGAATTGTCCATGGAGAGTACGGGTATCGTGTGTGGCGTGGCGGGTCGGCTGGTGGGCGAGACGACGCGCCAACTTCAAGATCCTGTTGAGATGAGCTATTTAAGCACGGCAAGGGCAGGTACAGTCATGGTCGCAGAGGAAGAGTTGCAACGGGCGCTGGGTGCTTTGCGAGGTGCAGAGAACGGTGTGGCAGCTGCGAATGAGTAATGAATTGGACAGAGCCGTGTCCGTGTGGAGCGACTGGCACTTGATGATTTTACGCATTATGGTAGCCTGGGCGGGGGGGGTTTTCTTTGGATGCGTATGCATTGGCTGATTAGCCGCAAAAATGGTGTGGGGTTGTTCTCTTTTTTCTGCATTTACTATCGGTAGTATAGTCGACATGATGGTGGGAGAGTCTTGTATATTGTACTTCTCTCTCCATTTATCACAATCCAACGATGATTTGCTGATTCCAAGCGCTCTACATATGATTTTCCAAGTGCACGCGCTGCCTGCCCAGGCAGTCTCATACTCATATCCATGTACAATGGTAGTGGGGAGCCAGATAAGAAGGGTCCACACGCGTTCCTCGTGGGGCCAGGTCAAAACGCGCCGGAAATAAGCGCGAACCATTTCTTAACCCCGAACGTGCATGGCACTAGACTAGAAATGCGTTTCCACAACAAACAGACATCCATATCAGCCCAATTCTTATCCGCTCCCGCACCACAGTCTTAATCTGAGTGCAGCGAGCACAACGCGTCGACCCAAAATGGCGCCATCCCATTCTTCGTACACGGCAAGCCCGACGCGCTTCCAATCACCTCAGCGCAGCCCGTCGCGTCCGCTCTCACAAGATGGATCGCAGTATGAGATGGATCTAGACGCCTTAGGCCTCAATTCGACATTCGAATCAACCGAGCTTGAGCATAGTCATCAGCCGCCCGTCGACCGTGTAGACACGAGCGAGATCGAGGGACCAGAAGACTTTACCATGAACATGACCTACTGGATGACGGCTGATCTGCCCCTGGCGCAAATCAAGTCGCGGAAAGAGGCCAACACCAAGCGCCCGGCGGCACGGATGGATGCTATACCAGACGGCAGCGAAGGGCGGCAGGCGACAGAGGTGGGTGAACCGGTAGTCGTAGTCGAAAAGCCCAGGCAACAGTCAAACGAGCCGTCTCGCACCGCGTCACCCAATAGGCGCGCAAACGGCTCATCGGAAGAGCGCCGGCACAGCAAAGCAGTGTCGGAACGATCAATGGAGAATGATGAAAAGGTTCGCAGCTTCCTCAGCAACCTCCCAGACACGGAAATGGACGGTGCTCTCACCGGAACACCATTGCATGGGCCCCGGCGTAGTTTCCTGCAGGTTCCTAGGTCTTCACCACCAAAGGCGCGATCACTGCAACCTACCGTCGAGGACTATGATACCCCGCGGAAACCCACTCTGGAGACTGTCATACGGCACACTTCGGCCATAATTGATACGAACGAACAGGATGTCGCCCGCAACAAGATTGCAGAGCTGCAGCATCAGCTCGAACAGCAAGAGTCGTCTTCGAGGTCGCGTATCACAGAACTCGAAACCATCTTGTCGTATACCCGTTCCGAACTCGAAAGCACCCGTGCTGAGAATTACAAACACAAGGAAAAGTTGTCGAGCCTGGAAAAGAGCATGCAGCGTCAAAGTGCTGATCATGATGCAGCTCGTGCAGCTGCTGATGTCCGGTTGAAGTCGCTCGAAGAAACTGAGCGCCAGCGGAAAAATCTCGAAGAGTCGAACCGACAGCTCGCTGAAGAGATCAAGACACAGAGCCAGAGCCTAGACGAGGTGCAAGCGGAGCTGTCGCACGCTAAGCTTTCGCATGAGCGAGAGGTCCAAGACTTGAAAGGCACAGAGGCACAACGATCTGATAAAACAGACGAGAATGCGGAGAACAAACGATTGCTGCTAGCCGAGCAGCTGTCGTCAGTTCAGGCACGAGCCAACGCTCTTCAGTCCAATCTCCAAACGGCGACAGCCGAAGCAAAGCTGGCACGTGAGGAGGCACGGGAAAAGAATCAAATTTGGTCTGCGGTCGAAGCAACTGCCTCTGAGCAAACTCGACGCATTGTCAAGCTTGAAGGGGAACTACAAAATGCGCGTTTTGAAGTTCAGTGTGCGAAGGCTGATGCTCAAGCTAAGCAGCAATTGTTTCAAACGAATCTCGATCTCAACACTCGCCTTCGTGCGCTGCAATCTGAACTCGAGAGTACACGAAAGGACTCTACTGGACACAGCCACGGAACTGGGCCTGATGAATTAGAGGCTCACATTCGCTCTCTCCAGTCTCAGCTAGATTCTGTACGTGCAGATAATGCTGCAAAAGACCAACAACTTCAACACACAGTCTCTCTAGAAACCGAGGTTCAGTCACTTCGAGCTCGAATTACGGCTACCGGGGACGATCAGACTACCAATAATGGACAGTCTCGCCAGGTCACCGAGCTGGAAGCTCGCATACGAGTCCTCCAATCGGAGCTCATAACCAAGGATGAAGAGATGAGAAATATGATTGAGAAGGAGGAACAGGCTGAGCATCGAATAAACACTTACCAGGGCCGCTTGCAAAGCCTAGAAGCTGGTAATGCCAATCTTCGCCAGCAACTAGCAGAAGCACACCGTGAAAGTGCCCAAGCAAGAGGCGATGCTGAACGATTTGAACGAGACTTGGAAGATGCCAATGATCTGTTGAAAGAAGCTCGAGCCGAGGCAGACCGCCGTGTCAGCGACATTGACAAGAAGCTCAGCAAGATGAAGGAGTTGAAGGTCGAGGTTGAGACCAAGTTTAAAGAATTACGAACACAACACGACGACATGATTGAAGTACACGACACCACAATGGAAGGAGTCCGCGACAAGGCCGAAGACGCCGTACGCAAAGCCGGCGCACTCCTGGAGCAAGAGCGCAGCGAAAAGCGACGCATAACACGAGACCTCAAGCGGATCAAAGAAGAAGTCGAAACACTACGTAACACTGCAGCACAACAGGTCTTGAGCCAAGACGATGACGACTCTACCATCGATGACCATGACACGACAACTGGCGCATCTGCAATGGCTACCAACACTCAAGCCGCGGAGATCACTAGCCTCCGCAGCATCATCCGCACCCAACTTGCCGACATCAAAGCACTAAAGTCAGAAGTTTCAGCCCTCCGTAAAGAAGTCAAAACGCACAAGTCCACACGCTCAGGCTCTTCTTCTCCCACCATCTCCACACTCGAATCCACCATTTCTGCCCTTCGCACAGAAAACGCATCCCTACAATCTCTCCTGGCTACCAAAGAAGCAGACCACGAGGCTGTCAACAAAGCCATGGATGAAAAATTGGCGGCGCTACTAAGTAAAGTGATGAAGGAAAAGGCCAAGACGCTCGTGGGCAAGCGCGATGGGCAGTGGAGTGAGAGTGTCAGGGAGCTGGAGAGTGAGAGAGAGATGCTGGGTAAGGTGGTAATGAGGCAGTGGGGGAGAGAGGAATTGGGAATTGAAGAGGAGAGGGAGGCGAAAGATGGAAAGCAGACGTATCGGTACAAGTATGCTAAGCGGGCTTGAATGGTGTTTTTTTGTAAAGATATTAGTTGGGGATCTTGGGTCGAGCGGCTATCGGGGCGTTTTCTCTTTGGCTTGCTTGAAGGCCGCTCTTTTTTTTTCAATGTGAATATGATATTTTTGGTATGAATCCATGCACGCATTTCCAAAAAGTCCATCAATCGAGGTTTCCAACGCCTATTGTTCTATAACCCCAAATCTTCTCCGTACTCCATTCAAACTCCCAGACTTGATCCCATTCCCCATCTACTTCGTGTCCCCGACAGAAGAATCAAAGCAACCCCTTCCTCGCCAACTCCACCTTCTTCGCAAACTCGCCCTCCTTCCATCCCCCCTTGGACCCACAAATCGCAATTCCATCCCCAAGCTCAACCTTATCTTCTACATTTTCCCACGCGCAAGGGCAGTGATGCGGGAAGTGGACGCAGGACAGTGTACCGGGGCAGAGGTAGTGTGAGCATTGCGCTATTATTTTACATTAGCCAAACCGTTTGAAAAAAAAAAGTTTTACACATATGTGTATATGGGGGTAGAAGGGGAGGGAACGTACCGCCTTCATACTGCGCCTGATACCAACTACTATCGCTCCGCACGTTTTGTGCTTCACCGTGATTGTGGCCGCCGCCGTGGTTGTGACCGCCGTGGTGGTTTCCCCCGCCGAACATTTGGTCGAAGAAGCCGAATTGCGCGGTGATTGGGTATGCGAGAGAGAAGAGGAGGAGGATGATTGCGTTAAGGCGAGGCATGATTTCTTGAGACGTTTTTTGGAATTTATTTCCTTGGTTTTTTTTTTTCTTTGGAGCGCGAAAAGGGAATGACTGCACTGAAAGTACGAAGGGGGAGGGGAAACACAACGGGGTCTTTGGTTGCAGAGAGAGATATGCGATGGTGGACCGCGAACATACGAAGTGGATGATGTGGAGGTTTAGTGCTTCTGGGTAAATCGCATGCAAACAGTGCAAACACACCCCATATCTCTTGATTGGCTGGCGCAGCTCTGGTTGCAGGGATGTATCGGTCCCGCGCGCCTCTTGGCGAAAATTGGGGGCGCGAGCTCGGTGATCCGACGAGAAAAAAATGCCGACCTTGAGAACTTTCCCCAAGCCCTACCTAGCTGCTACTACTACTACTACTACTACTACCAGGTTTTTTATCACCCCGTCGCCAACGCCCACCACCATCACCTATTTCCCCCTTTCTTAAAACCCCAAAAGTTTCAATTCGCGCTCCTCGCATCCCGCAGCGTACGTTTCCTTGCCCCCCAACTCCTCTTCGCCTCCGACCTTGTCGTTGCGCGCGCAGGAAAATTTAAAAAAGAGAGAGAGAGAGATGTGTAGAGCTAACGAAAAAACCGCCTAAACAGCATGCATCTCATGTACATCCCCGACCCGGCGAACCCGTCGAAGCGCATCTACACGCTCAAGAAAGTGATTGATGGCGAGGTCAGCAAGAGCGCGCACCCGGCGCGCTTCTCGCCCGACGACAAGTACAGCAGGCATCGGGTTACGATCAAGAAGCGGTATGGACTGCTTTTGACGCAGCAGAGTATGTTATTTTTCAGGTATCTGTCTTTGAGCTGGAAGGGGGATTTGGGGGGGTGTCGGGATTGTTTGGTGGGACATGGATGGGAAAGCTAACGCGTGAGCAGAGAACAAGGTCGCTGAGAAGATCTGAGTGTGCGTTGCGCGGTCAATACGATGGATACGACAAGGTGCTGTGTTGTGTAAAGGAAAAGGAGATGAGGGGATGTGAAGAAGGGAAGAAAGAGAGTGGATCAAGGGCGTTTACAGGCGTAAAATGGGCGAGGGCACAAAAATGTCTCGGAGAGAGAGTTGTCACGCCCTGCTTTTGAGGAAATGAGGGTTCTTGCTTGTGTGGGTTTGCAAATGTCTGTTATAGCAATGTTGCGGGCTTATGGCCCTTGTATGCGACTTACTTGCACGTTTGCAGTGGGGAGTGAAGATGTGGAAATGATTTTGTGAATGCGATGACTGAATGATGATGTCACGCTTTACGATTGATTCAACGGTCCAGTTATTATGGTATGTGGTTTGGCTAATGTATCTTCGCCCGCCCACTATCTTCACCCACCAACTACCATCCACACTCGCAACATGAAAGCTTTCCATTTCAACAAAGATCAATCATTCCACATTACCACTAGACAAAATTGTACGAAGCAGCGAACGAACGAAAGAAAGAGAAAAAAAAGAATATACCTTTCAAGGGCAAATGAGAGACATGAGAAGATATAAAACGCCTCAGGAACCCCAAACATTATGCTTGGTATCGAAGCAAGGCTTTCTCCGTCCGCATACTCATCTCGATCGTTGTCATGACAAAAGAAAAGTAAAAAAAAAGTAAAAAAAATCAGTACCAGCAAGTTCCCAAGTGCCCAGTCAAGTCACCAGTACAATGGAGGGGTTGTTCCAAGGGAAAATGAGAGGAGGAGGAGACTACAACGTACATCTCCTCCTAACCTTCTTCTCTTTATTCAGCCTCGTGACCACCTCTTCCACGTTAGCGAATTGCTCGTAGAACTTTAGCGATTGCGGATTTAGCAGTGTGCCGCTGGGTTTGATCTTTTTTCCTGAGACAATTTGCTTGACGGGGAGTTCGACTTTTTTGAGGTTTACGGTTGTCTGGTGATGATTTGTTAGCTTTTTTTCCCTTTTTGTCAAATATCACTTTCGACAAATTATGCCTGACTCCCCTCCCCTTACCCACCCATCGCCCTTCCCCTAACTTCCACCGTGTACAACCCATTGCCCACCGCCCTCCATCCCCCTCCTCCTTATAAGAATGAAGGGGAGAATGAAAAAAACGGTAAACGAGAGGGAAAAAGAAAAGAACACAAACACACAACGTACCGGAATCTCCCAAGTCTGAAACACAAACCTCGGAACATGCCTCTTACTCCTCTCTTCCGCAATCTTACTCTTAATCCGCTCGACCAACCCCTCTCTAAACTCACACCCCCTAGCCATTTTCAAAAACAACATGACACTCTCATCCGCATCCTGCGGGCGGCGCTGCCCCACAACAATGCAATCCGCGACCTCTGGGAAATGCGCTTCAATGACACTGTAAATATCTGCGGACCCAAAGCGCACACCACTCGGATTCAACACGCCGTCTGCACGGCCAAGAAAGAATATCTGGCCCGTGACGGGGTGCATCTGGATGAAGTCGCCGTGTGTCCAGACATTCGGGAAGCGCGCATAGTACGCTGCCTTGTACTTTTTCCCTGCGGCGTCGTCGCCCCAAAAGCAAACGGGCTGGTTGGGAAACGAGGCCGTGGCGACTAGCTCGCCCGCCACACCGTCTGGGACTGCTTCTCCCGCATGGCCGCTAGGGACCAGGGCGTTGTAGACTTCGACTTTTGTGCCCAAGCAGGGACCTTGGCATCCGCCTGCGTAGAGGGGTTCTAAGGGGTTTTCCATGCCGAACCGACCCGCAATGTCGGTGCCGCCGGAAATGTTTCTGAGGTGGACGGAGGCAGGGAAGGCGTCGTCATAGAACCAAGTGAATTGCGCTTCGGGGAGTACCATGCCCGTTGTGCCTACGCTTTTGAGGTGCGACAGGTCGAACAGTGAGCGTGGCTGGATATTCCTTTTCTGGAGCTCGTGTAGGAAGCGGGGGGATGTACCGAAGTCTGTAACGCGTTGTGAGGAGAGGATGGAGAGGAAGGCTTGGGGGGTTGGGCGGAAGGGAGAGCCGTCGTAGAGGATGCTGCGGCAGCCGAAGAGGAGGATTTGGATGGATACTAGGTACATGATCCAGCCAGTCTATTTTTTTCCAATTGTCAGTACAAGGCGTTGGAGAAGAGGGTGGGACTTACGGTTGTATATTGCAGCACCACACTTTCCGGCGTCACTTCCTTGTGCAGAATACTCTCTTTGCACACGTTGACCAGCACGCCGCCAGTCGAATGCGCAATGCATTTCGGCACACCCGTCGTCCCACTAGAATACACAATCAGGAAAGGGTCGCGAAAAGCAACTCGCTCGAAAACAAGACCCTTATTTCCCTGCGCAGCTTCCAGAAAAGTCGCCAGTGTCTGCGTACTGCCCAGCCCTTCTATGCCTGCTGGGCAGCCACGAAACCGGGGCTGTGTTACTACGCCTTCGAATTCCGGTACGTCCTGCATACCAGCAACAAGCTGGCTAATCTTGGGCCGCAGATCGATCGTCTTGCCATTGTACACAGCCCAGTCGTCCACAAAGACATATTTTGGCTTGATCTGCACGAGGCGCTCGAGAATGCCTTTTGCGCCCATGTCGGTACTGCTAGAGCTGAAGAGCGCGCCTAAGCTGACTGTAGCCATGAAAACGATGAACGTGTCGAAACTGGTAGACGCAATGAGGGCGACTCGATCTCCTTTCTGCACACCCTTTGCACGCAGCGCATTGGAGAGGAGACCCACGCGCCGGCGAAGCTCGCCCCAAGTTAGATGCGCGACATCTGTATTTCCTTCTCGGATCTCCGTCAACGCGATTTTGTCATCTTCTTTGTAGAGGGTAGTACAACGCGACGAGTCCGTGTCAGATGCGGTAAAGAGGATGTTTTCTGCAAAGTTGAGATATGTGCCGTGGAACCAGTGGGGGTTTTCTTCCATTGGAGTTGAGGTGTCGACGACCTAATATGTTCAGCAAAGAGCGATGCAGAAGTCATAGACTGGAGAGTTTACCTGATTGTAAGAACCAGAATGGATCAAGTTGGATATCGTCCACACGTCGTTCCAGAAATCAGTTCGGTTTGGGCCAACACTCCACGCGTACAAATCACGGTAGCTCTATTCTCATGTGTTAGATACTTGTTATTTATTTGCGAACCTCAAAATGAAGAGGTTGGTGACTTGCCTCCATCTTCAGCCCATACTTAGCATTCGCATTTTGCATGAATTTCCACATGGCCGTCGACGTTGGATCTGGATGCTCCCATAGTTTACGCGGCATGGGCAGACTAGGAGCCGACTGGGGCTCGTAACCATGCCCACCGACATCCATGACCTGTTGCATCATCTTTTTTGCAGGCGAAAAAGGTAGACGTCAAAACTAAAACGAAACAAACCAACGGATCGGCCAAAATGCCGACAGACTGCTATATGTTGTACAAGAAGATGTGCAAGATCAAGGCCCAAGGCTGACTGGGGACGAACAAAGTTTGTTGATCTATCATGTGGGAAAAGAGGGATTTTTGTTTACATTCTCGACAGAGGGGTACCACTCAGGTGTTATGCTCATGACTCTGTTTTCTTTCTTTTTTTGTTTGTCCAACTCAAAACTCCCTGGATGATCGCCATCGCGGAAGACACGGATCTTGGAAACACAGCTGTAGTGTTGGGGTGACATGCATGTCGACTCTGGAACCGCCGACAGGCCCCAAGCCCCGAAAAGCAACAATGGGAGAGGGATCGAATGCATGAGAAATGACATGGATTCGCGCTGAGCCAGATAGGGGAGAGAGGCGCGTGGAGACAAGTGCAGACAAGTGCAAGAGATGCTGCTGTTGTCTTATGCAGTGTTTCGAGGTACAAAGAGTCGGTTGGATGCGCTGTAATGACATGTACATCGGTAGATGTTCTCCCGCTTTACCGTAACTAGACGTGAAGTTGACGGTCCGCGGGGAACCTTCCAGCCGCATTAAACAAACATTTTCGTTGCTTTTCCCGGCTTGGCTAACATATGCTGTGTGCAATTGGGAGGTTTGCTTGGATGGTCTTATCACGCCTTGTTCTTTGATTTTTGCAAATGGAGAGATTAATGCTTGAAGGGATGCCAACTGAGCCCCTTTATAGGTCTAGATTTTGAGCTGAACGTCGTGTATCTAGATGCTGCTGTTCATTACCTTGGGTGGTTAATGTTTTGAAACGGTGGTCTACTTTGGACTAGTGATCGGCGATGCGGAGTAGTCTGTGCCGATGTCAGGGTTTGGGTGATGGAGCTGTCTGGACAGCTTGGAGACTGGGAGCTAGTACTGCATGGTAGCGATCGTCACGTGACCTTATCTTGGTGCAAGAGTGTTGTGTATCAGGATCTCTCACAAAAACATACGACAGCGGGGATTCATTCAGTGGTCGACCACCTGAATACTAATCCACTAACGAGCTAGCTGGCTTGCGAACAGCGAAAAGGTCTTGATGATCATATGTACAAAATATCGTGATTTGATTTATTGTACCTGCTTGTACGCATTAGGAATAGCTGCAGGGCAAGCGACATGTTCAAGTCATTGCTATGACTGACGATCAAAGCCAATTCGTTCATGAGTTTTATGCATATTTTGACTCGCCAAAGTTGAGTCGGAAGTGCAATCACACTACAGACACGTGTTCACGTGATCAAAGTCACCTGACCCTCTCGCTCTCTACTCTAGTCAATCTCCGCACCTTCCCCCCACGCACCCCCACCCCTGCTCGCACGACGGCAAGCAAACCGCTATCAAAATGCCTTCTCGTACATGCAAATATCCAAATTTCCACGCCCACGGTTCCCGCACTCGTCTCAAACAATAGTCTTGCGGGCCCAGACCCACATCTTCCGAGCACTCGGTTATTAAACACTATATTCAAAACGCTGACAGCACGGCTGGGATGGTGTGCACGTCGTATGTGGAATTAAATCATGGGACATGCTGTTAGATAAGGCGGGTAAAATTTTGGGGTGATTTCTCCGCCGGGTGAAGACGATAAGGCGGGTTATTGGGATTGCGAGGGCTAATTAATGAGCTTTTTGGGAGGGTCTTGCTTGCGCTCTCGAGTGCAATATGAACATGCAGGACGGCAGGTAGGATTGTGCGGGTATGGGCCGTGTTTCCTTTGGCCTTGCTCTTCCGACCCACCCCGGTGGCCGAATCATGAGCGAAACAAGGCGAATAAGGTTGGGTGGGGTGTGATGGTGTCAGCGTGCCAAGTATGGCGAGGGTGACAGGGTGCTGCGTTGCGTGTGTGGTAGTGTGGAGGTACAATTGGAGATTCTGGACATCAAGACGCTGCTAGAAGATGAAGTCAGTTGCAGTTGGAAGTTTCTTTCCAACTTGATGTTTAATTGCATGGTATGTTGCATAGTGATAAGTTCATCTCTTCATATGTCTTGTAACCTTGTAATTCTATATAGTTGAGAATCTGTATCATCAGCCTGAATCCCTTAGGCATATGACTTCTCGGTACTGTCTCTAGCGAGGAGTACACGTCTCTTTGCCGTGCTTGTAGTCCTCTTTGGAACCCCTTCCCAGGAATTGGCATAGGTAGCAACGGCCTCCGCAACACCCTTGGTGTGAAGGACCCAGGCGTCCAGATTGAGATTCTTGACTGTATCGCATGGCAAGTGAAAGCAAGGGTCGTAGTTAACACCAGCTGTTCCGCCAAAAATAGTAGCCTGCTCAGAAGTCTTCTGCACATCTCGGCCTGTCGAGGTTCCTCCGACAGGAATGCCAGCATAGACAAACGGTGCATGATCGGAGCGGCCGTCATACTCCTTTGGGATAGTAGTTGTTCCTGCGGCTTTGAAGTACTTCTGGAAGAGGTTTTGTATCTGAGCGGAGCCGTTGGGTCCAGGCGTGCCAAAGGCTTTGCCATCGCCATCGTAGGTTTGGTGGACGTAGTTGAGCGAGCCAAGCTAGAACAGAACCGTAAGCAGCCATGTCCACAAAGCATAAAGTGCAGTACATACCAGGTCGAAGTTCAAATAAGCACAGATTTTGGCATTTTCAGCTGGAGTGAGGTTCTTGATAAAATGTGTTGAGCCGGGTAGATAACCGGACTGTTGGGCGGTCCAAAAGGCAAATGTTACTGCGTTCTTGATTTTGTACTTTGACAACCCTTTGGCGACCTCATAGATCCCAACTAGGCCACTTGCAACGTCGTTGATTGCTGGGCCCTCGAGCACACCATCTGAGTGAGCGCCGACAATGAGCTTGTTGTTATGGTCGCCGGACTTGGTGGTAGCAATGAGGTTTGATGAAGTGATGTTGCGGATGTCTGTGATACTCGTATGAGCCATGTTGCCCCTCCAAATCATAAAACAGCTTACCTGAGTAGACGTCGAAACTAGCAGATATCTTTTTTCCGCATTTGAGTGCCGCAACTATGGGAGTAGATACATTCTTGATGATATTTAGGGTAGGGACGTATGGACCCTCGGGCCGAGGAGGAGCGAGCAGAGTGCCGTCTTCAGGGCCTTTGTCATCAATGTTGTACAGAATAGATCCGACTGCTCCAGCAGCACCAGAATAAGCAGATTTGATACCATAGTCGCATGTCCCACGGGCTATGAGGGTGATCTTGCCAGCTACTGCCGCAGTATAATCAGTCTGAAGATTTCAAGATTAGTTGCAAGTCAGATATTCTACCAAGATAATTTCACAAACATACCCTATTGCATCCACCTTCGACAATGATCAAAGGGGCAGTGACTTTTGCGGTGGGAGAATACTGGAAGAGCGAAGACTCCGAATCCGATAGGACAGTGCCATTGATAGAGAAGGAATTTATCTGATCACTCCATGAAACTACTCACGGGAAAGTCTGAAGAGAAACATCGTAATAGTCGAGGGCATCAAGATTGTCTTTGAGCCACTTGAGTGTTGCCACCTGTCCTGGGCTACCCATGCTCCGACTATTGTTTGGAGAGCCATTGGCAAAGTCTTGCAGTTTTTGCGCACCGGCGAACAAGTTATCACGAAGGATTCGAGACTTGAGCAGTGCCTGGAGATTGTTGGAGCATGAAATGTTTTGCCAAGGTGCAATCGACGTCTTACGGGGCTTACGGCCGGCTTGTCGCTTGCAGAAGCGCTAGCAACAAGCGCAGTGAATATGATGGAATATCTCATGGTGCCGACTACGAGAACGAGTATCCAAAAAGACGGTTTAGGGAAGAATGTGGGCAACAACAGAGCTGACTGTAGTAGAGGCGGTCGCTTTCAATACTCTTGATGTGACCCCTTAAGTGATGTAAAGATGTAGTCTTCTGTTGAGGGCTTACCACGCTGTGAATGGACCAACAAGGTATTGACGACGTAAAGGAATGTTGGCAGCGGCATGTCAGCGGCAGGACTGCGGTGACATGGAGTAAGCACCGGCATCGGGGCGAATACATAGCTAGCTACATGTATTTGATGTATTCAAATGCTGCGCAATGATGTACGGTCAGTAGTCGAGATGGCGTACGTCAGACGGAGGAATTCAGTGGCCAGTATGTAGAGGCATAAGCAATCACGTAGAGCAAGCACGCGAGGTTGGCTGTTAGATGGCGGCAAGACTAACTTGGATTTGTTTACAGGGTAAGGAAGGTGCACTAGGCCAGATGGAGCAAACAATCCATGCAGGTTTAGCTGCATATCAGAACGGTTTGGAGGGCATTCGGTACGCGAAGAAATAAGATTTATCGATTCGATGTAATGCAGGGCTATGATTTGTCGGATCGATACAATGATGGCAAGAAACTGCGTGCTAGCCTGTTTGCCAGGTCACGTTGCAAATACTAGACATGTACTGGGAGGATTTAGTGAACTGTAAGTGGATGATTTCAAACATCATCCATCTAAGAAAGTATCGTTAAGGTTCACGCCCACGACGTCTGGACGAATATCGCAGACTGTGGAGATACCAGGAACAAGGTATGCGCTATTTTGCTTTGCCCGAGATGGAGCAGAGGGTAGGCATAGTTCAACTGTTCCATTTTACGTGCATGAGATGGTTGTTGAAAAGTGTCATCCATACATAGCTGCGTATTAATCATTGGTTCAAACCTTGGGATGGTATGATGAGTTCCATAATCAAAAGGTCTCGAGCTGATATGTATTCGGAGCAATTGTCACGAGGGAAGGAGGGCAATGTCTGCCTAGATGCCATGTTTCTTGGCGTCATCGCTGAGGCTACTAGCAGAAAACGCCCAGGTCAATGGTGCCCGTATTCTACCTTGCAACACATGGCCCCGATGGTGACGAGCTTGGGGGTAGCGGTGTGGATTTGTGTCTCACAAACAAGAGCCTTGGGCTGGTCGGGTGCTGCCGAGTCACACGGCGCACGAGGCTGTTTCCACGAAAAGGGCTGCTGGGATGGGTGTGGCGATGGGAACGCAACATGGGGTGCCGTCAGCGTGGTTGGTGGTAAGCAAGTATAGCCATGTGCGTAGTATTATTAATAGGGAAGCCAGAGGGTCGGGTGGAGGGTGAGTAAGCAGAGAATACCTAGTGCAGGGAACTACTATTAGGATGTACATGCTATTAGCAGCAGGTGGGGCGATGGTTCCGATGGTTCCTTCCTCAGGCCACGGCTAAGGAGTCAGGCGGTGAGGCTTGGCAGGCGACGACGGGGCGGCTATGACATCAGCCTCGTAAATGGAGCTGAGACCAACAGTGGAATGAACGAGCTTCAGGAACGCGTGCAGCGTCAGCATGGCAGTAGGAGCTAGAGACGATGGTCAAGCGGCAGTGGAGTGACTAATGCCGCGATCAGCAGGGCATGGGACGTGGGCCGTGGACTAGTGGATTGGACATGTAGGTACAAAGGTACTTGGGTACCTAGGTAGGTAAGTAAGTACACGCACACGTACCAGGTACTTGTTCGGGTACGTACCACGCGGTACGGCTGGACGTGGCGCTGCTGCACGACGAGGAACATGCAGGGCGTTTGCAGCGTGCTGGCGCACAAACGGTTCGAGAGAGGGCGGGGGTGCGAAGAAGAAAAGGCGAGCGGTGAAACGGATGTGCAGCGGGTTGCAACACGAGATGATTGTGATGATGCAGGCAAGAGCAGAGGGGCTGAGAGTGTGAGGGTGTAAGGAGTTAGTGGCGACTTGGATAGATACAGCTAGAGGTAGATGGATAGTGGGCGCTTGGTGGTGGCATGGGATGGAATGGTGAGAAGGTGGCACGGGCCTGTATTCCGAGCGTGAGCGTTGCCATGGGCGTGGAGCAGCAATCTACGTGTGCAGGTGGCAGATTGGCGAGACGAGCTTGATGTGGCGGTCTGGTCAGGCGCTCAGCAGGACGTGGGCAGAGCAGAGGGCAGCAATCTCGGGCAGAGTGTGGAGTGGCTATTGATATCGACGAAGAGGCTGTAGGTGGGTCTGAGGGCATGCTGGCGGTGTATGGGCAGGCGACAGGCCAGATAGGGGATGGCGGTGACGGCGCTCGCAGCAGCTGCAGGTGACATGGGCCCGAGGATGCTACTAGTGGGAGCCAGAGGGAGCCAGAGGGAGCCAGAGGGAGCAAAATACTACTACTTGGTACTAGCACCAGAGCCAGAGCCAGAGCACAGCCAGGCAAGCACCATGGCAAGCACCAAGAGGCCATCAGCACGTCCCGGTACCTGAACTGCCCAGCGGCGGCACAACCCTCGACTCGGAGCCAGCCAGATACCAATGTTTGGGCCAGTGAGTTGGTCCAGTGCGCGGAGCAGAGAAGGAGACAGGTGTGTGTGTATACTTACACAGGTGCTAGCAAACAGACGTCTCGACTCAGATGAGATGGAAATGCAGGAGCAGACAGGGGAAACAGATAGCGTGCAGTACCGCGCACAGCAGATACTATCGCAGCGACAGCCGGAGACAACGAGGGCCAAGAGATGGAAAATGTCACGACGGGTGAAGCGGGCAGACAATACGACTTTGGAGCGGCATGCTGGAGCGAATCCGGCAATGGCGTCGTCTAGCTTCTTCGCAACCCCACATCATCCACGGCCGCTGCCCCTGACCGGCACAGGAACGCTTGCAGTCGGCAGGCGAGCGTGACGAGAACGGACAGGACAGTCGGACGAGAGATGAAGGGATGGCGATCACGGCCGCCTGCCGCCCACTCGTCGCATTGCCATCGCAACGCGGGTGCTGGGGAACGGGGGAACGGTGCAGTTCATGGGCTCTCTGGGCTGATGGATGGATGGATGGGTGGATGGGTAGATGGGTAGATGAATGGATGGGTGGAGGCGAGTGCGCAATGCCGTTGTGGCCCTATGGTGTGCTGTGTGTGCGTGTGCAGACTGAGGGCGTGAAACGGGGCCAGCAGCCACTCAGGGCCCCTCTCGCCATCACGCTCGTTCGCTAGCACCGCACGCAGCACACACACACACACGCAGACGCAGCAGCTGGCCGCAGCAATGAGATGGCGGCGCTGAGTGGTGTGGCAGGTAACCCGGTGTAGTGTAAACTATAGAGGTGTAGAGGTGTGTGTGTGTGTGAGTGGACGTGTGGGTATGAGGCCCTGCCCTGCCCTGTCCTGTCCTGCCATGCCCTGCTCATGACCCGCCGTTCATCATCATCATCGCCCACTACAACGCCTATTACGACGACAACGACACCAGCCAACTAGTCCAGCGACAGCGACAGCACGTTAAATGATGGCATCGCGCACAGGCCCACCCCACTGACTCGCGCCCCGACGCTGGGTTCCCTGGCCCGTTCCCAGCCCGTGCCCGGTCGTGGTTGTACTTGAAACCTCGACGCCGTGCCAGGGGCCGCGTCCAAAGCTGGAGAGTGCTCTGCAATATATCCACCCACGTCCTATCCCTCTATAATATAGCGCCGGCCCTTCTTACACTTTTCCGCCTGCGGCACACCATCATCCGCCATAATATACCCACCCACCGCCTGTCACCTCACTCTCTAACACTGACGCCCTCAGCTCTCACATACACCACCAACGCCGTGCAACTCCAGTCTCACCCACCCGCCGGCCTGGCGCCTACCAAGGAACGCCTCCACTGCACCATTCCCACCACGCCTACATACATATATCCCCCCACCCACAGCCTGACTGACGCCTGTCCAACCACACTCTACTCCACCGCCCTCCATTCTGCAACAATGGTTGACGTCGCTGTCACCTCGCAGTTGTCCCAATGGACCTTTGACAAGCCTGAACTCGCGCCCCGTCCCCAGCGCGGCAGCACCGACAGTGCAGCCTCGAGCCCTAATCTGTGCGACGATGTTTCCGACACTCTGCGCATCGACACGCCCGCCTCGCAGCAGCCTACCCCACCCACAGCAAAAGCACCAAAAGTTTTCCAGGAACGCTATCTCTCAAGCGAAGAGGACCTGACTGCCGACGATGGCTCAGCCTCGGGCTCAGACTCAGAATACGACTACGAAGACGCCGTCGTCCACGACATTTCCACCCAAGCAACCGCAAAGACAATGTCAATCTCCAGATGGGACAAGGGCCGCAGTTGCGACATGGCCGTCGCTGTCGCCTATGCCCACGCCGGCCGTCCCAAGATGGTCGACATGGAAACCGACCGCCCAGCCGTCCAGCAACGGTCCGCCTCCGTTGCCAACCTCATTCCCATCACAGCAGCCAAGAAGCTGCAAAAGGCAGACGAGGCACAGCGCTTCTCCATGAAGGTCATGCCCACTACCAGCATGGTTTCACCCTCACTCTCTCGTCCCATTTCACCTCCCGCCGTTGTCGAGCCACGCCGACCCTCGACCAGCCACAGCCCAATTACTCAAAAGCCCAGCACATTCACCGACTCAGCCTCCATTTCTTCGTCCTTCCAAGCTGCGTCAACACGCAGCTTCTCACCCGCATTCAGCGATGCCCCACCAAGGCCTTCCTCCTCAACCGCTGGAGAAGCTGTATCCGCCCGCTCTTCCCTCTACATGCCCTCGCGCTCGCGTCTCGACCTCTCAAAATACCCAACATCACAGTCATATCAGCCAGGCCATCGCCAATCGTACCTGCCCCCGCCAACTCCAAACTCTCCCGCTCTTTCCTTCCTCAGTTCAGATCCCTATGAAAACTCTTCCACTAGCCCCGCCTCACCAATAATCAAGAAGCAACCCACGGCCCACCGCCGACTACGTTCCATCTCTATGAAGCTCTCACTCGCCAAGATTGCCATTACACCTGCCAAGAAGCAATTCGACTCACGCCTGCACGGCAAGGTTCCACCCACACCCATCACCCCGGCTCCCATGACGCCTCAGACAGCCCCCCTTGAGGGCGCAGCAAACTTCGCTGCCCATAACAAGGTTCGCCGCGCGTCTACTATTCTGCGTCCCAAGTCTCGTGGGGGCGACTCTGTACGAAAGACCCCTTCGCCAGACCTTGCACCCCCAGTCCCGCAGGTCAGCACTAGCACTATGCAACAAAAGCGTTCCACCACACTTGGACGCATGACTGCCCGTGGCGCAGATGAGAGAGAGCCTACGCTCGTTCTCCCAGAGTGCCCGCGAAATGAAATTGATCCCAGTTCTAGTGCCAGAAGCCGCGCAATCCGGCGCCGCAAGTCGCTCATGGACTTCATGGATTCGCTGTAAAGCCAGTCAGTCGCACATCACAGATGCCATTTTTGTTTCGAAACGCCTCTCCTCCCCGCAATTCCACCAACGCACAGACGACTTGCATGCATCATCCCTGTCGGTTGCGACAATCATCTTTTCTTGTACATTCTCTTACCGCCTAGCCCGTGTATACCTCTATTTTTTTTTAACCTTTCGTCCCGGCTACCTATTTTCCCACTACAAGCGCGTAATACCTGGCGTACTGTTGGCGCAACGACCTGGCTTCGTTCGATATTTTGTTTTTGTTTCCTTGTTCTCTTTTTGCTCTCCCAATCATCTCGCTTGTCAGAGGTTATGATACCCTCTCTGCTTACATTTTTTGTTTTTGTTATCTTGGCAATCAACGCGAAGTGTTCGCCCGCCATTCAGCAGTTTAATTTCCTTGGTCTCTCAGCAAATCTCGCATCTAGGATGCCATGCCATCTTTAGTAGCATCTAGTCCAGAGCTTGTTCTCGGACAATAAAAAGACATGATGTTCCTTGTTTAGCGTTAGCGAACAGCAAATACAAGTATCTTTGATCTTCAATAACCTTGGTCCTTGTTGATATGATGGTTGTGATGATGTTGTGTCGGTGCCACTTACGCGCATGTACATATTGCTAGGTTGAAGTTGGCAGCATGGGCCCATCCATGAATAGGCCCGCTTCCCTTCCCATCGTATCACCCCCATGACGTAAGTACATAAACCCTGAGGATTCTCTCTTTTTTATCACGGCATCACGGCATCAACGGCATCGCCTCACTACCCAAGCGCATCCATGCAAATGACGGCATTACATGTGTACTCTACCCCAAACGCGCCAAGACACCGTCCCCGTCTGCCTCTCAGACTGTGTGGTTCGTAATTGCCCCGCATCAAAAAAAAAAAAAAAAGAGACAGCAACGCTGCACGCAAACAAACTTTGGCACTTCAGCACGCCAAGCACCAACCAAAGCAACGGGACTGGGAACTTTGCACTGCCATTGTTGTAACTGACTTTTGTTACGCATGCGCAGTAAACTTTTGGCTTCGCGACCGTTTGCTTGCTACTGCACTGCGCGACGATCTGCATACAGGCTACTGTGTACTTACGCGTTGAACTACGTGGATAAGATGGCTTGTGCAGTACCAAACTGCAGGTTGCGTTTGCGAAAATAGGCTCAATCGCGGTACTCCGGTGTACAGAACTATGCGGTATACACACTTGTTAGTAGTAAACTGAAAGGTGAGGCTGCAACCAACACTCTCACACACAGACTCTGGTTGGGCGTCGATAAGACGCGTGCGCGATGATGTCATTGTCTGCATTATCTCTCCCCTACACAAAGATAATACCAGCCGCAACTTTTTTTTTGTTCTTCAGCAATTACGAGTGTGCCCGCGCTATGCGCCATACCGGACGCTTCCAGTTCTAGTTTTCCGGCTTCTTCTTCTTCTTCTTCTTCTTCTTCTTCTTCTTCTTCTTCTTCTTCTTCTTATCTTTCCCAGTTCGGCGGGAGAGAGTAGCCGTGTGGGTTCCTCCGTATTGCGACTGCCTGGGCAGGTCTTGGAAGAGCCGAAAAAAAGGCAGTGATAGGCAGGCGTGTAAAACTCATGTGTTCTTTTTTTCCGCCTCTTGTTACAGTATGTACAAGAAAAGTAGCAAAGGCGTAGTAGGCAATGTATATGCATGTAGGCATTGTCTTTATGCTATGTACGTCTGTGTTTCTACCAAAGTGCCAAGTTCATGCCTTGGGTTTCGGTCGGTCGACCCTGGGAAAGGGAAAAACCATGGTATTATTAGTGGCACACAGGCGCAAAACCCCGCTAGTACCGTTGCGTTTGGCAACGCCTGCTCACTACAGCCACACTCTTTTTTACTTCCTCAAGGCCAGCAGCAGTCAATTCCAATTGCAAAGAACGCCTTGCACTTACCATGCCCACTTCCCTTTGCCCAAGGCCAATCACACATCCCACCCCCTCACATGTTCACCGCACCTCTCCAAACCTTCCCTACCCACCCACTCTCCCCCTCACGAATCAAACGAGTCAGCACCCAAACCACCGCATGAATCACGCGTCTCGCTCTCTTTCTTTCGCGTTTGCAAGAACGGGCCGATAGAAACAATCAGCAACACCCACTTTTCGACCCTCTCTCCCCTCTTTCTCTGCACAAACAAACACGGACCGCGCTACTGGCCCATGCTCACCCAAAATACGACCGGGCATGATCGAGTGAGCGGGTCCCTCTCTCGCTCGGTGCATGTGTGTCTCCACATTTTTTTGCGCGCAAAGCGATCATAATGTCCGCTCCCTGTATCTTAACTACGGCAACATACGCGCTGCGCGCGCAAGGGAAATGGGGTGAGGGCGGGCGGGCGGGCGGGCGGTTAAAGCAAGGGAAGGGGGACGAACGGGCTAAGAAATCTCCGGGGTCTCTCTCTGCCTCTCTCTCTCTCTCTTTTCTCAAGGGGTCCTCAAGTAGCGGATTGCGCAAGGGCAGTTAGTGCGGACCCTGTAGATTGTGGTGACTTTTCTTCATTGCGTATGTCAGGGTTTCGTGGGTTGGGGGAAGGGAAGATGATCAGGGTAATTTGAGTTTCGCTTTCGTTCGTCATGCGCGCACGCACGAGGGAGAAAGAGAGAGAGAGATGTTACTGTGTGCGACGTTGCTGATAAGTTGGTGTTGGTGATCTTTTTGCAGGCACGCGTGGTAACATGTTTGTATACGCGCGATACGCGTTTGCCCCCTTGCCATTATCCACCCACCGATCCATCCATCCATCCAGATGTTTATTTGTTTTTCCACCGCACCGCAACCGTTGACTTCATCAACTACGCAATGCAAGTAATTGCCCCAATTTCACCGCTGTTATTACTTGTGCTACTACCCTGAGGAAATCATCATCGCCTTTGCTGAACCCAGCCACCCCCACGCTCCCAGAATCCATCCTCCATCGTGCTCTATTTGAAACCCCATTTTATCGCTTTCCCTATTGGCGTTTGCTTGAGGACCCTTCGCCCGCCCGCACGTGTGCAATGTACCTGACTAAGACTGCATAAGTTCATGATGGGTTCCTCGCACTCCGAACCGTAAGCTCGTTGGTACCTGCAGCAAAGCACATTGTAGCCCGTGCTCTGCTCCCTCTTTTTTCTTGGGGAGGGCGGGCTGTGGTTTTTATTGGGGGACGGGCTGTTAGAGTTTGATCGTCGGGTTAGGGTTCGGAGTTGTGGAGATGAGGTTGCATCACGTGATCATGATGGGTTTCCCGTGGCATGCCTCATATTTTGTGTTTGTGATGGGCAAGGAAAAGGAATGAGGGATTAACGGTAACTGTAGCCCGTGGTCTCCGTGGACAAAAGTCGGAAATTGTCTTCTTCTTCTTGTCATTGTCGTACTTGTTTTCTTTTTCATTTCCTCATCTGTCAAACATGGTGTTTGCTTCATTGCGTTATCTTCTTTTTGTATTGGTTGAGTAGCCGCGATGGCTTTTTTTCTTGTCGGCTGGCAGTGTTACCAAGCCTCACTGCTCAGGCTATCCGAACCCGACTAAGATGGGTAAGCGTCTCGCCGGAAAACTCTTTTGCGTCATCTGGCAAACTAAATCGATTGCGGCCCGCGTGCAGAATCTTGATCCTTGTTCTGCGCCAATAGTTATTCCTGACTGCGGCGCTATTATGTTCAGGTGTGGTGGATACGATAGCGTCGGAACTTTGTTCAGGGCGTGGTAATCTTAGAATCCTGGTAATCATCCCGCTACAAGTACAGGTCATCTTAGTGTAAGATACACTTTCAGTTCATCTTATCTTGAACTTAATGGCATGATGGTGGGGGATACGTGGTACGACAAGTTATCGATGGCTATCCTGGATGAATACAGTCATTTGCATTCGGTTCAATTTGTTGCAATCAGACCGTTACCATGTTGCACAGTCACCTTTCTTGCGTCGGTCATCCCATCGTAAGGTGTGTTCCAAGAAACACGCCTGGACAGCCCATAGAGAGCAACATTGGCGTGATTCATCTTTCAGACTCGGTGCAAACCATGTCAATAGCGCTTCTATGGCAGTGTCCCCGACCGGTAATTCCCAGCATTTGCCCTAAGCTCTTAGTTCACTTTTAGGCCATTTCATAGAATTTCCAATCACCATGTCCATGGTAAAGCGCATAATATAAAATTGTGTAGATCTGTGTGTGTTGGAACTTTGATGCAAGGCATCAAATACCAACTATTCAAACTGTCTTATTGCGCTTCTGCTGGCGCAATCAAACGTAAAGTACTTTTGTCTAGTAAACGAGCTAGTGTAGATTTGACTATTGGCAGCGAGAATGTGTATTTGCCAGCTACCATCGTGTCCGTGAGGTGTGGATGCGTTTTCTTGTCTGTGTTTGCGTGCTGACACTATTGTACAATCACGCAAAGGGTGAATGTGTACCTTGCAGATCGCCTACCTACGTAGCACGTATACATACAGTCACTGTCTACATATTTGCATCTTATCAGAAATATGAGGCGTACACTTTTCTCACAAAGAGTATAGCGTGGTCTGCCTTGATCATGCCCTCGTCAAAAAGCACCAATCATTGGCCGCCATTTGTTGCTGTCCCCACCAAGGCTATCCAGCAACCTCAACTACATGTCTTTCGAGCTACTTTCTTTATATAGTATTCCCACAAAGAGGCTCACTCGGTTCGATCTAGCTCATTCAAAAAATTTAAAGGTGTCTTCAGGACCATCTCCCCACCATCTTCAGCCTTATCACAGCGAAGATGAGAAGCTCAATCCGCAGAGCGGCGCCGTCGTCACAAATAAAGATCAAGCACAAATCAGCCAATTTTGTTGAAGATAGTAACGTTCCCGTATCACTCATCGAGATCCGCAGTGATGGCAGTTCACAGAAATCTCAAGTTACAAAAAGTCTGGTCGAGACATACATTCAGAATGATTTTCAAACACAAGCAAATAAACAGTCAGGCTCTTTGCAGCACCCTGAGCATGAGACAATAAAACTATTGTGTGCACACCTATCCTCAGTTGTAGTAGAGAGTCGCTCATGGAATCTCCAGTTGTTCACAGCGGACAGGGCTATATGACGGGAGCCTAACGCCAATCTCTATGTCTCTACAAATGTACACACACGTTGCGCCATTTGCACGCATACCAGACGTCTATCCTAGTATATTAGACCAAAGAGCCGCGGTCAATTCGTTCACACAACCTCAAATACCCGCCCACTTATCCCATACACCGCTTCATGACATTCGGGAAAATTATCTCAGTAAGTGAGCGAATACATGAACTGGGGGCCTCTCTAAACACATTCTGACAGGTTTCGTCATCCAATCTATTCCTGGTGCGATGAACTATGTATGCGCTGGTCTCTCGCTTACATATCATTTCCCCAGTCGCCAGATGTACATTTTCATGCATGGCTTAGCAACGGCGAATTACGACCGCTTCACTCGCGATGTCGAGCAGGGTGTTGCAAACGAATCTGCCTTTATAATTCCCAGTATGGTTGTTCAACACAACCTCTCCCAACTAGGCAAAGTCATCACCCGGTGGCATGACCAGATCTACTGGCATGAACGAGCGTTAGGCATCCGATTCGATCACCATGATAGAATTGACCTGGCGAATCTTGACTTCACGGCACTTTCGAGGACTCTAAATGCAGCAAATACTCAGCTTGCATACATCGCTTGGTCGTGCAAAAGCACTGCGCGTCTCCTTGATTTTTTGGACCAGGTTACGGATCGATATCAACAACAAGCTATAGCCCATGGTGAGCCAGAGAATGATGTTGCGCATATCACAAATTTACTTTCGGAGACGCATGAACAGTTGCGCGCTTGGAATGTAGGACTGCAGGATAGAACTGACTATCTTTCCAGGAGAGGTCAAGCTCTAGTTCAGACCGTAAGAGTTTTTGATGAGAATAGTACCGGAAGTCATTCTCATTTTCGCAGGTATACAGCAGTATTGCTCAACGCGATGCAGCGACCAGTCTCAGTCTAGCCAACACTAGCACTAGCCTGGCACGGTCTTCGCAAAGTGTAGCCATTTCCACATCACGTGATAGTGCCGTAATGAAGATCATCGCTGCAATGACAATGATCTTTCTTCCCGCCACGTTTACTGCTGTAAGTCATCAATGAGTTGCATGTCGCCATCCGATTTCTAACTGTTCGCGTCTAGACATTCTTCAGCACCACATTCTTCGACTTCAACAACGATCTCAATGGGCGCATGTACTCTTCTTGGTTATGGCTATATTTTCTAGTCACGTTTATACTCACATTTGTAGTCATGCTAATCACGTGGTGGTTATGGAAAAAGAAAGAAAAGGAAGTCACTGCATCGCTGGACACTAAATAACGCACGTCTCACACCAATTTACAAACACCATGAACAAATCAAACTTGGGCAAAAAACAAAGCCGAAATGGGTGAACAAGAGCGAGGTCCTGCGTGGATTCAGGGGGAATTTGTTGGTACTGGCCAGTTTGCTTTTTTGGAGTTTGCATATATCAGAAACAATGTTGAAGAAAAGAAATACTGTGGAGAGAGAAAATCATTAGTCACGAATTGAAAATGGCGCTAGGCATAAGATGGAAAAGGAAAATGGGTGAACGAGCCAGTTCATGTAGAAACACTGGAAGCATTAATGCCCTTGCAATGGAGCTCAATTCCTACCATTATCCTGAGTGATCATAGCTGGCAGTGCCAGAAGTGAAAGAAACCATCAAATATCGGGGAAGCTGGTGTGTATCAAGCAGCTATCAAACAACATATCTTTTGATGTTGGGAGCATCACATCCAATCTGTTATGCGACCAGAAACTCCTGCAGTAATCATATGTCCTGGCTGCGATGGACATGCAACCACCGAAGAGGTGATATTGGTTGGTAAATATTGAACAGTATAAGTGATTTATTTGAAGTGTTGTGGAGGATATTCCCCACATTCCCAACTGCCGTTCGCTTCGTCCCCACCATCGGTACATATTTCTACACTCTAATCAAGCATGGATTTTAGCCAAGCGAGAAATATCAGGGGGGTGAACAATTCAAAAGAACATCTTGGCGTGCTTGGTCCTATAGACATTTCATAACAACTTCACTGAATCACAATGTTGACTACTATTATTCTCGGTCTTGCACTCGCAGTAACAAGCCTTGCCCAAGCACCAGAAGGGCACCGCACTGTCTACATCACCTCAGCTCAAGATGCCAACTTCGTCGTCGTTCCAAAATCGCGCACCGCAGGCGCACCTCTCGTAGTGTGAGTCGTCACTAAGCATTCTCTACACGTCGAAGTTGTAAACATAAGCTAACATATCAACCCATAAGCCAATCTCTAATCAAATCCCCTTCACAAACATGGTATCTTGCTGCGCCATCAAACGGTACCTCGATCCAACTTGCCTCTACAACTCTATGCATGGACGCTGGCCCCAAATCAGGGTAGAAGGACATGGCGCCCGTTTACCTCCGCGAATGCGCACCCAAGGCCGAGTCTCAGACTTGGATTTCTATGGCTGATGGGCGTATTGCGCTTCAGGCCAGCACAGGTACTAAGCAGTGTCTCGATCTACAGTACATAAGGGCTGTGGAGAATAACCCTGTGGGTATGTATAATTGCGCGGGGTTGGGGAATACGGGAGCGAAGGATAAAGGAATTAATTGGCCGCTTAAGGATGCTTGAGGGATGGTGTATGTCAACTATGCCAAATGTGGCACTGTGACCTGGAGAGATATAGCGATGAATAGCTATTCTATACTTTAGAGGCCTTCTTACTACGCCTCTCTTCGTGCCTTTTCTGTCCTTCTTCCTTTAGTTGGGCATCGTCCTTCCGCGCAAGTTCTATCTGAGGCATCAAGAACCAAGAAGCGACAAAGGCAATGGCGTTGAGAGCCGCGCCTACTATGAAGATGATTCGAAAGCCATCCTTGTATGCTGAGGTGAGCGAGGCGCGAATCTGATCCATGCGCTGTGTCCCGACCGACTCGCGAAATAGGCCTGGCGAGTTAAGAAGTAGGTTCAATTCCGTCCTGGAGAGGCCGTATGGTGCCAGTGAATGACGAACAGCATTGTTGACAATGGTCCCGGCAATGGCCAATCCTAGGGTGCCGCCGAGGTTGCGTATGAAATTACGTGTTGACTGTACCCGGGGTTAGTTTTTGAGTAACAATGTCAAAGAAACGTAAGTATATATATCTTACTGTGACAACTGCCATGTGCTTGCGTTCGACTCCTGCTTGCACAGCAATCAGGCTTGGCTGTAGTGTATTTCCAAGTCCAAAACCAGCAAGAAGGGAATATCCTATCTGTTTTCCAAGCGAAGGGCTATCGAGAGTTGATAGTAAGCCCAACGCAATTGCCCATACTGCCCATCCTATGAGGAGACATTCTCGGTAACGTCCAGTCCAATGCACCACGAGACCTGAGAGTGTGCTAAAAAGCGCTGTTCTCCTATAAGTAACCGTTTACTTTTCCCTGGACAATCAACAACACTTACTTTGTGTGAGTGTGATAGGTAGCAACAGGGCTCCAGACTTCACAGCTGAATAACCATATACCAGCTGGTAAAACGATGGGATGTAGAAGATTTGGACAAGGAAATTCCAACCATTAACAAACATTGTCAACATAGCCCCGTTGACAACCTTGGAGGTAAAGATTTCCACTAGAAGATGATCAGTAAAAGCGATTCATAGCAGTTATATGATGTACGGTAGGATCTAGAAGCTTGATCCGATGCTGTAACCTACTCGAGACTAACGGCACGCTAGTACCTTTCCATTGCCATAAGATGAAACCTGCGGAGACTGCTACTCCAACCACAAGAGTGGCGATAACGTGAGCAGATTCCCACGGGTGCTCACCACCAGCCCATGTCAAGGGCAACTGTTACTGGTAAGCCTTGGCATACTGACTGAAATGGACAATACATACCACGAGTAATGTGGAGCCGGCCAGGGCTAGGAATGCTCCAAAAAAGTCAATAGCTGCCACTTTCCTTGTTCTCTTAGCATTGAGTATTGAGATGGATCTAACAACTTACTCTTTCCATGCACCGTTGACTTTTCGTAATGGCATAAAGAAGACCACAGCGCCAGTAGCCAAGATACTTGTGAAGAGATTTAACCTGAAGATCCATCGCCTGTGACATAATCAGCACATGACGGGCTTTGTCTCGTTGGAGGTTTTACCAAGAGTCTGGGCTTTGCGAAGCGAGTGCACCTCCAATGATTGGTCCGATGCCATTGGCTAGTGCTACAACAGATCCCTATGGTATGGTAAGTTACTTTCTTTAACATGGATAGCATACGACATACCAGTATGCCTTGATACTTGCCTCTTTCGCGAAGCGGCACGATATCAGAAACTATTAGTTGGGCGACTGTCATAAGACCGCCGCCTCCAACTCCCGTAAATGCGCGGAAGATGATGAGCTGAACCGCTGACTGTGCTAACGACGCAGCTAATGAACCGAAGAAGAAGATTCCAATGCCAAATATCAAGATGACTTTGCGAGACCATATATCGGAAAGCCGGCCATACAATAACTGAAATGAGGTCGACGTGAGAAAGTAGGCGCCTGCAATCCATGCGCGCTCACTGTCAGCGTCAAGAGCTTTGCTGACAATGGTTAAACTTGCTCCAAGAGTAGTCTGGTCTAATAATGCTAGCAAGTCAATACTTGCGCAGGCCAGGAATATCTAGTTTGATGAGCACAAGGAACAATATTGAACGCGAGCACTCTCACAGTAATGATAGTCTTGACTGGCACATAGTTGGTTTGCTCGTTGAACTTCGGCTCAGCTTCCTCGTCTGGTGGGTGTGGTACAACTTCGGGATTAGGCTTTTCCATGGTGTACTCAGGACAAGGTACGTCAGTATTGGGCATTCGATTGAAGACGAGAGGACAAAAAGGCAGCCACTGTCGTCACTGCAATCTCTCCAAGTTTCTTGGGGGATGCTATATATCACTAGGCCTGGAAGTACACAGACAGCGCGCATTGCAATTGGAACCAAAGGGCTTAAGAGTACCGATTTCTTATAAGGTGCTTACCGGTCTCTGCAAGCCCAGGCCTCTGGAAAACGGTCCATCTTCGTGTAGTATCGCCGACACCTGCTCAAAGAATCTTCCAGCCGTCTAGAAGGGTGCGGCAATAGATGGCAACAAAAATGTGCGCAAACTTGCTCCACTAAGATGCTCATTGGATGCCAAGGCCGTTAGCACAGGTGCACTAGTACTAATACTACTATTACACGACACACTGGTTCGTCGATCAGCACGCTATACACATGGGTAGTGCATCATGCCCAATCTACATTGCTTTTCAAGGGTCTGACCGCGTGCCACTTAAGCACGTTGAAATACACTGCAGCATGCATGGTATAAGCGTGGTATGTCGACCTGCCAAGTTAGGGCCCACATGTGAAACGGATTGGCCGGAGGTTATGGATGTTGAGACGAACAGGGAGTACTGCCCTGCCAACGCTATTCTGTAAACAGAAAAAGCGCCTGTTCACACCGTGCCTACGATTCGACACAATGTGCTCAATATGCCTTAGAAACCTCCATGGTATGAACACCGACTAGACCATAATCACGTAACAGCTATATTGCAGCGTTATTTTCTCCGAACAATGATGGATGCCATGGCCCCTAGAGTTGCGTCAACCCAGCAAAATATGATGTGCAGATTTTCGTCCGTATTGGGCCTCATAGCCCCGGCGAATGCATTCACTTTAAAGAGGAGAGCCTCTCTACTGCCACATACCTCGCGCTTCGTTCATCATAACCTTGTTTATATACAAAGATGCCTAAAAGAAACTATCTAAACGCCTACTCGGGTCCCGATGCCATTCGGAATTATTTTGACCCTGATTGTCAACCAATGCTTCCATTGGTAGAACTACCACCCAGCCTGAACCCATTTTATAATGACGGTGTTCGCATACACGCCAAAATGATGTCCATGCATCCTGCAAACAACGTCAAGGTTATGCCGGCTTTGAACATGTTGGAGAAAGGAGTGCAACCAGAAAAGTCAAAGACTGTCGTTGAGTACTCAAGCGGATCGACCGTCATCTCACTTGCACTACTTTCACGGATCAATCACGGAATTAAAGACACACGCGCTTTCTTGAGCAACAAGACCAGTGGCCCTAAACTGCGACTCATGCAGTTCTTTGGGCTGGACATGTCAGTATGCCACTGATTTCCCCACGATTTCTCGCTGACCTTTGTGAAAGAACACTGTTCGGAGGCCCGTCTCAACCCGATCCTACCGATTGCCGCGGAGGTATACAACGAGCCAAGAAGATGGCTGAAGAGGATGAATCAGTCTTGAACTTGAATCAATACGAAAACGATGCAGTATGTTACTTGCGCGATATAATGCTTTTCGACATGTACTAAGTACTACAGAATTGGCAATCTCACGTCAGATGGACCGGTCCTCAGATCCTCGAGCAGCTGCCCAATATTCGACTGATATGTGCTGGTATGGGTACATCGGGTACTATGACAGGCTTGGGGCAATACTTTAAGGCTCAGGATCCATCAGTTTTTCGCTTGGGGTATGTTTAAGTGCCTATCATCGTCGCAATCAAAACAGGAACTAACATACTGCTCAGTGTATGTACAGCCCCTGGCGATCGAGTTCCCGGTCCCCGTTCTTTTGCGCTACTGGCTCCGGTCGAATTCCCTTGGCGCGATTCAGTAGATGCTATCGAGGAAGTCGGTTCAAAGGACGCATTCGGTCTCAGCCTACAGCTTTGCCGTGAAGGCCTTATCTGTGGACCATCGTCCGGCTTCAATCTCAAAGGTACGTCGATCATCTGTTCGTATGGCAACGACTGACAGTAGAAGGACTATTCAACTATTTGGCCAAGCGAAAAGCAGCCGGTACCCTGAAAGAACTTGCCGGCTCTAACGGAATCATCGATTGTGCCTTCATCTGCTGTGATCTCCCTCTCCAGTACGTTGATGAGTATTTCGATAAGCTTGGCGCCGAAGCTTTCCCGCCTATTCATAATGAAGTATGATTGTCCTCTCTTCCTTTCTAGAGTAATTCTAACATGAGAACAGAATCTCACAGCAGTCGATCTTTACCGTTACGATGACGGTTGGGAACTGGAGCCCACTCAATTACTCTCGCAATTCACAAGCACAGCACAAGGCGACAGCAACGAAACAGTTATACTTGACCTACGAAAACCAGAAGATTTTGCCAGAAGTCATGTACCAGGCTCATGCAACCTGCCACTGCAGAGCTGCAATGCCTCCATGCCCAGTCCATTTCTCGATGCCGCAATACTCGAGACTCAATGGAAAGAGCTAGAGGCTACATTCACCTCCGATCGTATCAGTGCTTACGATCTTGCTGGCAAGCAGGTATATGTGCTATGCTATGACGGAGATACATCCAGAGTTGCTACAAGTATACTTCGGGCAAGAGGAATTACCGCGAACAGTGTGAAAGGTGGAATCGCTGCAGTGCGAAAAGACATTCCAGAACTACAACTGACCGAGCGCGGTAGGGTGCTCACGCAGCAGAACCGATCAAATCTGTCCAAAGCTGCTACGAAGGAGATGAGAGCAGACTCGCTATCGCCTCAAGCGCGAGGGCAGACGGGCATCGTGCTGTAAAATTTTAGCATATTGGTTATTAGCGTTGCAATTTTCAAAAGACCCTGATCAAGTTTGCGATCATGGGTCAAGTCTAGGAAAATTAGATCATGAGAACTACACACTCGCCCTCACACATCATGTGCAATCTATTCTGCTTTGAGAAGTGCGAATCTTCTAGTCTTGATTTCGTTAGCCCGCGTCCAAGTGCAAAAAAACGCCCGGCGGCCTTCGCGATCTAGGCCCGGCGTTTGTGTTACAAAATGGCTAAATCCAACAAAGTACTAGCCATATCGTGCATAGAGTGCAGATCCGCGATTTGAAGTCTAAAGCCCGTGGATAGGCTAGGTTGAGTGAGCCGGACTTAAAATGTATGTCTCCGCGAAGGATGCAAGTCAACTACAACGCAACATGTACATAAAGCTACGTTGGCAGGGCATTTTCGGAAAGAGGCTTGATACATCGTTTCCATACTCTTGCACTAGATTCGGTTTTCATCTTGAAGACAAAAGCAGTCACCATTGAAGCCACAACCATGTCATCCATTATTGTCAAAGAGATCACCCTAATCACCGGTGCGAATTCTGGAATTGGATTCGAGATAGCACATCAGCTTCTCCAAAAAGGCACTTATCATGTCCTCTTTGGCTCTCGCAACATTAGCAAAGGTTCTGCGGCCCTGCAAAACCTGCAAGCACGCAACCTCCCCGGCAGCGCCGAGCTGATGCACCTTGACGTGCAGAGCGACGACCATATAAATCAAGCCGCGGCACATATCCGAGAAAAGCATGGCAAACTCGACATTCTCTTCAACAACGCTGCCGTCGCGCTCCCAGAAGGTGCAACAGAGCGTGAAAGGATGGCTGCAGCCTTCGACATCAATGCTACCGGTCCCTGGCTCCTCACAAAAGCGCTCATACCCCTTCTCAAGAAAAGCGAGAACCCCAGGATCATCAACATATCTTCTGGTGCCGGAAGTATCGGTCGGCGACTCTTCCCAGAAAGTCCAATGTACAAGATTCAAGCCATTCCGTATCGCGCGAGTAAGGTGGCTTTCAACATGCTGACGGCATGCCTGTACGTTGAGTTTGGACTTGGTGTAAAGCAAACCGATGCGATGGAGCCGGTGTCAGGCAAGGGCGAGGCTGGGGCTGTAGAGGGGACAGATGCGAAGATCAAAGTGTTTTGCTATGATCCTGGATTCACAGTATCTAATCTTGGGCCGTATAACAAGCAAGAGTTTGGTGCGCGAAGTGCTGAGAAGACTGTTGACAGTGTCATGGAACTTGTGGAGGGGAAGAGGGACGAAGGGGTGGGCAAGTTTATACATAATTCTGGGGGGTATCCCTGGTAGTCTAGATTTATTTTCTAGAAAGAGAGGATTCGTGCTGGCAATTGGTGTTAAGTTAGAGTCTGCACGTTAAGAATCTTGGGAATGGTTGGCGGGGAAGAAACAGGCCCCCACTTTTAGGCACCCAACACTTGTACAGCCTTGCATGTTTGTTTGTCTACAACACAGCATAACATGTTCATCTACAAAAGAGGATCATATTATTGTTCAAATCCATTTTTCCCTATACCAGAAAAATATTTGGTTGTTCATTTCCAGGAGATTTTCCATCTGATCAATCATGACAGTCGCGTTCCACCGCAAGCAGCTGGACCGATCAAGGCGTGAGATTAGGCTTCTAGAACTACTCCCGAAAACTCAATGGCCGAACAATCCCCAACCTGCATGTCGGATATTTCACGCTAGTCTTGATCAGCATCCGTCATACCGGGCTTTGTCATATGTTTGGGGAGATAAGAGCGATACTAGGCACATACTAGTAAACGGACGTACTTTCGAGGTGACGAGAAACCTGTTCGAAGCACTGAACAGTATAGTCGAATCAGAGAGTTTTGTTATCTGGATTGATGCGATATGCATCAATCAGGCGGATGATGAAGAGAAAGGATGGCAAGTCGCATTGATGGGTGACATCTATCGACAGACATCTGAAGTGATAGCGTGGCTTGGACCGTCAGCGCATAACAGTGATGCTGTTCTGGAACATCTTGATATACTAGGTTCGATTTCGGAATCATTGGGCCTTCCCACAGACACTTCAGCTTGCCTAACCGCATGGAAATTAATGCTGGGGATCAAACCACTTGAGGGTGATCTCACTGAGCCCACTTCCAATCCTACTTCCAATCTCACCGGGCTCTCGATATCTCTAAAGGCATTCGAAATTCTTCTGTATATCATGGGTGGCTTTGAATCCCATCGTTTTCTGCTTCCATTAGCTGATCTGGGCCATCTCTTTCAACGACAATGGTGGAGCCGAATCTGGGTTTTGCAGGAAATCACTTTGCCAGAACAAGCTCAAATGCTCTGCGGAACTAAGCGAATATCCCGCCGGCGATTTCACGCTGCGCTCAAAGTGTTTTACGCCTTTGCAGACATAATTTCAAAGTTAGGAATGCAAAAACGGCCATTCTCAGATTATCAACAAGAACTATTCACGATTATGTCTCCAAAGGTCTATCTGATGTTATCAATGTCCAAAATATATCAACAACAAGAGTATTCGTTGCTATCATTGCTTCGAACAAACAGTTTTAATAGTTTTGCATACATGGGAAACGGCGTCCAGCAACCTCTGGAAGCAACTGATCCACGAGACAAAGTATTCGCTCTCCTAGGTCTTGCAAACGACAAGGATAGTTTAGAGGCCTTGGGCGTCGTCCCAGATTACACTAAATCCAAAGAGGAGGTGTATACAACTGCGATGGCTGCTATGCTAAGAAAAGGCCATATCTCACTTCTCTCAATCTGTTGTGGTATGAAGAGGCCAAACGGTCTACCTTCCTGGGTACCAGACTGGTCTAAAGCAGACCCGCCAATGTTTCAAGTAATCGGTGATGACGATTATAGCCTCCATCCTGTATTTAACGCCTGTGGTTCGAAGAACAAACATCGTTTCATTTTGCCAACCAAAGACCCCAAGCCTGAGAGAATACTGGTTTACGCCAAACAAGTCGACGAAGTCTTTCAACTGGGTCACGTCGGCAGGTTGCCCTCCATGCCCAGAGCCGTATCCCCAGTTGAGTGGCTTGATGCCATGTTGCAACTCACGTACTGTGTCGACAAACCATACTTGGACGTCAAGGAGCGCATGCGAACCACAGCCAGAGCCTCACACGCCGGTATGAGAATCGGAGAAAACAATATGCTACAAAGAGCAAGCGAGTTTCCTGAAGCTCTAACCATACTAGAAGAAGTGATTCAAATCGGCACAAAGGACGACGGTTTCCCCGAATCCCAGAATGCTTTGAGAAGGGCTCTTTTGAATTACAGGATGACGGAATATCCTTCACACATGTTCCAGATGCTGGGTGAGATTCTGAGAATAAATGACTGCAAAGTGCCTCTCATCACGAAAGAGGGTCGTTTAGGAATTAGTTCGATGACTGTCAAGGTGGGTGATCTTGTAGTATTGGTCAGTGGAGCGCAGGTGCCCTTCATCCTTAGGCGTACAGATACAAGATACATGACCGTTGGTGAGGCATACATTGACGGAATCATGGACGGAGAGGCAGCAGAAGACGGCGAATGGATTCATATTGAACTTGAATAGCACTTCTATAGTTCAAAGAACAGGAGTTGAACTCATCTTCTCCGCCGATGTATTGTGTTGGGCCTGATTGGGCATGGCTGTTTTCCCTCCCTCAGTTGAAGTATATATGTCTTTTCAAACATGATCTACCCTGTAATGACATAATTGGTGACAGCAGTTTCGAACAGAACCACTGTAATCAGGGTTTACTTCCATCTTTGCTACATACGATACCACTACTTTGTCTGGAACTTGTAAAATTGACAAACCAACACAACGTAGGGAGTTATGGAATATTGTTTTTGGTATGACTGGGGCGTCCGTGCGACACGCATTTGCCAGCATGTTGGGTTTGCGAAATACATGTACGACGTGCGGACTCGACGAACATTTAGTCATTGAGTCACCAACAATGATGCATTCTCGATTCTTCTTCCAAAAAGCCATTGTAATTTCGCAATCGCCACAAAATATGCGGCAACCTTTCCCTTTCTATAAAATTCGCACATCCGCTCAGTGATTTTCCCAACATCCAGAAACACATCTTCTAAAGTACTCATTACCAAAACATCCAGCAATACCACCACGCACAATTCCCAATCAACCCTCTCAAAACTTCCAAACTATCATCAACCATCAAAATGTCCCGCCACAACCGTCATATCTGCCGCCACACCCACCACATCTGCCGCCACGGCCACGCGGCCCACAGCATCCCCTTCGGCCCCATGCGCCTCGCCCCAGTCCCCAGTCCCGTCCAACCCGGCCAACCCGCCCCCACCGCCACAGAGTGGAACTACACCCTCCAAGACTTTGAAGAACTCATCATAAAATGGGGCCCTTACACGACCCTCGACCTCGTCAAAGCTGCGCCCCACTACACCAAAACCACCGTCGACGTCGACCCTTACGCCAAACTGCAGTTTCCCGAGAAGTGGGAGGCCACGGAGCGCGTTATCCATGCTGTGCATCCGATTCCGCGGGGGGAGCTTGAGAAGTTGGGGCCGAACTGCGTGAGGCAGCTTGGGGAGAGGTTGAAAGGGGGAGGGGAGGGGAGGGACGAGGAGTTTGAGGGTGCGATGAAGAAGACGTTGGGCAGGATTGATGATTGTCTTGAGTTTTATTTTTGTGTGGAGAGGCCCGGGGCGAGGGTGGTTAGTGGATAGTAGTCTTAGTCTTGTTATCGGTGATTGGATGGGAAAGGGAGGGTGGCTGTTGAAGTGGCTGAATGAAATGACGTGATAGTAGTTTGTTGTTGAAATCAAAGGTTGATCTTTTACGAATATGTGTTCTGGCAATCGTTGGTGAATGCTAAGAGCAGGATGGTGTGTGTGTGTAACAGTACTAAGTTGTTGTTGGTCACCTCGATTTTGGTTCACGTCGCATCTACAGCAGAAAGACAAGATGTCGCTTCAAGTCATGGAGAAAGACTAAGGCCATGGTGGAGCGTCCATCGATACGTGAGAGGTTGATATGTCGAGTGTTCTAGGTAATCTGGGTACGCTATTGATGAGACAAAAAAAATCACAAATCTAAGTTTGATGCTATTGCCGATGTCCAGTTTTCTTAAAGTGCACTATTCAATGATGTACTTGACACTGTACACGTCACAACCACGTAAGTTGTTGACGTTGAACACGTTAAACCTCGCGTGCTACAAAAGCGATTACTCCGTGGATTCAATCAATCCGTCTGTTGATTTCCGTAGCTTCAAACTGCCAGCAATCAACCATGGACCTTGAATCTTCCCCCGTGAAGAACTCAAACAACCCACCATGACCCCCAACTCCACCATAAGTACATAACCCCCTCTTTCCAACCTTCAAGCATCTCCATACCACCAAAGCTCTTCAGCATATCCAAACCTTCACTCTTAAAATCCAAACTTAAAAAACCCCCACACAACATCCACCCCAAAATGTCTCTACTCACGCGCCCCCCACCCCCCTCAACCACTAACTTGCTCCACCGCCCCAACACCTTCACCGTACACTTCCCAACAGAAGCGACCCTACACTTCACCCTTCCCCTCCCCTCCTCCGCCCTTTCCTCCCTCCGCACCCCCGAACTAATCCACCTGCGTACCTACCTAACCTCCCTCCTCTCCTCCCACACCCTAACCTCCAACCCCGCCCTCCTCTCCCACATCCTCTCCCTCCGCCGCACAATCTCCCTGCGCCTATCTCGTGTGCAGCAACTCAGCGCCGTAGAGCAAAAAGCATGGTACTCGGGCCACGGGTTCCCCATTTTCGACTCCGAGAACAAAGCCACAGGGTTCAAGTGGCACTGGGAAGCGCTAGAGTTCGAATACGGCGTGCACAGCGTGGCGTGGGTTGTACGGTGGCTATTCGCGTTCCAGCGCAAGGATGCGACGATAAGGTATGCGCTTCGTCAGTCCTACCGGTTTACTGAGAACGAAGTGAGGTGTAAGAAGATGAAGGTGGAGGAGGGGCATGAGGTTGTGGAGTGGAGCTGCAACGGGGAGAAAGTGTGTGTCTGGGTTTACGGGGCGTGTTTCCGCAATATGGAGGAGTGGGAGGTTGTCAAGATGGAGCTGGAGGGGTATGAAGTGCAGATGCTGAAGGAAGGGGTGGCTAAGATACGGAATACGGTACGGGGAGGATGGGAGTTTGTGCTGTATGTTGAGGGGGAGGAGGCCGGGGTTGAGGAGTTGTTTCCGGGGGAGAGAACGGCGTCTGAGGGGTTTTCGAGCGGAAGCCAGGACGAGGATGCGGAGTCATTTGATGGATACTGCTATGGCGACGACGTGGGGAGGATGGTTGCTCTGGCATCGGGACTTGGGTCGCTGGCACTGTCTTCCCGCGCCTCCACTGCCTGCGGCGGTGACGAAGCCGTTGAACGGGCACCAACGGTACCTCCTCGCGTTGGAGATTTGCTGCAGCAGGCGGAAACGCTGGTCAGCGCGATTAGGGGTATCAATTCGCAATTCTCATCTTCCGAGGAACAGCCATCGTCGTCTGCTCAGCACAGCGAGATCCCACCCGCTTTGCAAACACAGCCACTCCCACCCCAGTACGCAGCATCGACTATCAGACTCCCACGCCGTACAGCTGCAAGACGGCCAACGAAGCTGCACCGATACCAGGCTTATGCCGAAGATGCTGATACTGAAGGCTCGATTAGTGCTTTGCCGAGCTCGTGGCGCGATATTTGAGACTCACAACCAAGTCTAAGGGGGGCGTGTGGGCATGGTATTCTGATGTGTTTGATTAACAAGGTACGAGTAATTTGAATGATTATGTATTGTCGTTACAACCAAAGTGCCTCTAGTAAATATATGTATACATTCATACTTCGTGCATGAGTCGAGCCTGAATCAACACTGCTCTCTTCGGCAAAATCTCTCAGCTACACTTCGCAACATCGTGCCCATCAAACACATTTTCTCTCATCTCCAAGTTTTGATGACCAGCGTTGCAAATGTAGTACAAGCAACACACCATACCTCACTATTCTGAACAAAATTTCAAAAGCACTCCTGTCCAAACCTATTTATTCATAATCAAATTTACCAAACAACAAGGAGGGGGGACGGAGTGTCATCTATCGCAATATATTTACCAATACCCGGCAGTTCACACAAATGAACAACGCATACCACCCTAATTTCAACTTTGTACTCTCCTGTCTTCTTTGTGTCTCGATATTAAAAGAAAAAAGGAAGGAAGAAGAAGAGAAGAAAAGGAAATAATAAAGGAAATTCGTGGCTTACTACATCATTGGCGTTTACCTGCCCCGTCATTTTTCCCATACATGTTCATTTCGTTCGTGGATATCTCTGAAATAAGAAAATCATTTCACTGGTCGTTGAATCCACACTTAGCCTACCATCCATGTTTCGCGTTACCGTTGGACATACATCCAACTCCTAAATTTCTACACACGTACACACAGAGCATCATGTGTCCTCGACGCTCCTCGTCGCGTTGCGCCGGTATAAATGTAAGAAGATGATGGGGGTCAGACGGGAAAAGAAAAATACGTAAAAGGTTCATCTCAAGCGGCTTTAAAAGGTAACAGTATGGGGGGGGGAATCATGCTTGCTAGAAATCTGAAATGAAGAAGAAGAAGAGAAAAAAAAGCAGGGGATAACAAACTTAAGAAACTCCCTCGCTATGCATAAACTGACCATCCATCATCTGGACCGTGAACTACGTGTGCGCAACACGCGAAAATACTCAAGTTAACGGTTGGAACGCGGGGGTATCAATGCAGAAGTCGAACACCAAATGCGCAAAAAGACATACTATGCCCTGGTTGGGTTGATGTTCTCCAGCTCGCTTCGCTGGCGCAGGTATTTGGCAGCAAGCTGGTCGCCACCCTTCATGGACTGCTCCATCCAGTGTTGCGCAACGCACATGGTCATGGGATCGCTGCGTGCAGGATCCTGCGAGGCTCGTTTCTCGCGATTCAGAAGCTCAGTCTTGAAGACCTCGCTGGGCTTAGTAAGCGGCAGCACAGTGCGGTGGATGAGTTCAGGGGAGGTGAGGTAGAAAATGGCGAGTTCGCGCTCGGCAACTGAATCGCCTTCCTTTGCAGTGATGAGAAGCATGCGTCCTGCATCTTCCATGGTGTACTTGGACATGGGTTCATCACCTAGGGCTGACGATGATGAGCCGACCTTTTCGGTCATGCTGCTGCTGTTTGCCTTGCCTGCATCGCGCTTCGAGTTCTGGGTGATGACTTCATCAACGAGCTCGACCATGATGCGGCAGACGTCTTGCTTCAAGCCGAGGGCTGCGAGGCCGACGTCCCAGAATGCTTTACCACGCGCAGTCTTGTCGAGCATCTGCGCTGGCACAAAGGATGCGATAAACTGCAAGTCTCTGAAGAGAGTCTTGGGGCGAATGTTGGAGTCTCGCAAGAGTCCTTGAATGACCTCGACAATCATGTCTGTGCTTGGCGGCCCAACTGGAGAGCGAGCGCCGTTGCGAGGTAGCGGCGACGCATTGCTTACGCGATCTACGTTCATGCTTTGAGAGCGACGTTCTTCGCAGTTTGCAATTGCCTCTTCCAGGTTGTGGGCGCGCGAAGTCTGGGTGGCTGGCTCACGAGAGCTAAGTTCTGGCATGGCGCCAAGAGTGGGCGATTGGGGAACAGGAGGAAGTGTGTCGCGGCGGATGTTGTTATTATTGTTATTATTGTAGGATCGACCAGTTCGAGAAGACAATGAAGCGATGATGAGAAGCTCCAATTCATACAATGCATGCAACTTGGAGAAGGGATTGGGGTGCGTTTGAAACCTGCTGAGGAGTCGTTGGAAGGCAACGTTGTATGGGAACTCCAATAGCCCAGCCTTCTTTGCAGTGGAATTGCCGGACGATCGCGAGGTAGCATCGCTGGAAGTCGATGAATGTTCTCCAGCTGACTGATGAGCATCGGCGGCTGCGACATGCTGCAAAGTTGCAACAGGCGGTGCAGCTGAGCTGCGCTCTGTCCGGCCAAGCGCTTCCAAGGGCAAGTTTCGTTGGTCAACAGTCTGCCTTCGGATGTTCTTTGTGCTCTTCTTCTTAGCCAGCTTGTTCTTGCGTCGGCGTTCCTCTTCGTCTCGGCGCTCGATACAGTCATCAAGTAGATCACCACCAAACCATGAATCGGTCTCACTGCCGTTCGCAAACACCATCATGCCGAGATCGCTCAACAGAAGACCAGTGAGGGTCTGCTTCAAGTCGAGCATGAAGCGGCGCTTGTCCTCGTTGACTGTGGCCGACTGCTTCAGCATGACAGTGCCCTTGGAAGACGAGGCAGTTCGTGGGCGAATGCTCGTTGCGTTTGTCGGTGATTGCGCTTGTGTCTGGAACGGCGACCAAAAGGTAGCCATTGGGTCGATGGCCAAGACTGGTGACGATGCGCCGAAGTAGTCAGACGACTCTGCAGGATTTCTGCTCCAGGGGTTTTGTTCCAAGATTGATGGACGGCTGCCAGTGGCGGCCGAACGCAGACTGCCGTGGCTTGGGCGTTGAGCAAAGTCGTTGTTGCGCGACCCAGCCCGACCATGGGTTTCGTACTCTTCGTCACCCGCGATAGAGAGGGTGCCGACGCCAGTCAAGAAGAGATCACCCTTTTGTCGTCCGCTCTCAAGGATCTGTTGGTCGCGTTTGTACAAATCACTGGCCCAAAGTACTGGACCGTCCAATAGACCCTCACCAATAACCTTGGTGACACACTTGTCAACTTCGAGACAGAAGCGGTGAATCCGCTCCTCACCCTTGCAAAAGTTCTCGACACCGTACTGCATGAGCCACTTTAGGGTAATCTCCGACTGCTCGTCTGAGAGCTTGTTTGGACCACCAAAATCCTGTGAAGCCGCCATGAGGTCAACCAGTTGAGCTTCGTTTTGTCGCAAAAAGCTGTTGGCGTTGCGGGATCGAGATCCAGATGGGCCCTTGGCGTTGAGCGTCTTGGATTGCTGGTCCATGATCTTGAGGGCAAGGGCCACATTTTTGGCGTCTTCATATGGCTTGGAAGTGCGGACATCGGTAATGTACCACATCTTGTCTCTCAGGTTCTTGAAAGTGAGCATCATCTCGTCGACCATGTTGTCTGATCTTTCCTGAGACTGCTTGAGCCACACAAACCATGCCTCAAATTCTTCAATGGCATTGGCTGCTTTGCTGAGCAAATCTCTGGGACCACGAGAAAAGTAGTTGAGAAGAGCTGCGTATCCGTTCTTGACCAGGGTTGGGGAACTGAGTCTTCGCAGACTCTGCAGGGTCTTGTAGTACATGTGCGCATTGACGAAATCGGACCGCGCCTGGCATTGGTACATTGCTGTCTCCAACATTGTAACGAGCACCGAGCTGTTCTCTGACTTTTCGCCAACTTGCGGGTTGCTGTGACTCCTGGGAATCTGGGGAGAGCGGCGTGACGAACCACTTCTCTGGCTTGCAATCATGTTTGTGAGTTGGCTGTGACTCTGGTTTGAGTTGTATGGATTGCGAGATCCAAGGTTCTCGCTAATGTTGCGGATCGGGCCGCGTCCACGGACGCTTCTGCGTGTCGTCATACGGTTGCTGAAATTCTTTGATTCGCTATCCGGAGCCAGTGTTTTTGGGATTTCATAATCTTCCACTAGCTTGACAATCGCCTCCTTAAGTTGGTGATAATCGTGGCCGAGATCAAATCTATCTGTAGTACCCTCATCGTCGCTGCTGTCGCTGTCTGGAGAGTCGTCGTCATGCTCTTCTTCGTCATCAAAGTCTTTGCGCATGCGTGGCTTGAGTTGCTTGCCATCAGCGGAGATGTACAAGACAGCCCATCGTTCAGCACATGGATGGCATGAGCCAGATGTAGCTTCAGCGCCGAGAATGCGAGTCATTTCTGAGCAAGCCATGCGCAGACGCTTTCCATAGAGCTCTGTCGGAGCTGGCTTGGTGTCAGTTTGCTCTTCAACTGGCGTCGAGTTGTTGTCCAAAAGTGGCTCGCGTGAGGTCTGATCGCTTGTCATGGATGAAGCACTAGCACTCAGAATAGAGCTTGCGTCGGTCATAGACGCGGCAGCATTGCGGAATGGAACAGACATGCCAGATACTGAAGAAGCGGATGATGTTAGACCAGCACGGCGCTGGCTGTCGTTGTCCATGTGGCTCGATGAGGGGCGACGCTCTGGGAAGAGCGCATTGACCAGCGTGATGATGTCAGCTGGAGAGAGCACAATGAAGGGTTGCACTTCAACCGTCTCCCTGGGCGAGGTGATTGCCTTTGCAGGGAGTAGGATAGGCTTGGAAGGTGTCTTTGTATGTTTGAAACGAGCCAGAATGCTCTCAATGTGGGTGCGGATTTCCGGAAGGACAGGGATCTGCTGCTTCCTACACGTAGAGTTGTTAGTAACATGCTTGCTGGATAATTTTGCTAGGAAGTCGTACCAGTTGTACGTCATGTCGAGCACCTGCTTCTGGGCTCTGATGGCGATTTCCTTGAGAATCTTCTGGCGGGCATGTTCACTGATGTGGTGACCAATCATAATACCGTGCGTCTGTCAGATGTTAGTGTTGTAACGGGCAATGCAGAAGAAGTGAGAACTTGCCTCGGGGTGGATAATTGCGTTCAACAGGAAGGAAGAAAACAGCCATCGTGACACAAAAAAGTTCTGCGATGCTTTGCGGGCTCCTCTTTCGTTCTCCTCGTTCAACTTGCGAAGAATGGCATTTCCAATTTCCAAAACGCCCTCTGGGATGCCACCAGCACTGGGCTCGTCATCGACGACTTCAAACAAGCGCTTGACAGCCTTGTCAAAAAACTCGTCTGCAGCAATGGTATCCTTGGTGCTGCGGGCGACTGGCTGTGCTCCAGCTCGTACACTTGATTCCTCGGCCTTTTCGAGGAGGAACTGGCCGTCCTGGAGGGTCTGCATTAGGTAAAGCTCCAAGTTGGCCTTTCCGGGCCATTCGCGCATACCTGCCCAGACGTCCAGAATGGTCCTGATGAAGTTGTGGCTAATCTTAGTATCCTTGATTAGTTTAGCGCAGACGGTGGCCCAAACGTCGGTACGGCGGAGGTCCTCTGCAGAATCCGGGCCAGACGAGTTTGCAAAAATAGTGTAAACAAGCGCTGAGAGGGGATCGTGACGCTGGAAAGACAGGAGTCGTTCAATAGGGTTGCCACCTTGCTGCTGGGCCTTTTGGGAGCCTAGGTTTCGACCTCGGGCCTGGATGGCCATGACTGAATCAATAGGGTCCATGGCCTGGCGGAAAGAAGTAAGAGCAGCCAGCTCTTGCTGCGAGAGGCTGGAAATGCGAGAAGCAAGAAATTCGGGGTTTGTGCGAATTTCAGAAATGAAATCTAGAAGATCGTCCAGGATCTTCGAGGGAACATCGTTGAGGAAGGTCGAGGCCGAGAGGGACTTGTCCGACTTGGTCGTCTTTGATTTTCCAAACTCCAGGTCTGGCTCCAGCAGGGCATACTGGCGTGTGGCGTCACACGAGTTGCGGACGTCGTTGAGAGCGTTGTATAGCGAGGCAAAAGCCTTTTTGTCGTCGGACCGGAAGTTGTCCACGAGGGTGCGGTATGCCAGCTCGCCGCAGTGTACCAGACGTGCGGAGAGGGCGCTGGAGACGAGCCATCGGTGCAGGCGGACTCTGGAGTGAGCCTTGCGCTGCTCCTGGTAGCCCTGGAGGCGGATCAGGTGGGCGAGTTCAGCGAGGGAAGTGGCCGAGGGGGGTATGGCTGCGGTGGGCAGGTACGAGTCGGTGTACGAGGAAAGGTCGGCGGGGAGCAGTCGAGGCAAGCGGCCGGCGGGAGCAGACATGGAAGCGGCCATCTGGGGCCTTTGGTGAAGGAGGGTCGAGAGGCCATGGCGGTCGTTGCTAGCGGCGTCGAGGGACGCGCCAGGTCGACTGCCCATGGTCGCCGTGGAATGTTTGGAAGGGCGAGGAGAGGGCGACCGGGGGGGAGCCTCAGCAGGCGGGTCGTCTGCTTGAGAAGTAGGGTGCGAGGGCGTGTGGCTCCTCGAGGAGAAGTGGGTGACGGTGGGCGACACGGCTGCGAGTGAGGTCAGAGTCGGTCGTAGTGCCAGCTCATCGTACAGAGCGCATTGATACGGGGGACCAGCGACTGGGCCAGGCACACGGGCACACGGACACAGCCAGACAGAAGCACGGAGGGACAGAGAGAAGGACAGAAGAGGGTCGGGAGGGGCACGGGATGAATAGACAGAAACAGGCACATACGTAGAGGGGTGTTTGAGGCCTGCGCCGGGGGCGTGGCCGTGAGTTGGGTTCGTCGCATCATGTCGCCATTCGCCATTCGCCGTGACGGCGTGTCAGCCCGATGATGGGGGGGGTGGGAGCGGAGCAGCTCTGACGGAAGATGGAGTGGCAGCAATGGGCTACAGCATGGCCAGATGTAGCTATGGTATTGGGAGAGGAGGAGCTGCTTTGGGCGCAACTGGCGACGGCCTCGACGTGTGCGTTGGCGCGTCTTTGACTCTTTTGGCGGGCATGGGGGCCGTAGCGAGGCGGGCGGGGTGTGATTGGGCGGCGGGGGTCGAGTCCTTGTGTGCACGCTCAACGGCCAAGACGAGAGGGCAGAGAGGGCAGAGAGGGCAGAGAGGGCAGCGAATGCAGACCGCCTTTGGTGCGCGCGCCCTCTCTGCCCCTCTGCGCAGTGCATTCCACGCCGGGCCAGGCGACGACGGCGATGACTTGCAGCCCTGCCACGACCAGCACATCCCCCCCTCGCCAATCACACGCCCTGCACCCAAATACCTCAGCTGCAAAGGGACCCCCCTCTGCTCCTCCGCCCACACGTTCCCGGCCAGGCCATCCCCGCTGCTACCCATCCTCGCACTCGCTCCAAAGACAGCGCACGCCCTGCCCATCGCCACCCTCTCGCCAGTCGGCGAGTCGCTGCTCTCCCGGAGCATCGAGGGCTTGGCTGTGCGTGGTGTTGTTGCTATTGCTGCTACAACCCACCCATCCATCCATCCATCCATCCACGCCCTCGCATCCCATCATCTCTCAAACACCCCCTCCCCCCGCCGATACTTACATCTGCACCTTTTTGCGCCGCCAGCAGCCACCAGCAAATCACGCCTTCGCTCTGCTTGTCGCCCTCGTAACTTGACGGCCGCCGGGTGGAGTCGTCTTCTGCCCCTGCGCTGCCAGCACATCAAGCGCTGCGCATGCTGTCAACAAGGCCCATGCAACTTGCTGCACGCACACGCCAAAGCAATTGCGTCGCCCTGTTGTGTGAACCGCACGTCTCCCACTTCATCTTGCAGTGCAGCCCTAGTCGCTGCTGCTTGCTCCCCCCCCGTCTCCAAACCGCCGCTGCTCTCCTATGCCCATTGCCATGCCCGTCCAATGAGCCGCATCGCTGTGCCGTATGCCGTGCAGTCTCTGTCGCCCAAACGTGTTCCTTTTGCGCCTCTGCTGCACTCATGCACTTGCACCTGACCTGCTACTCGCCGCCTCGCTCGCCTGCCACCGCCCGATTACGCCATGATAACGTGTCCATCTATCTTTGTACATACTGTCTGTGTCCATCCATCCATCCATCCATCCATCCATCTAATCCATACATGTCTGTGCGTGCCCACCTGCATCCACTCGGCTGAGCCGTTGCAGTCGTGAAAAAAATAGTAGACCGACCCGTCTGCCCGTGTCTGGATGCCTGTGCCTGCACTTACTTGCACATCCTCTGCTTCCTCACTATCCCATCTGCCGGTCGCGTGCGAGAGAACACCCCGCGACCGCCGCTAGCCCCGTTGTCGGCAGACCGCCTCTTACTTTATTAGTAACCCACCCAAACACAACCACAACCCCCACCCTACTTACCCAACCTCAGCCCAAGCAGCACGCCCCTCGCACTGCCCAACCGTTGCTATGCACCCTTCCATCTAGGTACATACCACTCCTAAACCTACATACATACATATATACATACATACATACATACAATGCAAAACACATGCAAACATACCAATCGCATACATTCCCCTTCCGGCCTCTCGGCGTAGCGCTTTGCCCAAAATACCNCCCCCCCCCCCTTGCTACCCTGCCATGTACCCTTCCCCCCTTACCTCTACCAACCAGTCTAACACTCCCCACTACAGCTTGCTACCCGCCGACCATAGTCATGTCATGGCTTCCCTGAGCAACGGCGCAACACGTTTCCGGCTGTGCTGTACTTGTCTTTGCCACCAAACTTTTCTCCACTCGCTTCCACTGTCCAGGTCGCTGTAACCCTGCCAGCCTTCCAGGCCAAGTTCCTCCCGTGCATTCGTGGCAAAGGCTTTGGCAGCTGATACTCCTCCCTCGTCAAAAGCCCACAAAAGGAGCTCTCGCTCAAACTGCCCGCTCGCAGACGTCGACGTCGTCATCAGACAGAACATGCCCAGCTCACGATCCTTTGCAAACTTCTTGATCGCTTCCAACAACGCTTCGCGTCGTGGCGCATTGCCTTCATCGCCAGCCTTCTTCTCCAAAAAGCTGATGCACTTGACAACGGAGCTAATGCCCAGTCTCTGCGCCTCGTCCCACTGCTTGTAATCCTTCCGCAATATGTCTTGCAGCTGTAGGCTACCAATGTCCTTCTTTGCTGCATCAATCTCCTCATAAAACCTAGTCTGATCGAAGCTTGCAGCCAATCGGGGGCACAGCATAATCTTGGCTTCGAGGTACCCGACTGCTTCACGGTCGTGCTCGGTCGTTTTGCTCGCATCCTGAAGATTTGCCGTGTCAATGAGGATACTGGCCAGGCCCAGCTGGGCTACATCTGCGTCCCACTGCTGGACAAAGGCCGCGTCGTTTGACAAGCTGTCATCCTGTCCATGGCATGCCCCAGAAGACATCGCCGATGCAGAGAGGGCATCCCACGCCGGGCGGCAATAATTGGCTACCAGGCTAGTGCAACTGCCGCTTTTTTCAATAATTCGAGGCTCTTCACCCGTGTCTGCTGGTACCTTGCTTTCGTCATCGTGGTGGTCAACAACGCCGGCCACGCGGTCAGCATAGATGTCACCCAGCGGGCCCTGGAGAGCATTGTGGTCTACCAGAATCCACCGTGTGTTCTCGGGTGCGAGTTTGGACCGGATATCTGACAATGCAGGAAGATCGTCCAGTGTAATCAAATGCTTGGACTCGATGTTAGCGTGCTTGAAAACGGCAAGGTATTCCGGCCGCAGCTGGATATCGGAAGCTGGAATATTTGTGATTGGCACGTAGACTGAACTAAACGCCTTCTTTTGCGGTGACATGGACCGAAGGTATGCGTAGAGAATCGAGCTTGACATGGAATCAAGGTCTGGATTGCATGAGTACGGGAAACGCCCTTGCGTGCAGCGGGGAGTCATGCTCACCGGCCGATTCATTGCCAATCACAAACGTGATCTTCTGACTGCAGTCAATAGCATCGCGAAGTGCGCCTCTCGCGTGCGTGAGGAAAGCTCGTAGGGAATTCCTCGGCACTGCCATGTTGGTGCGTAGCGGTGAGACGTGCAGATGCTACAAGAAGAGTGGAGGAAGGAGCAGATGGCACTAGAGCATGACGTAGGACGAGCTTGGGCCACATGGCACCTCTAACACGTGCCCAACGGGGATTGGAAAGAACAGTCTCCACCAAACGCCAGAAGCGGTGTCAATAATACAACACGGAGCTTTAGCATTTACATTTCAATTTCTATTGATATTGCCCACTTCCACGCCTAATCTCCCGAGACCCAATGGCCCCACAGACCCTTCTTTGCTACCTACCCAGCGCTTGGAAAAGGTTGCTTGCTGACGTTGTTGACGCTGCGATGAGTCGACATGCGTACATGGCTGCGCCCCCGTCTCCTGCTCATTCCGGTTCTTTTGTTGCTTCCAGGCCCAGTGTCTAGCTGAGCTCGACGCTTCCAGCGGGTACGCCTTTGGTGCTTCGTAGGCGACGGGCAAAGAACTGCATAATAGGCATCATCTCTTCGCGGCTACTCGGCATGCCGTCGCCGTTCTTCTTCCACTCTGCCACTTCGACGTACTCAAAAGCGTCTTTGAGCTTGGAGATTGCACTGTCGGTAATCGCCGACTTTTTGTTCGCCTTGCAGACCAATACGGGAGTCTTGCTCTTGTTTTGCAGCGCTTTGAGCGGCACAGATTGTGACAGCGGACCGCCAACGCTGATTACCCCGCCGAGCTCTTCGCCATAGAGCTCGGCGGCAACCTGTAGCCCGACCATGCCGCCCTGTGCAAACCCAAATATCATAATCTCGCGCGCCTTGTAGCCACACTTGTCAATGAGCCCTTTGCGAATGACATCGTCCAGCACCAGCTGCACCGACTTTTGTAGGCCTGTGTCCATGTCCATTTCGCCGGTGCTCGAGTCAAAAATCATGTCTTCACCCCAGTTCATCCCACCAAGATCGAACGGCACCGGGTTGGGGGCTTGTACTGCGATACATGCTGTCTCTGGCAGGTTCAACTGTTGTCCTAGCTTGGTAAAAGGCTCATGCGTATCTCCGAGGCCGTGCAGAAGGATCAAGACGTTGGTCGGCTGCGAGGAAGACGCTGGGCTCGTTAGCGGAGACACAGGAGTTACTGGCAGACCTCGGCATACGCGGCGTGACGGTTAAAACCGCCGATGAAGGGAAGTCTGTTGTTACAGGGAGGCGGCCTGGCATGTTGTCGCAAGTTACGGTAGGTTGTGAGGCTGAGCTCTTGGAGGGGCGGACGATCGCGGGGTTCGAGGCAAGTCAGCGATCGCCTGAGCTGAGCCGGGAGATCTTCACTGACTAAACAGCCAAGCTTTCTTTCTTAGCCATTGCCAATGTCCCCATTCTGCTCTCTAATGGCGATAGATTTTGTCAGAGATGGCGTGTTGATATTGCACATTGCTGTTGGTGAGTTCTGAAGGCATGAGTCCAGCTCGTTTCATAGTTCCCCGCCCAAGGAGCAGAATTGCAGTTGCATAGCCCAGAGGCTAAGCTATACCAAGGAAGCTTATTTTGCCGGCCCATTAATCCCGCGCTCCGGAGTCCACGGCTCGCTGCATTACGCACGCATCTATGCCACGTTCAGCCATGCTCCATACTATCAGACCGTGTTACACATCGGTACCGGCACAAGGTGTGGTTGAATGATGTCAAGGGGCGTTAAAACCCCGCAGACGGCTGGCCAACTGAGCCACAAATGGACCCTGTATGGCTGATGAATGCTTTGGCGAGTGGCTCGATCGGCCCTTATAGCTGGTGTCTCCTGTTTCAATGGATCCCTACGTAGATGGTAGCTAGATAGCGCTGACGCGGCCGCGATAAACTTGGTGTACGTGGTAGTTAAAGACGAGTATAAAGCTGGGTCCAGTCTGCCTCTCTTGAACATACACATCCATCTCGCACTTTGTCACAACAACTACACTGAATCCTCTCGCAACCAATCTCCATACAAACTACTTGCATCTATCAGCCACAATGGGTTTCTGGGGTGAGTTGTTTGCCAGTATACCTTTGCAAAAGCCCTGCAGAATAGGATACTGACAAGTAATCTAGACAGAAACGAGGACAACTACCAGAAGGTTTACGAGAACGAGAACTTTGAAGAACACAAGTCCAGCTTAGGCCATGAGATGATTGCTGGAGGAGCAGCCTTTGCAGGTTTCAAGGCTTTTGAAGACCACCAGCGCAAAGAGGGTATGCGACAACGAACCCTTTCCTGTTTACACCCTTGTGCTAATTTTGATTACTAGGCAAGCCTGTATCACATCAATTCGCTAAAGAGCTGCTTGCAGGCTTTGCAGGTGCCGAGGTATGTTTCGAGTCAATCTTTTAATGCCTCAATATAGAGACTGACGATTTCAGATCGACAAGCTTGCCGAGACCAAGGGAGAAGACTGGTTCGACCGGGAGAAGGCAAAGCGCGACGCGAAAGAGCACGCTGAGCGCATGTACGACGAGCACTACATTGATAACCATGGAGCGGACCAATACAACCCTAACCAATACGGTGCGCCGGAGAGGTTCGAGAGGCGCGGGTGGTAGACGGGACTACTAGCAGCTTTACGCTTACTATGAACGCTTATGTACTCTTCATGCACCTTTGCTTTTGTGTCCCATGCTTTTTTTTGTTTGATTGTGAAGAAATGTCCAATGCTGGCGGTGTTGGCGACGCCTTTGGTCTAGATGCCGATGCACCGGATGCCGTTGAGAATCCGGGACAGTGGTTTGACGAATGATGACGTGTGGACCCTTTTTGCCAACCGCCAAGCTGGGCGTGATTCGTGGGTTCGACGACGAGAAGAGATTCCCCTCAGCTTGCCAGCCAGCCGCCCCTCGCAGCGCCATTGAATCTTTGGGTCGTCGTGCATGAACAGCTGGCCTACGAGCGCCGATAGATTGGCCCACGTGTTGAGTTGTCAGCTATTACCGGCTGGTCGTGGACCCCCCATGTGTCGCGAAGGGACGCGCCGTGCCTGTCCCTCGTCGTTTTTTCGCTACTGACGCGCCCACAAAACTGCCATGAAGTTTGCAAAGTGAGACGAGAAAACTGCGCCCATGGCCACGCACGGCTGCTGACTGTGACAGGGAACTCGAGCGCGATCTCGTGCCGGAGTGGAGGCTCAAATATTTGGATTACAAAGTACGCTGCCGTTATCGGACCCGTTAGCCTGCAAGTAGCATTGCCCACAGACTGACATTTTCTCTAGCTGGGCAAAAAGAAGCTCAAGGCCATCGACCGCGCCCTCCGCCATGTGGAGTCGACCCCGCGATTGCGCAGACGTGGTGCTGCCAGTGTACTACCGTCGCCGTTGGACGCCGCGCCCAAGTACACGTACCTGAACCGAGAGCACACGCACCAGGGCAATGCCCGAGATACAGAAGACCTGAGAGCGCTCGCCATTACCAATACGCGCAGCAGGAATAGCTTGCAGCGAAAGGCGGACGGCGGACAGGCCAGTCAGGGCAGCCAGCTCGGCCGCACGCCCGAGGAAGAACCCTTGAACCAGGGACAACGCGAGCCCTCCTACCTGGGCAGTAGTTATGGCAGCTTCGCCGCTACCAGCCCTCCCAATGGTAAACAGAAAGGCTTTGCGGGCAAGAGCAGAGCCCCGCCGTCCCTGAAGCTGCCCGGTGCTGCCCTTGACCCGGAGAATGTCTCTCCCCACGTGGGCTTGTCTGGTGAGCCCCTTACCAAGACAAAGACTGTGACGCTGCCGCCGCCTGCAGAGCCAGAGACGGACAATGCTTTCGAGGTGGGCAAGACAAGGGCACCCCACAAGAGTCACCACTCCTTGCCCGCAAAGTACAAAAGCGTCTTCAGTCCCAAGCGCATGAACTCGACGCCAAGCCCCATCAATTCGTCCCATCCACGACCCTCGGTACGCCGCTTGTTCTCCGCGAGTAACAAGACCCCTCCAGCTAGTCCAGGCGATGTGCCACTTGAAGCATATCGTGACTTCGACTTCCGCCAGGCTGAGTTCTTCAACTTTCTTGATGGTGAGCTGGACAAGATTGAGAGATTCTACAAGCAAAAGGAAGATGAAGCCACCGATCGTCTGGCTGTCTTGCGCGACCAACTTCATATTATGAGAGACCGCCGTATTGACGATGTCATCCAACGACAGACTGACAAGATCAATGCTAAGATGCATAAGAAACACGAAGATGACCATCTCCTCGGTGGTGGCCAAGACAGAAGTCGAGGCGATGAAGCTCAGCACAGCTGGGTCAATAACAGCGTACTAAAGGATACGCTCATGAACCCTATTGATGCTGCATTCGAAGCCATCAATGCGGGCAAGTACGGGAAGAGCACCAAGAACATTGCTCAACTCACGACCCCAGCAGCCCTCCGACCCAGAGATCATCCGGACAGCCGCCGTGACTTTGCTCGTCGCCCCGACCTGCCAGAGGTCCCTTACAAGACAGCCAAGCGGAAACTCAAGATAGCGCTCCAGGAATACTATCGTGGACTGGAATTGCTCAAAGCCTACGCCTTGCTCAATCGCACCGCCTTTCGCAAAATCAACAAAAAGTACGACAAGACTGTGAATGCACGTCCGACATCTCGTTACATGAATGAGAAAGTGAACCAGGCGTGGTTCGTCAACAGCGATGTGATTGAGGGACACATTCGAACCGTGGAAGATCTCTATGCAAGATACTTTGAAAAGGGCAACCACAAGGTTGCCGTCAACAAGCTGCGCGTTAAGACTGCACGTGCCGGTGACTATACCGACAATACCTTCCGCAACGGCCTTTTGCTGGCCGCCGGTACCATCCTGGCCCTCCAGGGGATCATCAAGGCAAATAGCATAGCCGACTTGTACGATCCAAATCCAAGTACGCTAGCTGTAAATACGAGCTATTTATTACAGGTGAGAAGGACAGGGAACCTTTTGCTCTTGGCCACGCTAACACATTGCCAGATCTATGCCGGATACTTCATTATCAACTTCCTTACACTACTCTTCTGTCTGGCGTGCCGAGTTTGGCACGAGAACAAGATCAATTACGTTTTTATCTTCGAATATGATACCCGCCACCATTTGGATTGGAGGCAACTTGCAGAGGTTTGTGCATTGTGCAAAAAGACTGTGATCAAGGCTGACGTTGTTGCAGATTCCTTGTTGGTATTTGTTCATGCTGGGACTGTTTATGCAGATCAACTTCCATCAAGTCGGTGGGGCGCACATATATCTGTACTACCCAGTCATTCTTGTGGGGATATCCGTTGCTGTTTTGTTCAATCCCCTCAGGGTATTTTACTTCCGGACAAGAATGTGGCTGTTGTACTCACTGGTAAGTTTGGTGTGTCCTGTCGCCTATGGATTTGCTGACAGTTTTTTTAGTGGCGTTTGATACTTGCTGGTGTGTATCCCGTCGAATGGCGAGACTTCTATATGGGTGACATGTTTTGTTCCTTGACATACAGCATGAGCGTAAGTCATGAGCAACTTTTTTGCTTGTATGCCACTAACTTTTGTAGAATATCGCCATGTTCTTCTGTCTGTATGCACACGACTGGAACTACCCGCCGCAATGCAACTCGTCTCATTTGCGTGTCACTGGTTTTCTTTCTGCCCTTCCTGGTGTATGGCGATTGCTACAGTGTCTCCGTCGATACAAGGACACTGGCAACAAATTTCCCCATCTGTTGAACGGTGGAAAGTACACTGCTACCATTTTGTTCAATGTCACACTCAGCATTCATCGTATCGACACGCGGACCTCAACCAAAGCCGCGTACATTACCTTTGGAATCATCAACGGCATCTATACGAGCTTTTGGGATATTTACTACGATTGGAGTCTGGGCGATCCGCGTGCAAAATACCCCTTTCTGCGCAAAGAGCTGGGGTACAAGAAGGCCTGGTGGTACTACACGGCCATGTGCATCGATCCCATTCTACGAAACATTTGGGTTTTGTACACGATTGTGCCGCTTCAAAACTCCCATCCTGCAGTGACGTCGTTTGTAGTGTCACTCTTGGAGATAATACGAAGAGGCATGTGGTCAGTATTCCGTGTAGAGAACGAGCACTGTACCAACGTCGGACGGTTCCGTGCCAGCCGCGATGTCCCTCTGCCATACTACGTTCCTTCGACTGCAGAGGTGGAAGAGGACCACTCCTCTGGTATCCCTCGCGCATCAACGCAAGTCGACGAAGAACAGCCTGGCGAAAGACAACAACCGCCAACGCCAACCGAAGCCAGTCCCCGTCACCCAGCTACAGCCACAGGGTCCGAACTAGACGACCCGCAGTCGTTTGCCCGCAAGCGTCGCGGTGCCCAAGACGACTTCCGCCCGTCGCCCTTGCAACGCGCATTCACGCATGTAGGCGACATTTTCCGCGACGCCCACGCCCAGGACTTTGAGCGCAAGTTGAAGCCCGAGCTCGGTCGCGACCCGCGCAGCAGCGGTAGCAGTAAGATGGACGATGATAGCGACGACGAGTCGGATAATGACGAGGAGACGGGTGAGTTGGTCAATGGCAGTCGGAGTACTAGCGATGGTGCGAGGAGTAGGGGGGATAGCGAGGGTGAAGATGATGTCGAGGATGAGGTGCATGATGAGGAGGAGATGAGTGCGTTGGCGAGGATTCGAGAGGATTTTGCGACGGGTGTGACGGGGGCGCATTCGGATGGGACGGATCTTACTTGATGATGATGATGATGTGTTGTGAATACACGAGTATTTTGTGTCTTACTTTATCCTCATTCATATTGTCCATTGTTCCTTGTTCATGTCGTTGTTTCTAACGAGGCAAGTCGTATAGTTTTTTGGACATTGGATATTTAAATTGTATCCTTTAGTTCTTTTTTGTTTTTTGTCATTCCAAGTTCTGTTCCTCGGCGCAGTGCAATACAATCAAGGTTCTTGCCCTGTGTGTGTGTGTTTTTTAACTCACAGGCTTGGCATATAGCGTGGGGTGGATGTGTGACGAGTAGGCATAGGCGCAGGCGGCCGGGATGAAGCGAGGTGCGAACTAATACTGTTTTAAGCAAGGCGGGGGGGGGAACTGCCCGCGGAATAAGGTGGGCGTGCGAAAACATGGATGTTGTGTAGGAAGTCAAGGTCGTCACGACTTATTATCATTATTGTTATGATTGTTTAGGGGTAAGAAAAGAGTTGGATGCGTGGAAATTTGGGAAAAAACAAACAAACAAAAGGAAATTGGAGGAGCGTTTCTGATGGCGAAGGGGGATTGGGACTTTGTTGAATCTCGATCCCATGCACGCACGTATGTTGTGCTCGGGTAGGCGGCGACTCTATTCAAAGCAACGCTTGCATTGGGGCAACGGGTATCGGAACAAATGTCATGTTTGTGAATCATGGCAGGAGGAAAAGAAGAGACACGGCATTGAACTACATCTGTAACTGGCGGGTGACTAGCGCGAGGAACAGGAGTGCGCAGGAATGCAAAGAAGGGGGGGATGATGGTTGGTTGCAGTTTGTTCTTGTGCGCGGGGGGACAAGAAGCAGAGGCCGCGGAAGGGGGAAGAGTGGTGCGATAGGCGAGGCTGGTGAGATGGCTACTTATTCCACCCGCTCGCTTTGAGGCAGATTTGGTGCGTGCGGTGGAGAGTGGCCAGGCCAGGCCAGGCCAGGCACGGGGCGGACGGGGCGGACGGGCGGGCAGGTAAAGGGGGCAGAGAAAAAGAAAAGATGGTTGACGTAGGTGTTTATTGTGCAGAGTAGTAGTAAAGGTGCAACGAGCTTGGACGTGACGCGATGTCACGTGAGAGCATGGGAGGCGACGGGCAGATGTTGGGGGTGGTGGAGGAGTGGTGGAGCGGTGGAGCGGTGGAGCGGGTTGAGGGATATACAAGAGCAGGGATTGGGGCCGTTTGGGGGGTTGGAGTAATTAGCGACCTGTCACGCTGACTGTGGAAAACGGTCGGTGTAAATGGCAAATGCTTGGCGGAGTAGCTGGAAGAGGCGAGGCGATTGGTGTTTGGTGGGAGATGGGAGAGGGTGGGTGCAGCAGGCTTTGGACAGAGCATGTAGTGTATAGCGACAACCATTGGCGCGGAGAGTTGTACAGAGACGATGAGCGTGTAGGCCTCGTGATGGCTGGTAACGCCACCGGGTAACGTGGGATCGTGATATGCGTGACATGTTACTCAACAGATTTTGTATACGAACCCACGACCTTCCTACCAGGGCATTCCGGAGAGCTGATGGCATGGTGGTTGGGGCGGGCCACGGCCTGGGGCGAGGGAGATAAAGAAAGGGTAGAGGCTAGCAGATAGTAGGATAGTAGGCATTGAAGCGCGGCAGCCGTATACTTAGTACGAGGTAGAGGATAGTGCGGCAACAATGGCAGATGATGGCAAAGTGCGGTGAGCAAGCAGTAGGTAGGCACATGGATAGTACAGGCTGGCTCTGCCCTCTCTGTGCCCGCGCAGCTCGATGAACTGCATCGCCGCTTGGCAGCGAATAATAGTCGCTCACTGCTCATGACGCATGCACCAAACCCGGCAGGGGCGACCCGTCCAGTGTTTGGGGCCACAGCAACATGCGGCCTAGTCGCCTACGAAAGAGAGAAAGAGCGAGGCAGCTGCGAACGGCCCCGTCGTCATCACCCGCATCATCATGTCGTCGGCGACAGAAACATATACATGTACTTGCTGTACATGTAAAGATGCAGTAGATTGATCCATACACTACACCCTCGCCATGTCATCACATGCAAGTATACATACAACCAAGCACAAGTACGCGCAAGCACACCCCGCATGTTATCCCCCCCCCACCAGCGCCCGCCAGCTGCACGCCCAACGGCGAGGCTGCAGCGCCATTGTCCATGGGCGGCCGTGGTGGTCGTGGAATGCGAGTGCAAATGCCAATGCGCCAGAAACTAGTCCGGGGTGCGTGGGCACGGTGCATGTCACTCACTGAGCTGTGAGGGGAATCATCGGCCCGTGCTTGCCTTGCTCCCACCTTCTCTCTAGCGCGCCGTGATAAGCTCCATGCTCGTCTTGCCTTTCTCTGCCCGTAAATCCTTGATTTCCATCTTCTTACAACAAGAGGCGACGCTGCTCGTCCTCGCTCCTCCCCTCCCCTCCCCTCTCCTCCCCTCCCCAATCCTCTTAATCCCTAATCCACCGCAATCATGCCTCCAGATCCAAAGGATGCACCGTTTCCCACCAAGCAGCTCATCATCATCGGTAAGTCCAAATTATATCCCAACCTCGACGCCCTTTCCTTTCTCACCCCACCACCACAGGAATATGTCGATTCTCCGAGCCTCTCGCTTTCAACTCCATCCTCGCCTACTCTCCCAAGATGGTTGAGGATCTCGGCATGTCGCACCGCGACGCTTCCTTTTACGCCGGCCTGCTCGTTTCGGCCTACGCCATCGCCGAAGCAATGACTGCCCCGTTATGGGGTATGGTTTCTGACCACTATGGTCGAAAGCCCATTGCTCTCTCTGGCCTCTTGGGCGTTGCCCTCTCAAGTTTGGTCTTTGGCCTTGCCCCCACTTACTGGGTCGCTTTGCTTGCCCGCTTCGTCGGCGGCGCACTGAACGGCAATGTCGCAATCATGCAGACCATGGTGGCGGAAATGGTCAAGAACCCAGCCCATGAGCGTAAGCTGTCCTGCACCATTGCTGTCGCCAATATTCGGCTAACCCACCCCCAGCACGCGCATACGCGACCCAACCCTTTGTCTGGACTCTGGGCGGCATCATTGGCTCGGCAATGGGTGGTTTCCTCGCCCAGCCTGCACGACTGTACCCAAACACTTTCGACAAGGACGGCCTCTTTGGACGCTATCCCTACTTCCTGCCTAACCTCGTTGCCGCCGTTGGAATCCTGCTAGCCATTCTCCAGGGCATGCTTTTCCTAGAGGAAACCCTTGTTCGCGAGGAGAAGCCAGAGGGAGAAAACGGAATTGCCGACCACCACGACGACCACGTGGACCATATGGCCACCATCAACGAAACTCCTGCCAACGAGAGGAGCCGTCTTCTGCCACCGCCTCCAAACCACCAACATCTTGGCCGCGACCCTCGCGGCTCAACCGCTGGATCTACGCGTCACCGTGGTTCCATCGCCAGCTTTACCCGCGATCGTTTAGCTTCAATCTCCGTTTCAGGCAGCATTCGTCATATCCGCAAGCGAGCCTCGTTCATGGAGGAAGGTATGCCCATGCCCTTTGACCAGCGTTTCGACATCCGCCGTTCATCCTTTGGAACCATGCATTCGATCAAGATCCAACAAGATGTGCTACCTATTCGCGGCGGTCCACCCCCAAAGCCTCGTCGGACTTTTAACCGAACCGTCGTCATGGTCATCCTCGCAATGTCCATTCTCGCCTTCCACCAAATGGCCTTCTTCTCAATCCTTCCCGTCTGGGTCCTAGACGACCACACCCACAGAGGCCTCGACTTCCATGGCGGTCTCGGCCAAGACATTCCTGATGTAGGCACCTTTCTGACTGTTAACGGTTTCATCACGCTCTTTGTCCAAGGCTTCATTTTCCCCATCTTTGTAGAGTGGGCTGGAGTCTGGAATTCCTTCATCTGGATGATCGTCCTATACCCCATTACGTACCTATTCGTCCCATTTATCACTGCCTTTCCGCCAATATTCGAGACTACCGGTGTCTACTTTGTTCTCTTCCTCCAGGCCTTTTTCGGAATTGTGGTATTCCCATGCGCTCTGATTCTGATGAAGAACGCCATCCCATCACCGCTCGTCCTTGGTCGCGTCAACGGCCTCGCCATGTCTGCATGCTGTCTGGCAAGAACTATTTCTTGCCCATTGATTGGACTCATATACTCTCTTGGAGGCTCGGCAGCAGCTTGGTTCAGTCTTGCTGCTATAGCCATCATTGGCGCGATCCAGCTGCTTTGGGTCCCCAAGGAAGACATTGGTTCCGTTACCATTGACAACGGCCTCAAGAAGGTTCTTCATGACGATGCTGACGAGGATGCGGTCGATGATATTTCCATCATTGAGTCTGTACGATAACAGATGTCATCTTGATTTACGAATTCATTGTTTCCGTCAAGGCGGATTTCGGAGCAACCGTCTTAGAGTGTTTTCTTTTTTTTGGGGGGGGGGGGGGTTTCTTCCTTTACGGTTGCATGGTCTCTTGGCGTTTATGGTCGGTCTCTACATGTGTGCGTCTCGAACATCGGGCATTTCAGCGTCTCTCGCATATCACATGTCCTCACTTCCGATTCCATTGGCGGGTGCTGCATTCATTTACACTTTGTCCGTTCTCTTCTAGCAGATTGTCTAACGTGAGCGTGATAGAGGTTAAGTAGCGCACGGTCAATGAGATCTACAAAGATCTTTGACGGACCCGCAGTGGATCTATTGCTAGGATGGTCGGCTCTAATAATCTGGCCGAGCTTGCTATTTGTTAGTACGCGGGCAATTGCTGGGACCCAGTCACAGACTTGCATTGGCCTACACCTGCCGACCTAGACCGTGGTAAACCTTCTTCCAAGTACGACATGTCAGGCATTGCAGGATATGATAAGAAAATGGTATGATATTGGGATGGAACAGAAGGAAAAGTAAAAATGAGAGCACGTTGGCACGACACGCGGGAATGCAGTAAGACGGGTTATTTATGATCCTGGCTTCTCGGAGACAGGGAGAAGGAATTACATCATAGCAACAAGTCTCGTTGTGGTTGGCGATAGAATCCAATACATTTGGGACCCATAATATTGGCTTGTGGTACTAGTGTTGTGAAATGCAAATGCCTCACTTCCGAGGCATAACGAAACGCGCATGGTGTTGGCCGGCCACGGGCTGGCCGGCTCCCGGCTTGGCAACACCGCGCAAGTGCAAGTAGGTACCTCTCTGCAGTAAGCTGGCCCTAGATCCTTCGCAACCGCCTACCCCAACGCCACACACGCACGAATCCCGGAGCCCGGTGATGCTTCTTTAGCAGAAGCAAATTCACTATGACGCTTGACGCGGTAACGCGACAATGGATCATTGGGGCGACCCTTGGGCAGATAGTAATGTCGAGCAACAAAAGTCCCCGACCAAGAACGCGGTGATTTCACCTCCACCACCAACGCTTGCACCTGCTCCAGTGCTATTGAATGGGTTCCTTGACGATGCAGGATGGGGGAACGAAGACGAGAGTTTTGGCGACTGGAGTGCGTCGACTGGGATCGGTGCTCCCAGCGTCGCCCATATAGACACCCGCCTACCTAGCCCAAGCCCTCTAAGAAATGACCGCGTCGCTGAAGATGCTTTGCCCTGGGGCATAGACGAGGAAGTCAAAGATACTATACCGAACATCGAGGGAACATGGACAGGAGGACAAACTGGAGATTCTTCTGACCTTGACAATGGCACTTCGGACACGTCAGAAGCATCGACCACCATTCAGGCAGATGCACACGCAAACACAGATCCAGAACGAAACGCAAAGGATGCTGCGACCCGGTCGCAACCTGACGACGACTCCTCCGCGCGACCATCTACATCGCAATCCGAGATCAGCCGCCATGAAGCGCCGGTCGAATCCTCTCGGACGTCGCTTGAAGACGAGGAGGCTATTGCAGAGCACACTATAGAGGAGGTAGATTCAAAAGAAGAACATGGAAATGTTGACAAAAAGGAAGATGAGGAAGAGGACAATGGCTCAAGTTCGGACAGCGATAGTACTGAGGACGAATACGGAACTTCCACAGCAGACACGCTCCTGACTGAGAGCCCTCGGGATCGGAGCGATGTCGCTGAAGAAGCACCAAGTCACTCCAAGGAAGACGAGCCTGGAAACTCTACATCGTCACGCAATGAGCCGACACCAGCAACCACCGCCACACAATCTCACATCGGAAGATATCAGCTTGACGCTACTCTTCTTGATGAGTTATTCCCTTCCAAGAAGAATGAAGCAGAACTGGATGAAGCTCCGGAGGACCCGATATATTCAACCTCGGGGCGCAAGGCCTGGTATCGACTCACACGCAAGCAAACGATGAAAGAGTTCAATAGCGGCAACAGCGATGACAGCTACGTTCGAGTCACATGGCCCGGCTCCCAAGTCAGGTCTGAGGTTCATAAGACTGTAGCTAGGTGGGCGCGCGAAGACCGCATGTCAGGCACAGGACCCGGTGCCCGGGCTTCATTTTACTGGGACACCCCAGCACCAGTCGAGCCCAGGATGCCCAAGGGTCACCAGCGCACAAAGACGTCAGTCCCTACTGAGCGCATAAACGCACCAATGAGGCAAAGTCTTCCACCAATGGCTACGAACACGGCAGCTGCGTTCAACTGGGCTTCTCCCACATCTACAAGAAACCCTTGGAACCAAGACAACCCAAGTTTGAACTCAGTAGTCTCACTTCCCACGTCCAAGTCCACTGCTATACAAAATGAGCGAACACAGGATTCCCGCCCTGCCTCTATGGATCTTGCGCATGGTGTTGGAGAAAGACCAGGGTCAGCGGTTATTTCCCTTGAAACACCCAATGTCGCGAACACAATACCACCTCCACCTCCGACCACATTATCAGCAAACTCATGGGGAGACACCAGCACTCTCGACACAAACAACGCTGTTCCAAAACAAAGCACCAGTGTCCATGATGACGAAGATGATGATTGGGGTGAGATGATATCAAGTCCCACAACATTTTCCCCCGTTTCAGCCTTCCCGAACTCTATAACCGCCACTCCTGACAATACTGTGTCAACTTTGGATCCAGCCCCTGAAAAGTCGCCACTTGAAGATTCATCAGCCGACGCCATGCACGCAGCTTCTATAGTTCGCCTGAAGAGTACAATATCGCCAACCTCTGCTGTATTTGGACGAAAGAGTTTCGTTCCGTTTAGTGCTGAACATGGCCCCATTGGACCTGGGATCTTGAAGCCGGTCAAACGGCCGGTCGCTTCTACACCTGAAAAGCCCAAGCCTGAGGCGCTATCAGTGCCATTGCGGGCAACTCCTCCGCGCAAAGTGCAAGAGGCGACTCCAGTACGCGAAACGGAAAAGACTTTCGATGTCAAGACCAAGGATCCCGAGCCTTCAGCAAACAATGCAGTGAACGACTTTTCTGTCTTCGAAACCACCACTTTGGAATCAGGCCCTGTCCAACCTATGACTCCGCCTCGAGCTCCAGCGAAACCCGAGCCGATAGTCGATTCATGGGCAGACGCAGACTTTTCAATTTTCGAGTCTGCTCCAACAACAGCAGCGATTGCACAACCAAAAGCAAAACACGAGCCTGGGGATCCTTTTTCTCTCTTTCAGACTCCTCCTCCACGACCAAACAGCGCTGCTTCTTCGGCCAAGACTTTTACTCGGTCATCACCCCCGCGTGTTGTGACACCCCCAGCCGTCCAGCCTCTTACTGGTGCCACCAATTCCGCCCAACGGCGGAAGAATGAGGAAGAGAAGACTATTAGAGATATACTGGCCGGGTTGCCAGATTTGAGTTATATGTTGCGATAGAAGGATGTTGTGTTCTTTCCAGTAGGGCATTCTTGAGGCCTTGTTCCATTGCATCTTGTGCGGCGTTTTTTTGGGCGGTGTGTGATTGGAGAATTTTTTATATATATAGGACTTGGTTTTTTGTTGTTACGCTGGTGAAGATTACTCAATGATCATGGATCATGTTTATATGTGTACAATTGAGTACTTTTTCCATCGTTTTACATAGTATAGAGGCTAGTACTCGTACACGATGATGGACTCTTTTTTACCACTCGAATCGTACCATTTTTTCTATCTTTATGATTATGTTGTTGCTTGCATACTATCTTCTGAACAATCAACTATGATTAAGAGCACTGACATGGACTTTTGGATGTTGTACATACTACGATGAATAGAACAACTACCCAAAGATGCATTAAGTTTTAAACAATGATAGATCCCCACAAGCGCTACGTCATCCCTGACTTGAGAGTTCATCAGCATTCTATCCAAACCCAACTTTTCCACCCAACATATCCTATTCCCCCCATTCATCCATCCATCCCACCAACTCACCATGGCCCCACTAATCCACATACTCCGCCACGGCGAAGCCCACCACAACACCCATGCCAACCACCCCTACCGCGACCCTCCCCTAACAAAAGCCGGCCACTACACCACAAAACACAAACACCTCCCCTTCGACCCGGACCTCATCCTCATCTCCCCCTTAACCCGCACCATCCAAACGGCCTTGAACATGTTTCCTTTTCTCTCCAGCCAACCCTCCCCTGTCCCCGCACACATCTGGCCCTCGCTCCGCGAAACCCACACTACCAGTCCCTGCAACCAGGCTTCGGCACGGCGCGAGCTCGAAGCGGCATTTCCGCAGTTTGATTTCTCGGGGTGTAGTGAGGAGGGGGGTGGGGGAGTATGAGGAGGAGAGTGAGGGGGAGGCTGTGGCGAGGGCGGAGAGGGTGAGGCGACGAGTGATGGAGCTGGTGGAGGAAGGAGGGTATGAGAATGTGGTTTTGGTGACGCATAGTGGGTTTAAAGGGTATTTGGTTAAGGGGAGGCGGTTTGGGCTTGCGGAGGTGAGGACGTATCGGGTTGCGAGTCAAGAGGCGGAGGAGGAGGAGGAAGGGGTGAGGTGGGGGGTTGATTTTGAGACGGGGGTGGAGAGGGATTATGGGCCGACGGTTTGGGTGGGGAAGAGGTAGGATAGGGTGGAGTTGGGATGGAAAGTCATTGTGTTTTCATTGCTATCAAATATTCCTGTAGTGTATGTGTGTGTGTATGTTGACAAGAAAAGAGCACACTATGCTAAGCTTGTGGATTTCCTCTAGTAAGGATCAAGTTGGCATGTCAGGTCAAGACCCCGTCTAGAAAGTCTTGAACTTTCCGCCCAAGCTGCCAAACTTGCCGGACCATTTGCCGTCAGTGTAGTACTGCTGCCACACTGCATCGTCGAGTCCGATACCGAAAACATCGATGCGTCCCTTGCCCCAGCAGACGGCAGCCGGAGCACTCTTGAACTTTCCAGTCATGCCCTTCCAGTCACCCACCCATTGGCTGTTGTCGAATGCCTTGTGATACATCTGGTCGTCCATGCCAATGCCAAAAACATCGATGCGTCCCGCGCCCCACGAGACAGCCGAGGGGGTGCTCTTGAACTTTCCACCCAGTCCTTGCCAGCTGTTGGTCAACCAAACACCCTTGTCAAACGACTTGTAGTACATCTGGTCATCCATGCCAATGGCAAAAGCATCGAGCCTACCATGACCCCACGAGACAACGGCCGGAGGGCTCTTGAAAGTACCGTTGGTTGGGTTCCAGTTAGGTGTAGTCCACGCGTTGTTCTCAAACGCCCGGTGGTACATCTGGTTGTCCATGCCGATGGCAAACACATCGAGTCGGTTGGAGCCCCACGAGACGGCTGCCGGGGGGCTCTTGAACTTGCCGTTGAGCGGCTCCCACTCTTCGGAATCCCACTTGCCTCCATAGACCTTGCGGTACATCTGGTCGTCCAGGCCAATGGCAAAGATGTCGATGCGGCCATTGCCCCACGACACAGGCACAGGCTGGCTCTTGAGCTCACCGCCGGTGCGCTGCCACTGGCTATTGATCCAGGTTCCACCACTCTTGCGGTGGTTGCCCCACGTCTTGCGGTACATGTGCTTGTCCAGACCGATGCCGAAGATGTCGAGGCGGCCGTGGCTCCAGGAGACGGCGCCAGGGATCTGCTGGAATTTGCCGTCGAGGGGTTCCCATGCGCCACCCGCAGAGGGCTTCCATCCTTGGTCGCTCCGGTCGAATGACTTGCGGTACATTTGGTTATCTCCCCCGATGCCGACGAGGTCGAGGCGGTCAGGGCCCCAGGACTCGACTGAGATCCAGGAGCGCATGGCGATTGGCATGGAACCCATGGTTGGCTGTTGTTTTGTGGTCTGAGTATGTCGAGATTAGAACTATCTGGGGGACTGAGAGCAGGGAGACTGACCTGAATTTATCAGGAGAAGAGTGGATTGATAGTGATGGTGTGAGGGATGGAGATGTTGCTTGTGTCTTTTTACAGTGACTACATGCCAGGTATTTATATTTCTTTGACTCTCTACAAGACATGTATGGTGGCTTTTTTTCTAATGTTGCCTATAGTCCTCATCGATAACTTCAGAATCAACAAATACAGAATATGCAATGTCCATCTCTAGAGTTTCCACCACTACCGTTTCGTTCTGGGAGTGGTGACAAAAAGCGGTGAAAAGACTCGGTCGATTGCCATATGATACGTCTGCACAATGACGGTCTGGATTTTGGAATGGATGACCTGTGTGGCTGCTTGTTGCACACTTGGCAGCTGTATTAGGGTCTGCTACCTCGAAAGAAGGTGGCAAGTTGATCTTGGTGTTGATCTCGTCGGTCAAATCATCCGAACCACATAGCAAGTGATGTTTGTTGCTTCACTCCAGTAGAACTTGACAGTCCAGACATGCTGTAGCACACAAGAAAGGAACGTACAGACCCTGTCCTCCGCTGTACTAGCCAGGTAGTCAACTCCATACGCCTCTTGCATACCGTTGATGGACCCTTAGAAAATAAAACTCGGACATGCATCTCAGAACCTCATCGGTAACGTCACACACACACACACACACACATGTACCACGCTTAGTGCAAATGATCTAATTGACTGACCCTTCTTTCCGGTGAATCTAGCAAAAAAAAACACATTCGTACCAATACCGCATGTAAGTAAGCGAACAAAAGGTCAGCCAGCCCATTTCTTGTGTAACCACACTTTCCATCTCCTCTTCGCCCCACAAACAAGCACATGATCTCGGAAAAAAACAAAGAAGCTCACGGCGTGGGGTACGCAGGGTACATTACTATCGATTGAAAAGCAAGCTTTGCGTCAACTAACTACGCAATGTTACCGGTTACCCGTTGTTACTACATAGTCTTGTCCCCCCCCTTCCTGCCATACTATCCTACACCATATTCCAAAGATACCTTTCCCTTTGGCAAAACCACTATATCCCCATAACTCGAATTCCCCAATTCTCATCAAATTCACATACATAAGTTACTTGTTCTGCTCCGAATGTAACCGCTACGTAAAAAGGGAAGAAAAAAAGGAAAGAAAAAGCAACCATTCCTACCCCGCAGCTTGCCCACCAAACACGCCGTGCTTGGTCCCCCCCCTCTCCACACCCGCATCCGCATGTGCATATTGATCCTTGGTTCGTAGGGACGGGCCGTTGGAAGGTTCAACGCGTCGGCGCCAAGGTGAAGATCGGTCGGTCGGTCGGGACGGGATGGAAAGCGGCGTCCCGAGCCATAACTACTACTTACTCTTTCGTAGAAGCGGGTTTTGCCAGACAACTACTATACCGGGAAAACTTGAATGGGTGTGTGTGTAAATGGACTAGGAATGTGGTTTTACAACACCTTTTTTTTCTTCTCGGCAAGTAGAGAAGGGAGGTGGTAAAAGGAAGCTGTTTCTCATCGTCGTTCGGATACATCCGGGACTGGGGGATCTTTTCGCTCTGCAGTTGTGGGGCTCGCTTTTGGCGCTGGTGCTGGAAAGGGAATATGGGCTCGGGTGTGCCCGCTTCCCTTGAGCCGGAGGGGCTGCTTTTTTTTGTGGGCGGAGGGAGCGGCTAGGGGTTGCTTTTTCGAAGTGATGCGCGTATGTGTATACTGTGTATCTAGATGTGTGTACACTATGTGGGGTAGATTGTGCATGGCTGGTAAGCGATTCGCGGTTAATGGGTTTTAGTAGGCAGATGTACTCCCGGGGCCTTAGTACGGTGAGCGTTTTTTGCTTGGTTCTGCAGTGCCTGTATTGATATTAACAATTGCTACGTAGATGGAAATGCTGAGTGGTTCAAGACAAATGACTGGTGATTATTGAACCACACTATGACTGATTGAGCGTGGAGAACAATCTGGAGTAATCTATAGGTTTTCAACTTGGCATTCTGTACACACGACGTATATCCACCCTAGTAGCTATCGACTCAATATTCAGATGCATGCGCTATCGTATCCAAGTTGGCATATTTTGTAAATAAGGTTTTCATTAGAGTCGACATGAAAATAAGAGTGTTAAACATTGAGGTAGTTCAGCGATCTTTAAACCCTAATGGTCTAGGGTGACGACGTGTAGGGGTCTGATAGGACACAGTACTTAAAGCCGAAGAAGCTGCAATTAGTCGAAACTCTTGACCCGCCAATATGCCAAGAGATTTTTGAAGCTTTTTTTTACCAATGAATGCGAGCCGTATAGAAAGGTCCCACGTATGTCTTATGATGTGCTTTTTTTTTTCGAAACCTACGTAATATTGGCAGAGTACATCTCGTACTGACGGATATAACTCAATTATGTCTCAGTCTTATTTATTTCCAAGACCAGTAGTTGTGTGTACAACCAATGTTGCATGTAGGTCACTTTTCAGCAATTATTGTTCTCCCTGTCATGTCAACAAACCAAACGTCTTGCAAAGTTCCCTACCAAAGCGAATGATAATATTGTGTCAGGGCATTGAGTTAAAGTCCAAGAAATGGTATATTTTGTTCGCTTGGGTATCGTACCTGTACGCCTGGAAATGCTCAGTCAACCCCTCCAAATTAGATGCTTTTCAATCTGCTTCTTCTTCTTCTTCCCCTGCTCGTTCCATGCGTGCTCTGATGTCTCTTACAAGTGCTTTTGCATCTTCGACTTCCACGCCGTCTTGGCAAAGCTCGTTTGCAAGCTCCATTGCCCTTTGGTACATGCCACGCATATACTCCCAACGTGCGAGCCACAGCCTAGCCTTGCTTGTTGTAGCAGTCACACCAACCCCACCTGCGCCCTCCATCCCGGCTTCTTCATAGTCGGGACCTTCCTCCTGCGCAAGGACAAGCTCCATATATGCTGCGCACTCGTTCATGTTATTTATGCGCTCATACAACAGGGCAATCTGGTAAAGCACATCAGGATCCAAGACGCCTCCGGCAAGTCCAGAGACTTCGCCACTACCAAACGATGTACCAATGCCTGCATCGTAGTAGGAACCAGCAACTAGTGCACGCTTGTAGGACCGTATTCCGTTCATAACCTTGCCAACTTTGCCAAAACATTGTCCAACAGCCATCCAGAGCTTTGGATCATACGGCCGTAAAGCAGCGGCACGTTGGTGGTAAAAGAGCGCATACGAATGCATTTCCAGCACTTCGTACGTTTGTCCCAAGCCGTACCATGCACGATAGTCTTTCCGGTTGACATCGACAGCCCGCCGGTACGACTCAATGGCGGCATGGGTGTTCTTCATCTCAACGAACTCATGACCCATCAATGTCCATGCCGACAAAAAGGTGCGATCGAGGGTCAGAGCTCTTCGAAAGTACATGACGGCCTTTTCGTGCTCGGATTTGAGTGAGTAGTAGTTGCCTACTACACAACACGTCTCTGGACGAAACTTGTCCGTGGAAGTGGCCAGCTGCGCTAAGAATGCAAGTTTGGGTCGCATGCCCATGACATAGAGTATGTTGGAGTAGTTGTCTAAATGGTCCACCCGGTGAGGATCGGAGATGAGGAGGTCAGAGAAGATCTGTTCGGCATCATCAAAGTCCTTGTTGTGGTAGTGGAGTAGAGCGCGTTGGGTCTTGAGAAAGGCCGAGGTGGGGAAAATGGTGAGAATCTGCGACAGCGACGAGTGTATCTGCTCGCTGACGACGTATAGCTCCTGTGAGGATGTAACATGGAAGATGAAGGTCATGAGATTTTGCGGTAGACGCGCGACGATTCGGTTGAGATCTTCGGTAGTGCTGAGCAGCGCCTGCAACTCTTGCCATGCACCCCAATTATACGTGTATTGATGAAGACTCTTGACCAGATAGTCAATAGCGAGTTGCTCATTCTTTCCTTTGGCCAGTACCATGCCGTACAGATACTCGAGCCAGCCCTGTGGTTGTCGGCCACTGTCGGGGAGATCTCTGAACCACTCGTCCAGAACAGCGGAAACAACTGGCAGCTCCTTGTTCATGGTAACGCCTCCATCTTGGGGCCCCAGTATCATCTCGCTATCCTCGTTCATGCGCTTCTCGCCCGCAATGTACTTGGCATACAGGGCCAGGAAGAGCGACTTCTGGCTGATGCCCTTGACTGTATCATTGGATAGTTTTCCCTTTGTAGGGGTGAACATGGTGGCCTTCCCCTTGGCTGACTTGGCCTTTGACGTTGGGGTCGAAGAAGGATTCGACGCGCCCTTGGGCAAGGGTCCCGGGAGAAAGACGGCGGCACATCGATCGTATTCGCGACAGTCAAAGTAGGTTTTTGCAAGGAGGAACTTGTGCGCCTCACGGGCTTCTAGGCGCGCTTCAGTAGCGTCTTTGGGCACAGGTGCTGGTGTTGGTGGCGGGTGCGCGTCAGACATGGGCGAGTCGACATCCGTGTCTGAGCCATCATCGTCGTCAGGCGATGGGAGCGAGTCGAGCAGTTCTGCAGCCCTTGTCAACATCAGTATACACGCGCCCGCCAGACATCACCCAAGGCCAGTACGCACCATTTGGCCGAGTGATAGAGGCAGCGCTCGGTGCAGCTAATGACGGCGTCCTGGAGCTGGGCCTTGAGCTGGGCCTCGTCGGCCTGCGATAAGGTGCCCATGACGAATCCAGACGAAGGCAGGGTATCGCTGACTTGGACCCAATTCTTCTATATACAACGCGGTGATTACGGTCACTGGGCAGAGTTTCGGTGACCGATGCACGCGTTGTTGTTGAGCTGCCTGTCTAGGGCACGTCGCGCGGTGGGGCAGCAACCAATTGCCCGGCTTAACCTTTTGCCGGCAGACTCCCGGACTACAACTAGACACCGCCTCCATCAACATTTACTGCTGCCCCTCCCCATCTTGAACCCGTAAGCCACCTTCTGCCATCAAGATGCCGACCACAATAAAAGAGTTTGAGAGCGTATGGCCACGCATTGTCGTGGACCTGCAGGATCACTGCAAACAATACAAGCTGCCCCAGCAGCCTCTTGATTGGTTCACAAAGGTATGTCCTGCCCCACCACCACACAGCGAACATCTTCAGGGTCCATGATGCTCACCACGCCAAAACAAATAGTCGCTCGACTACAACACAGTCGGCGGAAAATGTAACCGGGGAATGTCCGTCATTGACACGACGTCCATCCTCCAGGGCAAGACGCTCGATCCCTCTTCTGAAGAGTACTTCCGCGCTGCTCTTCTAGGATGGATGATTGAACTTCTTCAAGCCTTTTTCCTCGTCTCTGACGACATCATGGACTCTTCCAAGACGCGTCGTGGAGGCCCCTGCTGGTACCTTGTGCCCAAGGTTGGCATGATTGCCATCAACGATGCTTTTATGCTCGAGTCTTCCATTTATGTACTGCTCAAGAAGCACTTCCGACAAGAGAAGAGCTACGTCGACATTGTCGAGCTGTTCCACGAGGTCACCTTCCAGACCGAGTGTGGCCAGCTTTGTGATCTCCTCACTGCTCCAGAGGATGATGTCAACCTCGACAACTTCAGCCTCGAAAAGTTCACCTTCATTGTCATTTACAAGACTGCTTACTACTCCTTCTACCTCCCCGTTGCCCTGGCTCTCTACTACTCTGGTGCTGCCACACCAAAGAACCTGAAAACCGCCGAGGACATTCTTGTCCCTATGGGCGAGTACTTCCAAGCTCAAGATGACTACCTCGATGCCTTCGCTGACCCTTCGGTTCTTGGCAAGATTGGAACCGACATCATGGACAACAAGTGTTCATGGCTCGTCAACCAGGCCTTGAAGAAGGCCAATCCCGAGCAACGGAAGCTGCTCGATGAGAACTATGGCCAGAAGGATTCTCAGAAGGAGGCCAAGGTCAAGGAGCTGTACCACGAGCTCAAGCTCAAGGAGTTTTATGAGCAGTGGGAGGAGGAGCGTGTTGCCGATCTGAGGGCCAAGATTGCCGAGGTTGATGAGAGCGAGGGCCTGAACAAAGACATCTTTGAGCTTTTCCTCCAAAAGATCTACAAGCGCAGCAAGTAATTCCTGGGCGGACTACTGCAACGCCAGCAATGAGATATCATATGATTCCACGTTCAATTCCTACCGTCTTGACAATTCCCAGAGTGAATTCACATTCTCGACATGTATGCTACGTGTCCTGGTGCAATAGGAAACCTAAACACAAAGTCCAGTTCCCCATGGGCTCGGCTAGCCTACCTAAAATAGCGCCATCCACAAGCGGCCCGAAGAGCCTCACCACATCCTACCAACGTCATCGCCATCACCAACCAACCACAAAAACGCCCAATTGCAGATCACCAACCGACCATTCGCAACAATGCCATCTACACAAGCCGTAATATCTGTAATTGGCTCTCTAAATGTCGACCTCGTCACGCGCACCCACCGCATCCCCGTCGCAGGCGAAACCCTCGCCAGCGAATCCTTCAACATCGGCTGGGGCGGCAAAGGTGCCAATCAAGCCGTTGCCTGCTCCCGTCTCTCACGCACAAAAGCCCAAGTCAGCGCTTCGCAAGCCTCCGACGTCGAGGTGCGCATGGTCGGTGCAGTCGGCCAAGATGAATTCCACCAGTCCTTCTTGAAAGCACTGCGAGACGACGGTCTCAACACCGACAAAGTGGAGATTCTACCCGGAAAGAAGACGGGCGTTGCTGTCATTGTAGTTGAGACGGGGACGGGGGAGAATCGCATCATGTTTAACCCTGGTGCGAATGGCGATGTGCCTGTTAAGGATCTGGTGGATGATGATGCGAGTGTTGCCTTATTCCAGCTTGAGTTGCCCTTGCAGGTTGTGCTGCATAATATGGCTGTGGCACGCAAGAAGGGGGTGGAGACTATTATTAATCCTGCGCCTGCGATTCCGTTGCCCATGGAGGCGTATCAGGGGCTGGGGCATCTCATTGTTAATGAGACGGAGGCTGCGATCTTGAGTGGGATTGAGAAGCCGGAGAATTGGGATGAGGTTGCGGGAATTTTCATTGCGAGGGGGGTCAAGAATGTGATTATTACTCTAGGGGGAGAGGTAAGTTTTCTGTTTTCAATGTCTTTGTGAATTCATAGAGATATTTTACTTACAGGATGTAATAGGGTGTCTTTTACAAAACAGCAAAACAGCAGGCTTCGTCTCAGCAAGGCGTCATTGTTCCAGCGCGCAAGGTCCAAGTCGTTGACACAACGGCTGCTGGCGACACGTTTGCTGGTGCCTACACCGTTGCTGTAGCTCGCTGGAAGGTTATGGCAAAGGGTGCTGACTTCGACCTTGACGCAGCCATCGCACAGGCGAATAGAGCTGCATCAATGACTGTGCAAAGAGAGGGCGCGCAATCGAGTATTCCGTGGGCTGATGAAGTTCCGGAGTCATGAGTAACGGGGAATTTGTGGTTATGACGAGCAAACTCAGATATGTAGACCAAGAGTACAACATTATGACGAACATCCATAATCTATTTCCATTGATGGCTCTATTTTTGACCAATATATCCTAGAGTTCAATCTTTCCCCGAACAAAATTTTGCATATTTCCATTTCCGTATCTCATCGGTGCCCATTACAGGAACAGCAGTCACATTGATCTTCTTCCAGGTCATCACCTGGACAAGGCAACCAGCAGCGATCTGCATCGGGTGTGTAGTTTTGGAGCATTGTGGAAGTATTTGCCGAGTGGTATTGATTAGGTAAATTGATGTTCGGAGGCGATATCGGTACGCGCGTTTGTGTGTGTGTGTGTGTGTGTATGAGGAGTGACAGGATATGTAGTGCTGGATGTCAAAGTTTCGGAGCGAGATATGGTTTATACAAGATGTAAATGTGTGTAATGTAGGCCAAGGCTGCTGTGCTGAGTTGGAGAGATGTGTTGTTCGTGCCGATTCAAACGCAGGTAACGTGACGGATAAGCGAGTCGGTCAGGCAAGCGAGTCGGTCACCCTACCAACTTTGCGCACCCACCACACCTTTGCCTACAATGCCTCCAAGCCACGCTTCTCAGTCAATTTCTCACGAGGCAGATATTCAGCTTGCTCTCTCTTCTTTA